TTTATCAGTTAATAATGGCACTTGTCCGACACACGAAAATTTTCGTAATCTTTGTGCTTGTAACATAGCTTTTTACCAGTTTATCAATGAATTGAATTCTACAAATAAATTCTGATATTAAACAGTTGCATTCCCATCCATCGTTACATTATAAAGAATACCACACAAAGACAAGTGTTAGAAAAGTTACGTTCCCATTTGCTCATGGATGATTCTTGAGTAAAAATTGAATCTGTACATACTGTTTGTTTCGTATTGGCAATGAGATCATTGTTATATTATGAAACGTGTGCTTTGTTTTCTTCTATGAATTGCAATGTCTAAGAATATGTTGAACCCTACCGTTTATATTTCATTATCAGTCGAGAATATTTGTAAGAACTCATCATATTATGTATGACAGTGACATATGATGGTAAGGACACAGACATGCCACTATTGATCCACGATCCGTGTAACATCTACTTGTCATTCTTTTTTATTCCTAGCAGACAGAACAAGACGACCCTGACCAAAATTATCTGTTACTTCCAACTAAAGTGACGAATTTCTACATAGCAGAATTAAACAGTAAGAAGTACATTTTCGGCGTGAATGTAATGGGTATGAGTATTCTGAGAAAGGAAACGAATATTCTACCCTACGTTTCGGAATTTCTATTGCACATCATTGAATTCAGCCCAGATGTCAAAACAGTTCAACTGTATGGGGCGAAAACTTGCAGAACTACGGAAGCAATCATCCAGAAGATACAAGTGTTTGTTAGAAGTTGTCTACGCAAAATACTTCGGATCCGTTGGCCGGACACTATTAGCAGCAACCTACTGTGAGAGAGAACAAACCAGATGCCGGCGGAGAGAGAAGTCTGGAAGGAGCGCTGGAAGTGGATAGGACACACATCGAGGAAAGCACCTAACTGCGTCATAAGCCAAGCCCTCACTCGGAATTCTCAAGGCCAAAGTAGAAGAGGAAGACCGAAGAACACCTTACGACGCGAAATGGAGACAGACATGAGAAGAATGAAGAACGGTTGGATAGAACTAGAAACAAAGAGTCAGGACAGTGTTGGTTGAAGAATGCTTGTCGGCGGCCTATACTCCATTGGAAGTAACAGAAATAAGTAAGTAAGCTTTCGATGGCTCTCGTTACGTTATTTTCTGCACCTTTCGAAGTTTAAAACAAAGGCGATGAGGTTCACTAGATCACGTTACGAACGAGCTAATGTACCAACGTGTGCATTACAAAATAGGAAGAGCAAAATTGATGTTCATCATAATAATTTTGTGTTTTTTCTGCAGAAATAGACTGCTTAAAAATGGGAACACAACGTTCGTCAAATCCAACGGATACGCAACAAATCCACAGCAACTGGATTTCGAATTGACCGACTCATGTCAGGTTGCTTAGGTTCGCTTAGATGAAACGGCGGGCGGCTTTGAGCAAACCTGGCTTATTTGCCGTGCCATAAGTTTTGCAGCACTGTCTTCTCTCATGAAATTGTAGTGTGGGGTATAGTCGTCATTAACTGTAATCACCACAACAGGAAGACTACTTGCCAGTTACCAGGTTAGATCTCTCCGTAGGCCAAATATCAGAAGGCAGTTGAAGGTTGGACTAAGACATATTTCTTGGCGATCTCGTGGTATCGAAATAATACCGAGGTCGTGCCAAAGTTCACAATCGGGACTACTGAGCGTACGGGAGTTCGCCTAAGGTCGCAGTCAACGGAAAAGTGTGTTTTTTAGAACACTTAAACAAACAGGTATAGTGACACAATCACTGGTACAATTGGTTATAGTAATAAATGCTTCCATCACACCAATCGCGTTCTCTCCAAAAAAGTAGGTCACTAAAAATAATGTTGGATCTTCGTATGCTGAAATTTGATTCAGAACATTTTTCTCACCTTGACAAGCAGATATACTAAAGGTGACTTCATATAAGGATAAACAACGTTTGATTTAATATCATTCTGACTGCAATTAGTTTTAAATTTTATATAAACTTGTTTATATTTATCAAGTTTCTCCTCAAAAATAAGTAAGTTATGAGAAAAACTAACATTTGATATAACATTATCAGGAATTGATTCTTCTGATACATTTTCCCCAGATTTCTAAAGAATCTCATTGGAGAATGATGAATCATAAGTTAGCATCAACCATAATCGCATGAGATTTTCAATCACGATTTCATTCATTCGAAATATTTTTCACACTTTTATAGAAAATCCTAACCGAAATCTGCTAATCATAAGGACAATCCATCTCAAGTAAAATAACATAAGAAATTTGATAAGAAGTTGATTAGAAACTTTCATCACACAGTTGTTCTAACATTCATCTGATGCTTGCGTATTTATTGTGGTGCCCTAATTATTTTCTGGATAGGAGTCCTACTAGCTCTCACGGCGAATGTCACGTGGAACACAAGATTGTTTGGGTCAGCGTTCAGTTTCAGAGCTTTGCTAAGCTAGCAAAGCTTCATTTAATTCTGCACCGGGATATAACTCTATACTGCCCGTGTCAACAATAAAGTCATGGATAGAATCATGTCAGATATACAGTCGAATCGCAATAGGAAACATTACCTTCCAACATCGTGGATTGAGATAAATGATCACCCGAAACGCCCAACCTAATCAAATCCAAACCACAGGGTTTATCTTTGTTAGTGGCAAAAATGACTAGCTCTGCAGACAGACCAAATGTGTCCGATTGCACAAAATTTCAAGCATTCATCACTAGGAAATTTACGTGAATTAAGTGAATAAAATTTAACACAGGATCAACATGTACTAAATATGCGCTTTGCAATTCCTCGATGAAACGTTATCTGTACCACCCTGAGCAAGCACTGGATTTGAATAATTAGATAACGTAGCGCAATAATTGACGTCGTGAATAATCTTTTCATGAAATTTCGTTATTCACAGCAATTGAAATTAGTACGCTCTACACGGTTTGGTAGTAATTTTTGAGAGTTGCACAGGAAAGCGCCATAGGCTTGTTTGGTAATGCCAAAGATTCTATTTAACTGTAGGCAACTTTTCCGATGAATGTGAAGAAATAAGCCACAAAAATATCAATGTATATCCGATTGTTCAACCACATCAATGTGATGAATTGTAGTTTTCAAAATACTGAACTGAGCACAAAGTAATATATTGTGTTTAGAATTCGAAATTATTTAGCCATCAAGTACAAAAATTAACATCGTTTGCGAGAACAGATGGGATATTGAAGACACATCTCTCCAAAATAATTTAGCTATTTTTAAGGATTCATGTTCTGGTGATCTAGTGTTTGTTTGATTTTCACATGTCATGAGGCGAAGCCTAATGCTAGAAAGTTTCATTCGACCATAAGAATTAATCAAAAGAGTCAGTAAAACCAGCCGGTCAACAATTTTCGTATAGCTAGAAAAGAAAGCCGATCAACTGATGAATAAGTGGGATTTTTGTCTTAAACAGTTAGATAATTCGGTAATATAAAAACGTCCTTAGAGACTGAAAACGGCCTGAATATACTTTAACGTTTAGGTATACTCGATTTTAGATATGGAGGACAATTAAAACTCCAGGATGCATTATAGTATCTTTAAAAAATAAAAGATTTGCTTGACAGTCGTGGTCAGCAGTCGTTCTTTTGAATTACTGATTGTTTGGAGGTGACTTTGTTCACCATATGGAGAATATTTAGTGGCATTGGGCCCTGACCACACAATCCTCAAGGCTGAACACGAGGCGAATGGGAAAATGGATATTCAACATTTAACGCGTAGAAAAACCAAACGATGGAGAAGGCGGGAACAATGAATTGAATTAATTCGAGTTGATCGGATGGTATGACATGGCCATGCAGGTGTGGCCTTATTTTTGTCCATATTAAATATATTGTTCTATCTCTAATCTAAGTGTGTTCTTCACCATATATTGGTGGTTGTTACAACTCAGTGAATCTGGGCAGACTATGATGTGACTTCTACATAACATCTTATAGATTAGGCAGTTACATCGAAGCAAATCTACAATTTTACAATTAGTTCTATTATTAGAGCAGTACTAATATCGAAGTGGATCATAATTCAACAAATATGTGTCTGTTTTCCGAATGGATGTGTGTTAATGTAACCTCTCGATGATGTGGTCTCCTTTTAATCAATTTTCACTCAAATACATGATTTATTATACTGAAAGCAATCAAACTTCTGCTCGGTAACATAGTTGCTACTGCTTCCAGAAACCTTTGAGCCTTGTAACAATCCCACTCACTCAGATAACAAGATTTGCAAACCCTCAAAGAGCTGCCGAATTGATCAGATTGAGTTCATTTAAGAAACTAGAATACCCGCAGTCGAGCTGAGTAAATATCTGAAATTAAACAAAAAGGAAAGAAGCGTGAGAAGACTAATCAATGCGGATTTTCAGTGGTGATCGGACACGAATTAGTTAATGATCTCAATTAAAACTCAGCAATATTTGCAACCCGCACACTGATAATTATCCAGTGTTCACGAGTAACTATCTTAGATGAGTAGTTCTCTGAGTTCGAGTGAGAAGTCGTGAACAGTGGAATTTAGCTGTGCCGGGAGTGAGACAGTTACCCAGTGAAGACAATGGAAGATGGCCACTCCGATTAGAAATTAACACCCTTAGATGGCGGTGGTTTAGAATTTAAGCGTTCGAGCGCCAGAGCGAAAGTTCTGAATTCCGGCCTCACGTGTTGAGCAGTCTCATACGGAGACAAAAACTGTCCACATCTTCCAGGATTTGAATGGTGGCTAATACTGATAAGTCCATGATGTAAATTAAAACACAATCCCAATAACGCTACACTGACAATCCATCTGCACAAGCTCCTTGTACACTTATTGTATTTCGAACACAACGAAATCGCCTAAAATATTTACGGAGGGAATAATATCAAAAATTAACGTGATAGAATGATTTTAGATGTTAGCGACAGCACATTAGGGAAACTGAATAGAGAATTGTTTAAATCAACTTGAGCGGAATGTTCGTTATGGGTGGTTACTTTCCGATTGACTGAGGTAAGTTGGCGTTTTTATATTATTGACAAAAAGTACCGTTTTCCCATATGTACAGTTTTTCCTAATAGTTCTCATAACAAAATGTCTGTCTGTAGCTACCAGCAATAGAAGTCGATACACATAAATGTCTTTCAGGACGTTCACGATATCCTAATAATGTTTGTCATCATTAATGCGTGGCGGTCATACGTCGTTTATGTGGTCATCAACTGAAATGAACCTAATTAAGATTTTTTTCGGTCATCATTTCAAGCGTACGGAATCAATATATTTGTCAACTTTGGCTGACAACCGTATGAAAATTCACTATATATTTTACGGCAAGACTGATTTAGGGACGACCTTTGAACGAATCTTGAATGACCTTGACAATTATTAGTTAATCAGAAGACAGTATAAAGTAAAAATATATTATAAGTAAGTAATGCATTACAGTGGATATTCTTCTTTTACATGATTAAAAAACTTGTTAAGGTTTGATAAAGGTTCAGAGGTTCTGAATTCATAATGCATACGGTATAGAAACTCGTCCATAGGGCTAGAGTTAAAGTTAGAGTTTAGGGTTAAGGTTAGGTTAGGGTTGAGGTGCTGACAAGCGATTGGTTTACAACGGATTTTAGAGGTTAGGGTTAGAGGTTAAAGCCAGGGTTTAGGGTTAGGGTTAGAGTTGTAGCCTCTCAATAAACACCTCTTCTCTAGAATCCGATGTAAACCGAACTCATGTTAGCACGCTAACCCTAACCCCATGGACGACTTTCTATACCGTATGCATTATGAATTCAGAACCTTAACAAGTTTTTTAATAATGTAAAAGAAGAATATCCACTGTAATTCATTACTTTCTTGTAATATATTGTTACTTTATACTGTCTTCTGATCGGCTAATAATCGGATTTGCTCAAACGCTTCTCATTGGCTTGTCCCTAAATTAGTCTCACCATCCCATCTTTTGTAGCCTCTCATTAATCGCCTCCTCTCTAAAATCCGCTGTGAACCGATCGTATGTTAGCATCGTGTGTTGAACTTGGTTCCGTGACTTTGAAATCGCTTAAATGCTTCTGATTGGCTCTTCCCTGAATTAGAGTCTCGCCATATTTTACACCGGGATGTTTATAGTGGATAATACAGCGTTGGGAATCGTGTTTGATTGTCAATTTTTTAAACAGCCATTTGAAACGTAGCGATTTTACATTTTGTCCATAAAATGGTGAATATCAATCACGAGAAATCGTGACAAACTTGTTAATAATGCTATTAGTCGTAGGTATCGTCAGGTATTGTTTGTGCGATGACGTCTGAATTTCTTATACAGTCTTTCAGCATAAAAGTACTGAGGTTACAAAAGCTGAGGGAGTATCTCATCATATGCCAGAGACTGGTAGTCGTTAAATATGCAATCTTCATTTTTTAACACCTCGAAAATTATAAGATTTTTCGCGTGGTAGGGCGGTTAAAAGCGGAGATTTAAGTTTGACTGCTTCAAAAGCTCTCACTGCTGTATAGTACGTCTACATTTTTCCTCATATTTTAAGTGTCACCACTTTCCATTTTGGACACTCTATCGAGTAATATACGTGATAGCATTTCCTCCACTAGTTAATACTATATAACAATAGAAGTGACCCCTTCATATATTAATATTATATCATGCTTCTCAGCCTCTAACCAGAATCTTCAATGTAATTAAAAACCAAGGCTAGGAAACAAATCTCAGAGAAGTGGGCTAAAAACCGATCACACAGGATTCTGAACGCTTAGTGTAAACGCTTCATTAAGTGATGAAGTTCTCACCATAAGCACGAGTAATTCCAGCCATGTGATCATCAAAATCGGTGTTGGATCATCGGCTGCAATCTCGTATGGGTAGAAATATGGTAACCAACAAGTTAGCCATCTGATTCACCAGGTTCATCTCCATGTTCACCATCTATAGAAAAGAGAGAACAGTGGACATAAGTTATTACCCATTGACCTTTACATAGGAAATCGATAGTGGTCGTGAGGTGCGATGGACAGGGGTGAAACTACCGGTTTTCATTTATTGATCGGTCGCCTGTGAGATCACGTCGATACTCAAACAGTGCACAAAATCCTATGATTTTCGAGATGTGGACAGCAAATAATAGAAATTAATATATTACAGTAGAACGATAGCAATAAAGGGAGCACTTCAATTATCAGAAATATAACCAGAAAAAATTCTTTCGGTTAAAGAAGTTACGTTCACTCTTATAATGAAAATTACATCATGATCACCGCTGGCTTTTATTCTGAACCATCTCTCATAACGTCTCAACCCACTGTGTTGTACCGTCTCTAGGACCCCAATCAGGGAGTTATGAATGACCATCAAAAGTTAATTCTGTACAGCTTTCTTTCATACCACGACACTATATCATGCACTGACCACTTCTCGTTTTCCAATCAGTCTCAGCGTCGACAAATAATGCCCCCAAATGCTCTGGTACGGCTGAGAGTGGTGAGAATCAGCTTCCCCTCACGAAATGCTCTTACATGACCACTCCTAGGGAAGACCTACTCACTGCCTTCTCGCGACTGGGGTGTAGTTTACGAGGTTGAGAGGACAAAATGCGAAACTCCGGCGAATTAACCGGGTCAGTGGATATGGAGGATCCACCTAGGGGAATTGGAAAACCGAAATTCCCAACCAATGTTGCTCATGTGTTCCAGGATCCTGAAGGAACAAATGGTGTATGAACCAATTATTGGTCACAGGCTACCATGGGACTGCATCTGGCGTTGCTTCATTGTCTTGTGGATCAGAGCTTTAGGCCAAAGACTCCATGTGTGTCCCCCCAAGAAAACCACCTGTTTTGGTTTGGGCACCTGGACAGTATCTCAGCCCTCACACAAATCGAACGATTTATATTGCGCATATCTATTTTGTGCGTTGTGTCAATGTTTATGTGTTTAAATAAATAAATAGTGCTCGATATGGAATCCGCTGGGACGACATTTTTAGGACATATCCAAGCCACCAAACTCAGTATTGCAATGTGGTAATACCAATTAAATTATCGCCGCTGTTCTTGGATTCATATTGCTGAACCTCTGCAGTACTGATATAGTATTGTCAGTGGACGTCAGCAATCCTTCGGAGACAATGATGACCAGATGTAGAATGTTGTTTAACACCCTCAACTCAGAGAGGCTAGGTTTCATCAGTATAGAGAAAAACTGCTCTCACTGAGTCATTGTCGATCCATTTTTTCACAGACATACTAGTATCACTAAGGCAACAAAGATGAGTCATATTAGCATAAGTTGCTCTGGTTTTCACTATACGTTAGTTTATCTCATCACTCATGCCACCACAACTGTCAGCCATCTACAATGTAGGACCAGGCACATATATGCATCGGTCCAAATTGCCACCTCATTATCACAACAAGATGATCACCAAATCCATAGTAGTTACATGAATGGTAGTAATATATGACTACCCAAATACATGAACTTTTCAACTACCTCTAACTGGTCGTCGCCAAGAGTGAGTACAAGCACAGGCTTCTGTCAGTCTTATAAAAGTGTTTTCGATTTGGAAGGTGCAAAGTCCATGCTGTACTTACGGACACTGACTAAGTGCGGATTGTGTGGCTTGGGTTTTATCGCACATTAAGACAAAATCATTCGAATACTCAAGGTCGAAGAGTCTTTCTCCAGGCAACCGATTCACACCACCATTACCCATTACTGTAGTATACCGACGTGCTCCAATGAGTTGTAAGGAGCTTGTAGAAATGCAGTGCTTGTAAGTGGGACGTTTCGCGAAGTCGAAAGGGACTTTGCTCTCAGTCTTCGTGGTGTCATGCGACTGCAGCCAATGCTCATCTCTGATTTCCGACGGGTTAATAGCTAGTGTTGAGACTAGCCCGGTTTGAATTTTAGCTGCAAGAGAAGCTGTTACCAATTTGTCGACGTCAACCACGTATGTCATTCAAACTCGCCTCCTCCATCGTTCTCAAAGTGGTGCAGACTGGACAACAGATTGGGTTAGCTATTTTCTTACAAAATGTCAACATCATCGTCTGTAGTCTATCTAATACCCGTACTAGTTGTTTATTTATTTAAGCACAAACATTGGTACAACGAGACACCAAATATACAAGCGCCACACAAATCATTTTATTTGTGTGAGGGCTGGGATACTGCCTGAGTACCCAGACCGAAGCAGGTAGTTTCTTTATGCAGCCACACTGCGAGCCTTTGACCTAAAGGTCTAGTCCACAAGACCATGGAGCGACGTTAAGAGATGTAGTCCCTCGGTAGCCAATGACCAGCAATAGGTTCATACATCATTTGTTCCCTCAGGATCCTGGAGCCCATTCACACTATTGGTTTTGAATCATGGTTTTCCAACTACCTCAGGTGGATCCTCTATATCCATCAACCCGGTAAAACAGCAAACATTCACATTTCGTCCTCTCAATTTCGCAAACAACACCCCTGCATACAATCCCATTTCGGCTAGACGCTACTATCGAGCTGCATCTTCTGAAGTCACGCTACTGTCTTTAGTCAGAAAGTGTAAGAAACAGTCTCAGAACGTTTCCCTGCTTCAGCTTGGTTTTTCAGCGGTATCCTCGTGTACACACAAATGAGATATCAATATACCTTTGCGCTTATAACGAACATTCGGTTTTCAAACGGATGAGTTGGTTTTGATGGAGCTTTGTTCTCTGAGCTAGATGGTTTGGTCGTGGAGCTTTCATCGTTGGTATCAGTTAGTTCACACTTCTAACTTTAGTCAGTTGATGATGTTTAGCGACCATCATTCACTGCTATCGATAACACACCATTATGTAGGCAAGTTCCTCTTGTAATATAGATTACAAATTTAGTAATTTCTATAAACTTTTTTTATACTGATTTTTACAATTGTTATTACATTCTTCTGTATTGTAGGTTGTTCGTTTCTTTCAAACAAGTTATTGGATTTCATTTGTTTGCTAAACGTCTATCAGTAACATCGACATTCTTGCTTCATATTTACGAATGTCTCTAAATTTCCCGATTGAAAATCTCTTTGAATGGGTATATTCTATTGCACTGTACTGTGTAATTTTTTAAAACCTTTTTTTCTTTTCTAGTTGAGAACTTTTAACATAGCAACAAATGTTTATTCTATACATAATGTTACGGATGGGATTGTATTAGGTAAAGTTTTGCATACCATGTAAGTATTATTTTATGTAATACTGATTAGTCACAATAGTGACTGATTGTTTTTGTAGTCCTTCAGTAGTGATTGAATTCTATTGATTAATTCGGAATGTAGCCACTCATTTATGCAACTTTACATTGTGTGCACTATGTTGCGATATCAGGTGACTTAAGGTAGACGGCAGGAAATCCTGAACCTATGTTTCGTGTTAGTTAAAACATTAATAATGAATACCTGTAATTTTTTGAACTTTCGACCCATGGTATATACAAATCCACACCACCTATCATTCTCCAGTGATAATGCCTCAAACCATGGGTCTTGGCGATACGAGTTTGAACTCCATGTGGAGCGCCTGTTCCTTCATAATTGCAAGTATATCTTGCTTCAAAGTGTCAGCTAGCACGAGATTTAGGTCAGGTAGGATTTGCTACCGACTAGCTTCAACAGTTTAACAGTAGTAATGTATATTTTTATTGTTAATGTAGAAATGACTTTTGATTATTAACACAATTTCCAATAACTGTAAAGCATCATGAATTCATATTTATTTGGCAGCTTAGTATTTTCGTAACTTTCGAGTCACATTCCATTATAATTACAGAAAAAAAGACAGAATTGTTGCTCAAATGAGAAAAGCTTTTGGTTTTAAGGCATTGTATCTTTGCACATACATACACATGTTTGGTGATCTGGATAATTGACTGTTAACTATAGAACTAAGACGATAGTTTGTGAAGAAATAATGGTATGATTGGGCTAATACAGCCAACCAATAAACGAATAAGAACAGTTATTGATAGGAAAAGTAGTTCAGCTAGAATTACAGCCAAGAAAAAAATTCAGTTAAGGAAGCTCAATTTTTGTGAAAAACGTAATGGTAAGTTGCATTAGTACTATGTCTCAATTCATTGAATTGCACTGTCTCTAGAACCCCGACCATAGAGTCGTTATGGGACAACATGAGCCAGTTTTACACAGCTATATTTGATTCCGTGTAGTCATACCATTGACTGACCATTTTTGAGTTTTGACTACTAAGTCCTCGAAGTTCGAAAATGACGTAAATTGTGGAAGGTTCTCAATAATATTCGTTAAATATATTATTCAAACCACTGAAGTCAATGTTTTGTAAATGGTGTTATCAGTGTAAATACTGTCACTTCATCCGAATGCATATTTTTGGATCTGGATTTCTGTGACAACGATCATTGAATAGAGTGAGTTTCTGAGCATCCTTACATTGAATGAGCCTGGTCTCACTTATATTAAGAGGAGTTAGATGCAATGTTGTGTTGTTGGACGCGTCTTTTACAGCTCGAATAACGTCAAGACAACACCAAAGATGTATGAGACCAAAATAAACCCATTCTGGCTTTCCTTATAAACGGAGTAGACTTAGAGTACGTTGTCTTGGAACAACGATTTTTCAAATCGACAAGTGAACCTCCCGGTAGAAGTTCAACCCCTGGAAATTTAGATGAGGAGAGTGTTATCTCTAAAAGCACGTCGACCACAAAGTTGAACAAGAATGGGGAGAGTGGACAGCCCTGACGAACACCACTAGAGGTAATCAATTCTGATGACAGTTCGCCATAAGCTCTCACTCTACCAGTTGTGTTCGAGTAGAGAGCCTTTATAAGGTTAATGTACTTCTCTGGTACTCCTTTCAGTGACAAACACTGCCATAGAACCTCACGATCAACAGAGTCGAATGCCGCCTTAAGGTCGAGAAATACTACCATTGTGGGGCGTCTGAATGTGTGTCTGTGTTCTAGAACCTGACGTAGTGTGAATATCTGATCTATACAACCACGTCCAGGTCGAAAACCGGCCTGGTTTTCTCTAATCTGCTCTTCACGAGCTTTGATTAGGCGTCGAAGTGTTATTGAGGCTAATATTTTAGACACTATATTAGTCAAACTGATTCCTCTGTGATTGTCACAGGAGGACTTTTGTCCTTTCTTATAGACTGGCACAATCAGTGATTGAGGCCAGTCAGATGGGATTACGTCTAGTTCCCAAATTCTACCTAAGACCTCAGTTAATCTCATTGCTAATACTGGACCACCATCCTTAAAAATCTCAGGAGTAAACCTGTCAGGGCCTGCTGCTCTCTCTCGTTTCAGATTTCCTATGGCTTTTTCAACTTCGTAAAGGGACGGAGGACCTACATTAACTTGCCATTCAGGTTGACTAGAGATCGTGGGAAACCGAAGTGTGGCTGAAGGCCAGTTGAACTGATCCCTAAAGTGTTCTGCCCATCGACCCAATCTCCTGGATTGAGAATGAATAATATGTCTATCTTTCTCTGAGATTGTTTCGCTAACGGTCGGGTTCCTAATTCCGGTTTCCTTAACGAGTCTGAACAATTGTCTGTTATTACCTATTGCCGCTGCCTTTTCCATCTCTCTTGCTTTCGCTACCCACCACTGTTCGCGATCGTTGCGTAGGCTTCTGGTCAGCTTGCGCTTAAGCTGACTCCGCTCTTCATTATGTTCAGAGCCAGGTGGAATGAGTTTCCGAGCATCTATCAGTGAGATAGATGCTGCTGAGATCCAGTGTTGCTCCCTAACCTTCTGGTTTACCTTACTAGCAGATATCACTGCTGTTTCCACAGCTTTTCGGATATCATTCCATGCTGCATCGGGGTGGGCATCACCTACATGGCTGCTTAACTGTTTTCCTAGTTGTTCCTGAAATATACTCTTAGCTTGACTATCATTAAGTCGGGCCCTAAGAGGTTTCCTTGCAGCGTCTTTCCTACGTCCAGTAAGACGCAGGCAAATACGCGCTCGCACTAGTGCATGATCTGAATCTAGGCATGTGCCCCAGAATGAGCGACAGTCTTCTATCGAGCCCCTCCATCGGTGGCTGTTAGCGATGTGATCTATTTGGGTCCAACGTTGGGACGAATTAGGGGGTCGCCATGTTAAAAGATGTTTTTCCTTATGCTTAAAGTTAGTATTTGCAAGGAACAGGCGGTTATCTGAGCATAGCTGCAACAGACGGTCGCCATTATCTGTTCTTTGAGCCACGACACCATAAGATCCACCTATGTGTCTTTCCCTATCGCTTAGTTTACCTACTTGAGCATTAAAGTCACCAGCCACTATTACTACATCCGAGCGCTTAGCTTTTCGGATAAGGTCCGAAAGCTTTCTGTAAAACTCATCTTTCACATCATCTGAGCTGCAGTCAGTGGGAGAATAGGCAGAGACGACGAAGAGGCAACGACGAGTGTCCCTATCTTTCCGGATTCTTACTGTTCCGTTCAGTCGGACAGCGCACAAACGACTGTCTACTGGGATCCACTCTAAGAGAGCTAGTTCTGCCCTAGGACTCAATGCTACACCTACGCCGGCGAGGCCACGGGAAGCAGAATCAGGGCTTCCAGATACACAAAGCGTAAATCGAGTCGGTTCTTTATTTTGGCATGGTGAGGTCAAATGAATGACGCTACTTGGATCCTGTATGCGCGTTTCGGAGACGCAGCACACATCGATGGCGCGAGATTCTAAAGCCCTAGCTAAGGAAGCCTGCTGTCCTATTTGGCAAAGTGTTCGTACGTACGATAGGCAAGCCCGACCACCGCGTCAAGATAGCAGCTTCGGTCGGGCATGTGTGAAATCGTGGATGCGCACTGCTAAGGAGTCCCATTCTAGGACGAAACGGCCGTCGAGGGTCTCATTGGTGATCTAGCATCGATCCATTCATCATATCAATCTAAGTTTTCCATTTGATGAATAATCAGTCAACTAGCAATAAATCGTTTCATAATGTTGGAACTGATTACGTTCATCTACTTCTGTCCTAAATAACAGATCGGTTAGTATTAATTTAATCCAAAGACATATCAAGTTCATAATGAACAGATCTTTTTTATTTTCATTGTATTCATCAAATAACTTTGGTTTTTAGTTAACAGAAAACTATTTCTATCAACAATGTTATTATTATCATCATCACAACCATAGTACTGAACTTCCGTTTATTTGTATTTCGGATTATTCTACTACACTTTTACTTGTACGAACACGCACAAACTTTTAATGAAGTTATTAAAAGTATTAATTTGATATTCAGATCACATTCATTATTCATTACAAGTGAACATAGAGTTAATACTGTATTGATTTTATTTTTGGTAAACAGTTCACTTGGGCTTTTTTTTAAAAAGAAAATTATCATGTCTTCAAATTATCTAGAGTTTCCATAGTTACGTATTGAGTGTATGTGTGTGTGTGTGTAACTATGTGAACGTAAAACGTTACAATGACAATTAACATTTATACAGCAGTATACACATATTATTTGTTAAGGTCTTTATAAAATACGGATTAAATTAAAAAGAGACTTGTGAAATGAATGGTTATGCTATATTTAGATTGTGTATAGTAGTAGATCTGCGATGTCAATGTTTAAAGTCGTCGACTTTTAACCTCCAAGCTGCGGATTCAAACTCCACTCTGCGTACATCGGTATAGTTATCAGGGTAGTATCATCAACCCTCACACTTCGGATGTGGCTCACACCTAATTTCTAGTTAAAGTTCAGTCTCTAACACTTTAAAAGCCAGTACGTTATCCACTAAGCTGCTGAGTCCAGATAGCTACTAGTGTGAATTTATTCGTAATGGTTAATACTTTCCAGATGGTCGAGACTGGAATTAAATGTCAGAACAGCTAAGTGAGTACGTCTCAGACTGTAAAAGTGGACGACTCGTATTAGAGTCACACACGTTTCATCAGTTTCTACAAGGTTAAAAGTATGTCTTGCTGATGAATACCAACTGGCGCGAAATGTTGTTCAAACAGGACTTTCCACCAAGAATCTCTAATTATCTAACATCAAAACATAACCCATACGATGTTGAGTCATTTAGATTAGTGGCTACATCGCATTGAACAAACTTAAAACTGCCGTTACTCAGTGATCAATCAATTTTAATCGGTTGATCAATGACAGTATTTTTCATGTTTTTTTTATAAATGATGTCTCATTCCTATGATCATAAGAATTTCAAATTGTCCTAATTTTTTCTTATATTTTCTGTTTCATTTCAGTGCTCCAAATCATTTCACTGATGAATGGTTGCAAAAATTAAATTATGATGCTGAAATCAATTGGAGGCTGAAGGTGATTTATGTAATTCTTGTGAATGCGTGTATATACCTTCACAAATTTATTATCGTACGTTTGACTTGGTCGTAGTTGATTGCTACCTTGCCACATGGTGGTTGAACTTGAGTATTGTGATGATCTGATAAAGCTATAATTGGGCCGAATACTTGTTCCTCTAGATCCTACTGTGCTACGCAGAGGTCGATTGGAAAACGTTAAGACTGAAAGCAATAACTTAATGTTCGAGTTGAACGTCGTACTGCTGACTGTATTGGGATTTAACTGTAGTGAGGTGTTTTCTTCAGATAACCATAATCTGCAATGATATGTCCTTCTCATAGTGAAAATACCAGGTTAGGAAAGGTCTGCTCTGAGTTTCCGTTACAAGTGTTAAAATCTCACAATGAGTATCAGTCCATAGTGTAAATTAAAAAAAAGATTTCCTTGTTGAAATTGTTCATTGTTTTTGTAACAAGTATCCTAGTGGATATATTTAGAGATGTTGCGTACTCTGGGCTTGATGGTTCAGTTGTGTTAGCCGCGACAACAACACAACCCATCGCAACGTCTCAAACCGGTTATTTAGACCGGATTGGACTGTGGTTGAACTATTGGGATTGAGCCTTTGACCAACAACTGCAGTTGATTTGCGGCTATATAGGCCAGCAGACACTTTCTCGACCCACAACTTGATGTATCTTGTGATAGATAAAAAGTCAGCTCTCAGCCAAGCGCGGCCTCAGTATATTGTGCAGTCGCAATATGCATTCAAGATCCCAATGTTCAAGCAACATGCATTGCACACTAATTCACCCAGTTGGCTGGACTCTTCATCAATATACGTGCCCAGTGATCCACCATTTAAAGTTGTACACCAATAATCATACACATTGGTTTCTCGAGTGTATATAACTAATAGTAAACACTGCAGTCTAGGATATTTACCACTAAGCGGGTTAACTAAACCTGAATTCATTCAACCTTCTGCACTCGTGAAGAGACTGGTGAGCTCACTATTAGTTCTATGCAGTTAAGAAACCGATGTGTGAGATTATTATTGTGCAACTTTGAGTGGTGGATCACACAACATCTCCAGCATCCTTATCCTTATCTACAAATATTCCCCATTATTCTTTTTTTCTCCATCCTTTCTCTCTCTAAAGGTCAGTAATCTTAAGAAGATATTGAAAGCTGTTATTGAATTTCTAAATGAGGTTAGTTTGGTAAATAAGATTAGTTTCTTTTGGTTTTTTCACGTTTAAAGCACATGGTTATTGTTGATAATCTCTGTGAACAGAGTGTATCATTTTAGTAATACGCTGGAATTAAACAGAAATTTTATAAATCATTTATTCATTGCCAAACAACAGTTTCAGTATGATTTTTACACTCTTAAAATTGTGAAGCTAAGTGGTTCAAGTTGTCACTGTATTGAGCCAATAAAAATAATGATGATACAGGTATACCAAAGCCCATGATCTATGGATGGGATGGTAAGACAAGGCATGAATGCATCTGCATTATTGAAACCTATTCTGAGATATTTCATTGTTGTCTGTTCCAGCAGTTTGATTTTGTGACTAATGCACACTTGGTCAATCACTTATTTATAGTGATAAAATAAGTGTGCAAAAGAAACTGTGCTGCCAAGGCTTAATAATAATGTATTAAAGTGAGTTGATCTAGTCAAAAAAATGTGGGTCGTGACGTTGGATAGGTGAGTAATTCACTTACAATACTCACTCCGAACTTTTATCTATCATCTACCATATTGTCTTTAGATAGCATATGACCAGTCACCTAAGGTTTGTAACCGGGTCATCTGGGTTTACGTCACTGCTTAGTCCAGTAGGCAATGATTTCACTAACTGATGCTACACTTTTATCTGGCCGTCCCTTACTTTCTTCAAACTTACTCCTATGTCAGCCAACATTGCTTCTCAAAGTACGCAGAGTGGTTAAGGGTTTATAACACGTGTCCAGGTATCTGCTAATGAAGATTCATAGCCTCGTCAGTCAATTTACTATATTTACGTTGTAACTTATGTCTGAATTCAATCTGTTCGACAACACACGAGTGATTCTTTGAAGACCCTTATGGTCACATACTTTCAGCCTAAGTATGTCTTCTACCTTCGTATGCCATGATTCACAAATACAAAGTAATACACATTAGATTACTGCACAAACTGCATTTCATTTGGCAGATGAACATCTCGCTCACATCATCGGTAATAAACGATGATCAAAGGCATTCTAGTCAAATTTTGATGTGGTATGCAATCCTGAGGTGTTGTCCCATATTCAAAGAAAATAGGTGTCCAATGTTCCGCTTGACTTTTAATGATATCGCAACTGAGGTCAACCTGTAGTGTGAATACCAGATTCATATTTTCTTTCAACTTTATTACGTAACAGTGTCTGTATAGTCTATTGATTGATCTTTCTTTCCTCTCAATTGTAATATTTTCTAATCTATACTTTACTTAATGGTAATGGTCAACAAAATTTAATGAAGAGAAAAAATCATTATAAATACAGCCGTAATTATAAACTGACTACCGATCTAGCTTTTTTTCGTCTGTTTTATTACATCATTTTGAATGATTAACTTTCCCCGAAAACCAAACATTACATACTACCTTCACGTTGTACTGATGAATGAGTAGTACGTCACTACAATCAGAACATTGCAATTAAATCAATCTAGCTCAAAAAGTACTACACTTTATAAAATCATCCATTTGAACTGCAATTGTTCTCTATCATTTTTCTATGATGTAATGTCATACTTAGTTTCATTAGTCAATAGTTCTGTCTTACCACTGACTATTCAGCTGGAGTTCACATATCTATTCGTTAAATAAATTATTCATGTGCGATGTGTGACGTTCCATGCATTGATCATATTGGAAAATAGTTGATCAACATTATCAAACGATTGAAGTTAAGAATGTAAATGAATAAATACTAATCGAATGATCGGTATGTTCAGCACTTGATGTAGTCGTGGATACACACTAAAAATTAACAGCTTTCTGGTATTTCTTAGTTTTCTATAATTTTCTAATCGAAATCAATTCATCATATATGACTTTGACTAAATCATCCAATTTAACAGTTTTAACTATTCTAATAATTTTCCATTAAACCAATCTGACCTCTCTTGCATCTTCAATGATTAAAAAAAAAATTATTCTTTATACAACTGCTCATTTGTTAAATAATATAACTTCACTTTGTGCAATAATATTCATGTTTAATGGCTAGTAATGACTCTTGACACAATGTTGATCATGATCCAATGGAAAGAGATTGAATCAAAGTTCAAGTTTATATAAGATACTGTTTGAAAATAAAATTCTAAGTCATTTATCATCTTATCTATTTATATAATTCAACATTGTACATTCTTCATTATATTCATACAGGGAATTGAAGATAGAATATCTGTTCAATGCCTTCCAAATCTACAAGAAATTGGTAAGTTGAATTTTCTACTTTTTATATGTATAAGATTTTCTATTAGTCGATTGTATAGTTTTCATTCCTATTTCTTTCATAAACAAATATCATATTGTGATAATTAAATGTATTTAAATTATAGTATGAAATAGAAATCCCAGAAATAACATAATCGAACCAAGAAGTAATAGATAACCATAAACGAATGTATTGCATTTAGAATTCGAAATCAAGTATTCAACAAGTAGAAAAGAATCATCAGTTCATTCAAACACCACATTCGCCATAGCTTAAATTTAGAGTCTAAGTGTCTGTAATCGATTATACGTCGTCTTCTTTAGTTTGTCCTATGTCTGTCCGACATTGTATTGTATAAAAACTCTGTATTATCTAGAATGTGCTCATTAGTATTGGTATTAACAACCGAAATCGGAACAGATTCAATTGGTTCCTGGGATTGTATACAATCGCCGTGTCGGTTGTGTACCGAAACCACTATCTAGAATTTAAAGCACAGATTTCCCAATACTATCCTCCGCCGCGAAATAATGTTGGATCTTCATATCCCCAAGTTACGAATGATGTGGTTTCATTTAAAACATATTTCTCACATTGATTAGAAGTGTTTTTGTGATAAGGATAAACAGCAGTTGATGTGAAATCATCCGAATTGTAATCAAAATCGAGATCATTTAGTATTTGTGCTTCGCATTGAACAAGTTTCCCACAAGAAACATGTGCATTATGAGGACAAATAATATTTGATAGAACAACAACCTTTGACTCTTCTAAAATAGTTTCCTCGAATTTATTAAGAATGTCATTGCAGAGTTATGAATCATTAGAAGAATCAGCATCTATCAAGACTGCATCAGGTTTTCGACCATGAGTCGGTTCACTAAACATATTTTCCTCAGATGTGCAAGGAATTTCGTCAGAAATATGTGAGTCATTAGGAAAAACCATATCTGGTACAATAACATGAGAAATCTGATAGGTCGATTGATTAGAAACCGTTGTCTCGCAAGAATTCTGAGTTTCATTTAACTCTGAACTGCTATGTAACTCTACACTGTCTATTGCAATCGTTGATAAAGATAAATCATCATTATAAATACTCGACTTAGTAGAATCAGAATTACAAGACTTAATATTAGTTGCAATAAGATTAACATTAGTATTACAAATTGACTGAATATGTCCAATATCACCACATTTAAAGCACTTAGAATTACGAAATTTACGTGAATTAAAAGAGTGGAACTTGCCACAGGACAAACATTAACCAAACCTGTGTCCATCTTCGTGAACTGCATCGCAACTCCTGAATGAATTATCTGTATAACCTTGAATATGCACTGGGTTGAGATCACGTAGTAACGCAGTGGAATTTTTTATATCCTCATGAATCATTTTACGAAATCTTCCTTCTTTACCGCATTCGAAATTTGTATACTTAACATAGCCTAGCAGTAGACCCTTCAGAGTTGTATAAAAAAGCGAAATGGGCTTTTCCGGTAAAGCCAGAGTTTTTAATAAGCTATATGCTTCTTTTCCGATGAATGTGAGGAAATGTGCTACAATATTAACATCCTCATCATCTGCCTTGGTCATAGCCCGAATTTCAAACCTTTCAAGGTAATCCTTAAAAGCGTCAAGATCTGATTGTATATCCAACAATTTCATCACAAGCTCCATCGCGACGCCAATGTGATAATTACGAGTATTTGAATTATAGTATGAACTAAGAATCCCAGAAATAACGTAATCCAATCAAGTACTAGATAACCACAAAAGAATGTACTGCACTTAGAATTCGAAATCAAGTATTCAACAAGTGCAAAAGAATCATCAGTTCATTCAAACACCACACATATCATATGATTTTCAGTAAACTGCCTCCTTAAAACAATATTTTTCAATAATATATACAAAGTAATCTTAGTGGAGTTTTGTTCTCTGATCCGGATCATTTAATCGTGAAGCTTTCATTGTCTTTCCAGACGAAATCATCATCATCATCATCACAAACTTCAGACAAAAGTGAGCTATAAAAATCTTCCTACAATTGAATAACATCTTATGTTGTCGATATAAGTTTGATCGAATTTTTTAACCAAGTAAAAAGATCATGAACAACTTCCAGAAAGTTGAAAATCGGGTGAACGAGAAACTTAATCAAAATAAGTATATGAACGACAACAGGACACAATAGTCCACAATAACCAGTAAAGATCTAGGTTAACAGAACCAGCTGTCAGTCATGTTTGAAGAAATATGAATAGCTCGTTGCTATCTGAAGTTTTGTGTTGTGAAGAGAAGAAAAACAATGAAGTGACAAACAATTCAAGATATTTTTTAGGCATTATCTGACTTAATTCGTAATCTGTGAACTACTAACATATACATGTATCTACCTTACTCTATAATTCAGATGCTTTCGATTAATTTATAACTTACTGTCATGCTCTCTTCTATTCCAAAGTTAATATAATCCAAACGTGACCATTGTATTAAATTTTCGTACTGTAATAGTCTCGGTTAATATAATTGTATTCATTGTGTGTTGTGATCTCGTTAGTCCTACATTTTCATGTTGGATGAGTCGGATAAAGTATTCTGCTATAGTTTTCACTTGCTAATAAATCATCAAGTTGTCAGTGATACGGTAGCTTTTTCCTCTCTCCTCTCAAGGCCGATCATTCACAAGTCAGACGTACGCTATTCAGTCTTCAACATACCAAGTAACGTAGCACAATAAGCCGTTAACTAGTTCGAGACAACTTCTCTTTCTGCATATCCATGTACGAACTAGTGGGGAAGATAAGATAACAGTGTCATCACATTCGTGCTGTCTATGAAGGACAATAAAATATTTCATAATTACATTCACACTGCTCAGAGAACGAAACTCCACCAAAATAATTCACATGAACTGCAAATTTCCACTCAACATTGAAATAACGTTATGGATAGATAATCAATATACCCCTATATTGGAAAGCTTTGTATCGGTAAAGGATATTCACATATATACTCATATGGAGTGAAAACAATTGACTACCATGGACTGTCATCTAATATTACGTAGTGCATTTTCAATTTTTGTTTGTTTAAAGTTTTGCTACATAACTGATCTGTAACTCGTTACTAGTCTGGTTAACTCCCCACGGAACACTCAGTTAACAATCGTTTGACCAGATTCCATGATAAATTTAAACAGATCAAGAACGACAAGGTTTGCAGAGTAAGATAAATTCATTTTATTTTGCAAACTGTTGTTCTTACATGGAAATCGACTCAATGTCTTGAGAAGTGTTGATCTTGAAAAAATATACTTTGAAAAGTGATGGGTTTAACCTCACCCGTGGGGCGGAGGAACGCTCATATGTATTTATCTGACTATAACAATTTTATTATGTTTTATCCTCATCATTTTGCTCATAAGTAGTTAACGGTTTGCTGCTGTCGTATCGTCATGATGACACAGAAGTTGAATGGAATATTACTCTTGGAGAATCATTATATTACTGATTCATGTAGTTAGTAGTGTGATGTGGATTAAGTCGATTTTTCCATTGTTGTTCCAACAATCTTGTTGATAATGATGACATAATTTTGTGTGCTTTCATCTCAAGCTGAACATGAAAATGAAGAGTCGACATTTCGTTTATTACAATTAATACTTGCATGCGCTGTAAATTGTGATAATAAACAAACTTATATCCAAACAATTATGGGGATGGAAGAAACTGTGCAACAAGCTATAATGGAAGCGATTCAACAGGTATGTGTGTTAATCTTATTCATTGTTTTTAAAAAAAATTATATAAAAACTTTATTTCGTCTTATTTTGATTTCCCATCAAGTAATAGTGTGTACATGTGTTGATTGTGTTCGATAGAAGGCTTAATTTTAGTATACTGGTCTTTTTCAAGACTCCAGTAATATCGCGTATATTCTATTCACGGACGATTGAGGATCCCTCATTCGATTGGAAAAATGTGGAAATCTTGGACAGAGAAAACTCCAAAAACACCAGAGAATTTTGAGGAGCCTGGAACCCAGGTCAATCAGCAATCAACAAGCATATTGAAATCAATCCAATTTATCAACCAATCAGGAAAGTCATGCACAAATATAGGAACAAAAGTCAAACCAATAGGAGACACAACCAAAACAAAGAATTAAACAATGACAAATTTAAGGTCAATAAGCACCAATCAACATCGAGGTGCACAGAACAAGCTGTGAAACACATATGGAGAAATTCGAACACTTCACTTCTATCTGAAGTTTGTGCTGATGATGTCGTTCAGAAGAACGATGGAAGCTCCACGATCAAACCATTCAGCCCAGAGAACAAAACTCCACCAAAAAGATATTGAATATTATTGAACTCACGTCGTATTGTTTGCTTGAATCTTCCCTTTGAGGTTGATCTGTCTGTTTTTTGCATATGTGCATACTGTGCGTACTGCCTCGATATTGCCATAATCCACAAGCCTTATAAGCAAAGATAGGTAATGACTAGCAGCGGAATGGAGGACGCGCGTTGTCAGCTGGATGATCCTGCATCTGAGTTGATGTTCACTCTGAGACTCGAACCCAGTACCATTTGCTTCAAACGCCATCGCGTTATTCACTCATTTACTGAGTTTTGATAGCCACTTGTTTGTGCATTAGGGTGAATTTAAATTTATTTGGTATTGTTTTCACGCCAAAAGCACCCACTTTCACCTTCATGTCGTATTTTTCACTTGTGAGGACCTTGAATGCTATTGGTTCGTTGTCGCTTTTATCATACTATTTTGTAAAGTCCATCAAGGACATTTGTATGCTGGATATGTACACCTGAGTTGTGCTTATTGTTGTTGTTCGTGCTTCTGGCTGCTTGTAGAATACAGTTCTCTCTTCTGAGCCTGAACTTATCTCACGGAAACCTAATATTTAGACACAAGTATTTGTATATGTTAACGGGATCTTTGATTCTAACTAAAGTGTTTCTTAGAGTGTTGATTATCATGTAGAAAGATCTAATTTTGTAATTCTTCAGTCGTACGTTGACCCTGAGGTAAAACCACAGTACCAATCCAGGATTTTTCACTAAGATTATTATTTGAAGAAGGATAGTTTTCTTTTAATATGTTTTCAATAATATTCTTAAGAAAAATTATTAAATCTTAAGTTGTTTATGGTATTATCTTTTTCCTTTGGTTTGTCTTCTTTTGAAGTAATGATTATGGTTGCTCTACTGAAAGAATTTAAGGGTAGAAAATTTTTTTTACACTGAATGAACGTGCAGAGTTAAAATCAGTATATCGATTTGAATGTATTGGTTTATGGTATATGGCTAGATTTTGACTTTCATTAAAATTCCTTTTAACTAAATAATCAAAGAATGACAGTTTACCATGTTTATCTTGCTTTTGAAAAGTGAATTTGTTATTTTCTGAGAACATGTTTATCTGTTTATAGAAATTTCTTGGAATATTGTTTGAATCTTAAAGTAAAAATTGTTGAATTGTAACTGTGTGATCTATAATCAAACTTTTCAAGTTGAGTTATAGGTTCAATCACTTACTGATTGATAAGTAGTGCTCAATCTACTGACTTTCATAATAACGATGAGTAGTCACTCATTGTTATTATGAAAGTGTTATTTAATTCATTCCACTTAGTTTTCACAATTAGAGGTATTGAATGCTGGTAGAGGTATGAGGGCAATTATCAGTTCCCGGTTGCCCACACTGTGGAAAGGTTCTTCTGGAAGTACCTGAAAAGGAAATTGGATTAGAGGTAGTCTTAGTGACCTAAAACTGTGACCGTGCAGTGCCCAAGGGACAACTGCTTGAGGTCGGCTACACACGACCTTTTTATGGGTAATTTTCGTGTTAGCTCCGTACCTGTTGAGACCTCACCACCGGAGACGGATATCCATGAGATAAGGCGAGGTGTTTATTTTTAGGGTCGACCTTTTCCAACCCCACCCCTCCTTGTGGGAAGGCAGCATCTCTGTTATGCTGGTTGTCTGAAGGAAACACATTACTGCTGTCACACCTCTGTACAGTCAGCAGTATGACTTCGCCTTCGGACCTTAGGTTTGTTGCTTTTATTCTTACCGCTCTTCAACCGACCTGTCTGACATGGTAGGACCTTGAGGAACGGTTGTTCCAGACAGTATAACTCGGTTGCTTCATCACTATAGACAAACCCGACCACCACGTCAAGGTAGCAACAACGGTCGGGTGACATAAGTAGTATATGATGTTAGTCATGAACACAAGGTCTGGAAGCAGAGAGACAAGACCATCCAACAGTAAAGAATGGAAACAAAGTGGAATTTGTATGAAAATGCAAGAACAATCAAGTCTGAGTCATTTTGAGACAACTGATAGATGTGGTGTGACAACTTGAACCGATGTATATGTGTGCGTGGTCCTACATTGTATTTGACTGACTGAGTTCTCACAAACAACTGTCTACATTATCATATTCAGGGAAAAAATAGTTCAATGTCTTCAACCACATTGATCGCCGTTATCATGTGAATACAAACTAGAAAGTTTATATCTATCAATATGATACAATGTCACCGTGGTCTGATGGCATATTCTTGTTTGATCTTATCCAGTTTACTTTTAACATAATCCTATGCTAGAAAGCGTCTCATTTAGGGGTAGGTGGTTGTTAAGGATAAATTATATGTATATCGGAAACATCTCAATCTATGAAAGTACTCAACTGCATGAACCGAATCCGCCATATTTTCTTTCTTCTCTTGAAATGGACTAAGATTTTTCTTAGAAATAATAAGTAAAGATCATATGAATGAAATTCTTATTTCATTTTACATTAGTTCCCGGTCAATACATTTTCACTTGTATACTCTGTTCCGATAAAAGTTAATTTAATTGCCCTTTTTAAATTAGAGTTCGTTTCAAATCATAATCATTCCTGTCATATACTACTTATTTCATGTATATGGGCAAGTGTATGTGTCTATCATTCAATTCTTATGTGTTCCAACATACATGTCACTAGTACATGTCTACCCCATATATTATCTGTGTGTTCCTAGTCATGTGATATGTATACCTCAGTAGGTATGTGCACACGTGCACTACGTATTGTGTTTACTTTTCTATTGTGTTCTATTTTTTCTTGTATATGTGTGTTTCTGCACTCTCTATCGATTTGACCTGAATTTATTGTTTTCTTTGAAAAGGAAAAGTAATTTGAGTACTCTTTCTTTCTGTGAAGTATACAGACACAAACACACTTACACGCGTACACACTCACAAATATATATATATATTTATGTATGTATTACATCTCTAATGGAGAGATCGTCGATTGGTATTTGTAAATTCTTTAGTTTACGATCATCATCATCATCATCATCATCGTCAGTTGTTTTGAATAGTTAAAATTGTTTACTTCTCTTTCTTCATCTGATGAAAGGTACTCAATTCTGAATGTAGTTTCATTGTTTACTGTATAGTATACTTATGTATTATTATTATTGATTTGATCATTTCTTTTCATTGATTATGCTCCTGATTATAAATGTATGTTCTTTACACAATAATCTTTGTTACCATTACATATTACTATTATTAACATTCTATATGGATAGATGAATTCAATAGAGGATCATTTTGATTTGATTTCTTCATTTTCCCTATTTCCGTTCTTTTGTTATCATGATTTAGTTAATGTCAACTCGTTTAAGTATGAGTGATACTATGGATTATGAAGATCGTGTAAGTCTTAGTTGGAAATTTTAATTGTATCCATGCTTATTTTTTTATTGTTTTTCTTTTTGTGTTTTATGGATATAAATTCTCAAAAAATTTGACTAGCTATCATATATCTATGTGTGTGTGTGTGTGTGTGTGTAGAGATTGATAAATTTATTATGTGACTAGCTAGTAGCGTGTTTCATCCTGTTTAGAACTGGTTAATTGGGTGTGCCTGCGTCCTAGTGTTAATGTTTGCATTAAGACTTGAACTAAACACCTTTCATTTCAAACACACTTATACATTATCTACTTGTTATGACTTTAGGTTGCTGTCGATTTTTACCCTGTGCTAATTGTTGTGTCCTTGGCTGGAAAATTAGAGAGCAGCGTACTTATCGATCGATTCAAGGACACGTAAACACGTACGGACGGCCTAGAGTCTCGATTGGTCCCACTTCCCTGTCTAGCCCAGTTAGTTGAGTCCAGAACACAAGTCACAGCCTCGGAGATATGAATCATTATATTTCAAACATACTTTGTTTATATACCAATCAAGCATACCACATCGTACCATAAAATAGGAAACAACATTTTGTACAATATTCAACAAGTGAACAGATATCGACCAATTGGAAATGTCCATTTAAAGTCCAAGGACACCATTGAACTTAACATGATAATTATTGGTCTATTCCTCCGCATCCACAACACTACTATACAGCTTAATTCATATAAGAATGATTACTTTATTAAGGTGTTTATATTGTTTAGTTGTTGATGTTCAATGCTTCAATGGATTAGTTTATGTTGTCATAAGTGGACTGGTCCGATTAAAGTTGTGAATATGAACAATGGAAAATTACAAATCGTTATTTACAAACTAAGTATTAGAATTTAAACCAGTACACTACAAAATGTGAAACATTTTTATATTGAACTTTCTTTGTATAGAAATCTTAAGTTTAATTATTCAAGAATGTGTTTTATTTTTCATCTTAATTATGAGACTCGTTCTTAGAAACCGAAGATAACATTCACTATCTTTAAAGTTGAAACAATGGACTGTTTCTTTTTGACACATAAATTGTGTGTGATATTTAGTTTTAAATGTATAAATTCGATTGTATATTTGACTTCCAAGTTACTGCTCAGTACAGCGAGATGTAGTTTCAAAGTAATCTGCTCCATTTTTTTCAAACACTCATTTATTGTCAGTATATGGTTGTTGAGAGTGTCGAATATTATTGCTATCACTAACCGATCTAAGTTAGACAAGCATTGAAAGTCTAGAACCATTAAATAGCCATTTCATCCGCCTCAGCAACGCCTAACGCGAACATCTTTACAAATACATTATTCATGCTTAATTTATTATTACTATTGTTTTAAGAAATTTGCCAACTAGTACGTCAACTTTCCATGAGTGTTTTTAGGCTGTTCTAGAGACGTGATGAAAGTTCCATTATCCATGTCATTAAACATAGCCTCATAGACGACTCCAGTTGCAACGAATCGGTATATAATGTGTGTAGTTGCTTCACTGTTTAAGTATTTTATTCACTAGTACAAAATTAATTTGTTCATGATGTATACTTAGTAGCTGTATGGAATGAATTCATTGAATAAAACTAAGCAGGCGTCGTATTCAGCGCTGCAACTTATTATTAATTAATTCTATAATCCATTCTTCTCTGAGGACGCGTCCACCATTTGTCTTACTGGATAGCGATTAGCCACAAAAGGAAGACGTACCAATGATTCGAAAAAGTGAAGTGTATTTTTTTATTAAAAAACTAGGAAACAAGTATTATTTAGCCTGAGGTAGTTTTGTATGATATCTAAAACATAAAGAAAAATCAATATATTTCATCGGTGCCCACCGATCTGATAAAATTTCAAAAAACTGATCCCGTCTCGCTCTAAATACGAAGAAGAGCGAAGGCAGCTTAAATGTAGACTGATATGAAGTCTACAACAATCATGAACAGTGGTCGGCAGTGGAAGAAAAAGAGTTGATGTTGTTACTGTGTTAGACAACTCGAATTTTATGGAGGAATGAATAGGGTATGAAATCACCTTCTGATTATCGGTGTTCGACGTCGTATTTCAATAAAAAATCATCTTTATTCGGTTGTTACAAACAACTTAGGTAATCATAAAGACCAAACAACTATTCTGGGCTTCCTGACATAAACTACTTATATCTTGAGATTACTAGTACTACTCAGAGTTACTTACCTCTTGAACCGTTAAAAATTAGTGAGCACCGGAAAGTTATTTCATCCTAGTTTGTGACTTCTCAACTAGTCCTACTGACCAGTTTTTCAGGGATCAAACCCGCAAAGATCGAGTCTTGCGACTGGTGCATCACTTTGAACTCACCCTGCTTCATCTGTGCAAGATTTCTTATTTCCGACATAGTTGGTCTTGAGTTATGAATTTTCACTGGGATTTCAAAGTTATGCTCTAGTGAGCGTATTATTGACATGTTAAAGTCATATTGCATAAGACAATCTCTACATACAATGTAAGTTATTTTAATAGTTTTGAGTTTCTAGGAACCTCCAAAAAGTGATGATAAACTATAATATATGACCAATCACAATAAAGGAAGGACATATTAAGAGTTGACTCTATTGGATTAATTAAGTCTCATTATTCGTAAAGCAATCATCAATCAAAATTATTTACTGTTATATATATTTCAAATCTATTGCAGTTATGTAAGACAGTGGAACAATGCAAAGCATTATTAATAGAAAAAGAGAAATTGGCTGAACAGTGTAAAAATCTTCAGCAAGAAGTAAGTCAGTGTTTATTCTTACGTCTCTGGTGGTTTATGAATTATCTAATATCTTGCCACTGATTGATATCTGTTAATAGAGAACTACTAAAAGTCGACTTGCATTGGATGATACTTTTTTTAATCGTTCACGTTAACAGTACTTACATAAGATATTCTTCCTCTCAAATGCCCTGGTACGGTCGAAGGTTGAGAGAATCAGATCACCCTCTCGAAATGCTCTCACATATCCACACGTTACACATCCACTGTAAAGGAAGTTCTGATCACTGGCTTCTCGTGGTGTGGGTGTTCTTTACAAAATTGACAGGCCGAGAAGCGAATGTCTGGCGCTTTAACCTGGTTAGTGGACACGGAAGTTCCACCTAGAGGAGTTGAATAACTCTGCTTTCAAACCAACAGTAGACATGGGCTCCAGGACCCTGAAGGAACAAATAACGTATGAACCTATTGTTGGTCACCAGCTACAACACAACTGCATCTCTTAAGGTTGCTCCACTGCTTTGCCATCTTATATCAACTACGCCAAGTTACAATGATCAAAATCGACACCAGAGTTTTAGAATTAGTAACAGTAATAGTCGTAGTAAAAAGGATCCAGTATAGACAACTTGACTCGTAAAGAAAGAATTCATTTGTACAAGAAAATGTATAAGATAATTTTAAAACATCATATAAATGTGTCTGTACCATTGGGATCCATTTGGATCTACTTTATCAAACATCTCCAATCATTGGTCACAACAGTCGTATAAACTCTAACCTTTTAGCCTACACTTACCTAAACGACTCAAATCAACAGTAATTGTCTTCATGGACTGATAGCATATCATAGTTTGGTTATTCAAATGATTTTTCCAATATACTCCAACTTCATACAACATTTTGAATTGAGTTATAGGGTGGCTCGGCGATAAAGTCAATAAGTTACTTACGCCTGTTACCCCCAATGGAGCATAGGTCGCCGACAAGCATTCTCCAACCGGCTCTATCCTCAACCTTCCTTTCTACATCTATCCAATTGCTGTCCATCCTTCTCATTTCTGTCTGCATTTCTCGATCTAATGTGTTCTTTGATCTTCTTCTCCTTCGACCTTGAGGATTCCAAGTGAGGGCTTGCCTTGTGACCTATTTGGGCGCTTTCCTCAATGTGTGTCCTATCCACTTCCAGCGCTTCATCCTGATTTCTTCCTCCACTGGAATCTGGTTTGTTCTCTCCCATAGTAGGTTGTTGCTAATAGTGTCCGGCCAACGGATCCGAAGTATTTTGCAGAGACAAGCGTTAATAAACACTTGTATCTTCTGGATGATTGCTTTCGTAGTTCTGCAAGTTTTCGTCCCATACAGTAGAAGTGTCTTGACATTTGTATCGAAAGTTGTGACTTTGGTGTTGGGAGACATTATTTTTAGCTCCAGATGTTCTTCAGTTGTAGATATGCTGCTCTTACTTTGACGATCCGCACCTTCACATCTGCATCAGGTCCACCGTGTTCATCAATTATACTGCCCAGATATATAAAGGTTTTTACATCATCCAGAGCTGCTCCATCAAGTGTGATGTGATTGGCGCATGTTTTATTGTATCGGAGAATCTTAGTTTTCCTTTTGTGTGTGTTGAGATCTATTGTTGCTGAGGCTGTTGATACAGTGGTCGTCTCCTCTTGCATTTGTTGTTGCTCGTGCGATATAAGAGCCAGATGATCTGCGAAGTCTAGATAATAATAATAATAATAATAATAATAATAATAATAATAATAATAATAATAATAATAATAATAATAATAATAATAATAAGAGCCAGATGATCTGCGAAGTCTAGATCGTCCAGCTACATCCTAGCTGTCCACTGTATCCCATGCTTCCCGCAGATGTTGACGTCTTCATAATCCAGTCGATCAACAGGAGAAAGAAAAAGGATGAGAGTAAGTAGCCTTGGCTGACGCCGGTCTTTACTTCGAACGACTTTGTCAACTCTCCTCCATGTACTGTTTTTCAGTTTAATCCATCATAGGAATTCCGTATAATATCGACTATCTTCTGAGGCACGCCGTAGTGTGGAAAAAGCTTCCATAGTGTTGTTCTGTCCACTCTGTCAAATGCTTTTTCGTAGTCAATGAAGTTGATGTAGAGTGATGAATTCCATTCAATTGATTGTTCCACAATGATCCGTAGAGTTGCGATTTGGTCTGTAAACGATCTATCCTCAAGGAATCCTGTCTGTTGGTCTCGAAGTTGGGCGCCTACAGAGTCCGCCCCGTTTTCCAGTGCTTCTTGAGTTTCAATTTCATCTTGGCAACTAGCAATTGATTATCTGATGCTATATTGGCTCCTTCTTTGATTCTCACGTCCACCATCGTCATTGTGCACTTTTTATTGATGCAGATATGGTCGATTTGGTTCTGTGTATTGTGATCCGGTGAGATCCATGTGGCTTTGTGTACGCTTTGGTGTAGGAATATGGTGCCGATAAAGTCGACAAATATTTCATTAATGAACTTACCATCTTTATTATTATTATTATTATTATTATTATTATTATTATTATTATTATTATCAGGTATTAAATTTACAAGACGAAAAGTCCCATCAACAATCTGAATTGAATCGTTTTAAAACTTATTTCAATTCATTGGGTTTAAATCCAGCGATATTGGCAACAACATCAATTAATTCTCAATCATCTCCAACATCTTCAGTAGTTACAGCTACAACAGGAGTTGAATCAATTGAAGGTGACTTAAATTCAATCAATACAGAATTATTAAATCAATCTGCTAGTTCCATATCAGCAATTACTTGTAGTAATAATGTTCTAATGAGTCCAACTATAGCTAATTTACGCATAAATCATTTACAAAATCAATTAAGTAAATTACGTGATGAATTGTATAGAACTGAGTGTGGTAAGATTTTTTTGTTGCTTTTCTGATTATTTGTCTCTTTCATTCGCCCTCTGTTATTTTGTTGTTTATGTTTCATATAAATGATTTAATTCCCCTTTGAATAATCATCAGTATAGAGTTGTGCATCGATTGATATCATGAATGGATCAATGTTAGATCACTATTGAAACATTGGATGACCGTTTCATCCTGATATGGGACTTCTCAGTAGTGCTCACCAACGATTCTACATGTGTAACTCAACCGCCGGACCTTCGGTCTCGTTCGCGAACGCTTAACTTCTAGACCACTTAGCCGGCATCCAATGGTGTTAATGTTTAACTTCAACCAATCTACGATATTGCGCAGCCGTCCACCATTGCCTTCACAACAGACACGGCTGAACTCCACTGGTCGTGACTTCTCATTTGAACTACATGAAATCCATCTTGAGGCTAGTTGGAGTAATCGTAATTAATGATTAGTGCGCGGGAAATTGTAATGATTGTGGGATCTTATAGTTTCTTCATCAATGTATGTCTCTTGTTGGATATAACCACTGAAAACCATAATGCATTAGAAAGCTGCTTCATCTTAGTTTGCGACCACTCAACGTGTGCATTTTCACGAGAACATTAGAGATTAAATCCTAAAACTCCAGGTCTCGACGGATGGAATTATTGAACCTTAGAACTCATGGTGTTGCATCTAGTGTTTTGAATATTTACGTCTGTCATTTCGCGATAAAGGGTATATTGTTGTCCGTTTTTAGCTGAAATGAAAACCTTAGGTAAATGACTTTTTCTGACTTGACAGTATCAATCAACAAGTTTTTTTCTCACAGTAGGTTGTTTTTGCTTCCAAATAGTTCAACCAATCATATGATACTGTCAAAACAGCGAAGATTTCATACGCCTGTGGAATTCGTTCTACCCGTCAACTACTGTTATCTTACGGGTATCTTTTTTCGAGAATTTTTAGGATGACGATTAGTGGAAATTGTATTTAAGTACTCGCTATATAACCTGTAGGTCTCTAGGAAGATTGTGAACACTCACTTCTAACAAATGCCATATTAAGACATGACAGTTGTATAGTGTATCCTGTTTCTTGAAGGTTGTTCAACCTAAGTTCCCTTCTACTTGTACTGTAGTGAACGAAGATTCAGGAAAGGAAACCCAATTAATTCCTTCTTATGTAGTCTTACTCAAAGTAAAATCACTACCTTTGTAAAATATGAAAATCGTGCATTATGTACATCATTTGTATGTCTTCCTTCAGTTGCCCTTTGCATACTCATTGTTCTTCCAATCCAGTCGTTATTTCAATTGTTTTCTGTTTTCTTTCCTCTTATGTTCATTCCAATCTTCTACTGATATGCATTTTATTTTCCATTTTTGCCTTGTACTACTTATATCTGTCCATATAAGTAGTGCACACCATAATCCAATTTATAACACGAATAATTCATTGAAATGAAGGGCATGGTTTGTAGCTCATGTAGATGATTTTAGTGGAGTTGTGTTCTCTGAGCATTATAGTTTAATCGTGAAATCTTCATTAAATTTCCAAACGAAATCAGTACAATCTTCATATACCAGTGAACTATTTAAATCTCCTCGTATGCGACAAACAGTTTGTTCTGTCAACTTTCCACTGTAATCTTTCTTGTAGTTTTGGAGCAGTTTATCTTTGTAAAGAAAAATATGTTCAGTCAAATCGTAAACAACTATAAAACTTAGAATCAGATCAAATAAACAAGATAATGTATGAACAATCAAAGGGCAGTGATCGAAAATAGTAAACATCAATCGAAGTTAGTATTGACAAAACAAGATGCTTGTAGTCAATTGTAATGAAATTTATCCAGCTTATTTTCTTAATTTTATGCTGATAATGATGTTATTATCTAAAAAATCAGTAAATGCGACTCAACTCATGAACCGATCTATGTCAGATCACTATCGGAAGGTTGGCAAGTACTGAAAGGCTGTTTCGTTCTAGTATTAAACCCCTCAACTGTGTTGTCTTTGACCCAAAACTCAAGACCGAGGGTGCTGGGTTCGATTCCCGCGTAGGAGTTAAATACCAGGCCTTCAATGGCAATTCAACTTAGATCGTGTTCATAATTTCAATGAAATTCAATAATTTCCTCAACCTTTTACTGAAAGTTTCGATGTCTAATCTTTTCTATTGTCATTAATATACTGTTTATTACCTCTACTACTCTGTTATGTGATCTGGAAATTTCAAATCACTGTACTTATTCGCGTTATGGTAATTGAGATCGATATACACACTTGTGTCAGTTTGGTGTGTGCTACTTATACGGACAGTAGTAGTATGTAACAGGAATTGAAAATGAAATGTATATCATTAGAAGATTGGAATAAAGTGAAGAGCAAAGAAAAAAGAAGGCGATTGGAATAACAACTGGATTGGAAAAGTGATGGAATATGTAAAGGACAACTGAAGGAGGAAGATATACAAATGATGTATTTAATGCACGTTTTTTATATTTTACAAACATACTTTTTGACTTTGAGTAAAACTACATAAAAAGGGTTAAACTGATTTTCCCATCTTAGGTTCTTGTTCACTGCACCTGAATCGGTTTATGTCGGACTGATCTACTTATTATTAAACCATCCAGTTAAAGTAACGCTATTTAACCGTAATAAAATATTCATTATTTTTATCACATACTCTATTCCTCGGGCTTAATAGTCACTTAATGGTTGTTTTCTTCACTTCATTTTTACGTCTTTTTTTGCTCTATTTTACAAAATAATGATTTAGATAAAGAAGAATTAAAAATTCAATTAACCGAAATCACTGCACAAAATCTTGAATTAAAACAAAAAGTAAGTAAATAATAGTTATTAATGTTCAACTTTTATTGAATTTAAACTGTTTTGACGCGCTTACTCTGCATTGATCTGAGAGTTATACACTTGGTACCTGCTAGTTTTGTGTGAGTTAGTGCATGTGATGTTCATATTCACTGCCATTGAGTAGTCTTTTGTCAGGACGAAACAGTCTTTTACTGTTTCCTGATCTACATTGAATGTTTACCTATGGTTGATAGTTATAGTAGCATTATGAACTTGTCGACTTCTTTTAAATAGATTACATGACAACTCATAATAGAATATAAATTCCGTCATCCAGTGTCAAGGAGGAGATAAAGAGAGATATGCATGTGAGTTTGTATTGATAAAACATGTTCCCAGTGTTGAATATCTTGATAACACTGACTAGTTGGAACGAATAATTATTATGTATGTATGCAGTTTGATAGCTATCCAATTAGAATAATACAAGATACAACTGGTGTATCACGTGTATATTTGTTAGATCCACTAATCTGTAGGTACATTCTATGGCGCATATATACATATACTTGACAATTGATCATATCCCCTTCATTCATGCAAATTACCATGATCTTCCTAAGTACCAAATACTGTCATGATTACTCCTAATAAAATGTATGTTTAATAAAACAAAAAATTGTATATAACTACAACAATAATTTAGCGGTAATTTTGACTTAGTCAATCAGTCGATAACGCAATAGTTTGTCAAATGAAAGATACTGGATTTTAGTCAAAGTAGGGAGATTGAATATTTCTATGTAAAATATCTGTCCATTGGTTTAATAATGAGCTGTAAAATTAATACGATTGTTAAAATTTGATTCTATCACTTATTAAACGAACACAAACAATTAAACTTCCAGTATAGTAATTATATAAAGCCAATCAATGAATTATGTAGAGTTAGACATAAGTTGAATGCTTAAATAATTCCAAGTTTCAATATTGCTCCAGATATTTTAGTTTATTCGCCGAATAGTCGTATTAAAAAACCTGGACATGTGTACATGCAACTATAGGATGTCTGAAAGTCAGTTGTCATATGAAGAAAGGTCTGGGAACTAGAGAGTGTACCAACGTCATGGAATGAGTCGATAGTTGTCCCTATCTTTAAAAAGGGTTCACGTCGTTGCTGGGATAAGTCTACTTCCGGTTGCGTCCAAGCTATTGGCTTCCGTCATTCTTCGTTGGGTTATACAAAACCCGAGAAAGATTGACTTGCGAGGAACAGGCTAGTTTTTGTCCCGGTCGAGGATGTATTGATCATATATTCACCCTCCGCCAAATGACTTCCTGGCTGGGGTCCGAGAGATGGTGCAACACAGTGGCTAGAGACGTTATCAGATATGGCTCAGAATAGAAGCCAGTGGCAATCCTTCTGTAACCTTCCTTTACTTTCTTCATAAAAAGTGGTTGCTTCTTCCTTAACTGAAAAATCTCTTCTGATTGTACGTTTTTGTTTCCCCCATGATTATTATTATTATTATTATTACACTACCCTACACTAGTCTGTTCGTTATTGTTCTTTTTTTCTAACGCTCCTAACCTTTCTTTTTTTTCCTTCTCTTCAAATTCTCATTGTTTTGTGTGGCGCATATATATTTGGTGCCCTCTTTTGTTTTCAAATAAATAAATAAAAATATGAACGAATCATTTGTAGGACAGTCATCAAGAAGTCAAGAAGGTACTAGGTTGAGGTCATGTATGCCTACCACTATTGAGGAGTTTTATGCTAAGTTAAAACAACTATCCAGTTATTCCTTGTGTTCAATGATCAATCCGTGTTCCAATCTGTAGAATTCAACAACTTTAGCAAACCAATTTACACAAACACTTGATAAATAATTTAAATCAATACATTACAACGGAACATTAATGCATTGAAATGTTAATCATGCACATAGATGCTCTATTCAACTGTCTTCTTGTTGTTGTATCTTTTCTCTCTCCTTCGCTTTCTACCACTGTAGTGTACCATTTTAACGGCAAAAGCAGAAGAAAGTATTCATTTAAAAGATGAATTAGATATTGCTCGTGAAGAAGCATCTAATATATTACGTTTATCTACAACTATTGAACAATTACGTAAACATGCTGATGAAGTAGTTAGTTTACGTTTACGTTGTTCACAATTAGAAAATGATAATCAAATTTGTGTACAACGTTTAACTGAATTAGAACAAGAAACACGTTTAGATGGGAATATACGATCAAAAGTAAAAGCTCAAGCACGTTTACAAATAGAAGATGCACAATTCTTAGCAAATGAAGCAATAAAACGTGCTGAATTAGCTGAACAAAATTTATTAAAAATTCGACAAGAATTAATTAATGTAAATCGTGAAAAAGAGGTATGTATGTTTTTCTATTTTACTGTGAGGTTATGTTTTATGTTTCGCTTTTCAGTTTCATAAAACATTTGATACATTATTGATGTTATTGAAGAGTTCTTCACAATTCTCAAAGTACTTCTATTATTACCAGTATATATATAGGGTTGTGAACTGTTGTTTCTTCCAAGTATGGGCTCCTCAACAATGTTCATCCATGATATTATTTACTCATTTTCTTGGTTTACATCGATCAGGATAAAAGGACGAATATACTATGCGGCAGTCTGTTCTGTTTTAATTTACGGCAGCGAAACATGGCCATTAAGACTAGAAAATACTGGTAAGCTACTAGTATTTGACCACTGATGCCTTAGAAATATTGCTGACGTCTGCTGGGATCACCGGGTAAGTAGTAGCGAGGTTAGACGCAGGGTAATAGGGAATGATGGCAAATCAGTTGATGGGGTTGTGAATCTTCATCGACTGAGATGGTTGGGCCATGTGTTGCATTTTCCCGTTATTCGATTGATTTGTTTTGTTAATCAAAAGCCTTTAGGTATTGATAATCAGTTTGATAATTCCACATGTAATGTAGACAAATGTAGCCTGTATAGCGAGACCTTTTCATTAGTCAGTCAGTCAGTCAGCTACAACGTAGGACCAGGCACATATATACAAGTCCAAGTTGGCATACCTCATCAACACAACAAAATGAACACCGGATTCATAAAAGTAGTTAATTCAGAGGTGGTAATATATAAAAGAAAGATTGCATATAAAGATATAGTACAGGAAGAAAGAATTAGTTCATAGAAAGAAAGATATGAAGCGATTTTAATCTCTTAGTTTAAGGGAAGACAGGGAGTGTATACACCGACGCCATTGTGATCGATTCTGAGCCATGTCACCAAGAGTCTCCAATCATTGGTTACAATAGTCACGCGGACCCCAGCCAAGTAGTCTGCATCTACCAACATGGCTCAGACTAGAAGTTAGTGACTTCAAGCACTGATGCCACGTTTTGGTTTGGCCGCCCCTAACTTTCTTCCAACCATCCCCAACACCGGTTAGCATTGCACGTCGTGGTAATCGATGTTCACGCATACGCAACACATGGCCCAACCATCTCTATTTTATAGGACAAACGACATTAAGAATATAAATGAATGGCATCTTTTAGTATTTTGACCCTGATTTTGTTTTGCCTATGAGATTACTTCTTTGATCCGTACATGTATATATATTTATTTAAAAATGCCTGGTTATGTCTCAAACGTTTATTTCGTCTGTTGTGTTTATATATCAATGGGAAATATATTCATTCCTACATGACAAATATATTGATACTTTAGCACGTTTCCGTTTCTGCTTCTCCGTTATTTTTCAGTGTATCTTCTCTGAACTTACTCGTCTTAAATCTTGTTGTGAAGGTCTTCAATCATGTGCGCAAGCATCAAATTGTAAGTTTATCCTGTGGAATTGACTTACTAATTAACTTTTTGATTAAAAAGTATTCTACTTATCGATGAGTACTTCGTGAATGAATTTCTCATTTTTTCCATACATTTTAAGATCTGGTGATCTCGAATACTGTTAAGAGGTTATCGAGGCGGACTTCACTTTCCGGTAACTCATACCGTTTAACGATGTCTGTTTTCAAGGACTTGAAAAGGAAACTGAATTGAGATTAGTGATCTTATCAACCGGGCCCTAAATACCCATGCACAAACGAGAGTGGGGAAAGTCCTCCGTCCCTCTCAAAATGCTCTCACACGGCTACGCGTTTACGGCCAATGTTAGATAATTCCTGCTCACTACCTTCTCGTGGCGAGGGTGTTGTTTACAGAATGGAGAGGACAAAAAGCAAATATCCGGGTTGGTGGATATGAAGGATTTACGTACGGGAGTTAAAAACACTGATTCCAAACCAATGGTGCACATGTTCTCCAGGGTGCTGGAGACAAAATACGTATAAATCTACTGTTGTTCATTGGCTACCGAGGGACTGCATCACTTGACGTTGCTCCACTGCCTTATGGATTAGGTCTTTAGGCTAAGGACTCGAGGTACGCCTTCCTAAGAAAAGTACCTTCTTCGGTTTGTTTTCTCGGGTAGTATCCCAGAATATAAATTTGATGTCTCCTTGATACAACGTTTATATTGTTTAAACAAATATAACTTGTCAACTTGGAACCATTGTCATAAACTCGAAGGAACATATATATATAACACTAATATCAGCTTCCACTCTATGAACCATATATTTCACAAATACTTGATTTACATCCATGCAAACCAGACCACATTACATTACATCACAAATAAAAGATGACAACTATACAATATCAAGTTCAATGTGACTGTCATTGTGATTGGGATAAACTTATGAATAATAATTTGTATGATGGTAGTCAAAAAGTCAAATAAAAACTTATGATAAAAGTAATATAAATACATATAATCTAGTTACTTAGTCGTTATACAATATGAATATATGTATATATACATCATAACAGTCCATGAATAGTCCCTATCAGTTGTCGTTCTTTTCGAATATAACATAGCCTCTTTACGGTGATTCGCTTTTCATACGTTAGATCCTTAATTTACAGACCACAACAATCGACAGCGGAAATCAACGGTACACGATGAGGTATAAGAGGGCAGTATCTCTCCAGATTGTGGTTGCTTCAGTTTAACACCCCAATTATGTCACATCTCTATGCTGTTGGTAGTACAACTTCTCTTGCGTATCTGTAATTGTACTACCCTTTCACTAGACTGCTTGGCATAGTCAGACCTTAAGATGCCAACGTTCTAGTCAACATACTCGAATGAATCACATCACGATGAGCAAGGCTCATCATCAGGTTAGAGTGGCCGCTATTGTTGGATATTTGCTGACTAATTGAAATTCTATCTGTAAGAGAAGTATTTCTACGAGGTATAGTTTATTGTACCTGGAATCAGATGAATCATTGACTCATTCTGTGGCATCGAACTAGACTTTTCGTTATTGAGTCATATGGATGAGCAAACTTACAGTTTGCATAAATTATTGTTTTGAAGTGAAGCTCTCGCTCAACTTTAAACGGTGTACATTAATTAATTTCATCTTATTGGGTTAGGTGTCATTAATTTTGGTACTGTGTTGGTTTTTTGACGCTGAGAAAAATAGTTATGTTCATCATTGTGAGCTATTCAGTAATTTGTTATTATTGAAATCATGAACCAATGTAAATCAGGCAACTGTTGAGCATTGGATATGTGTTTCATCCTGCTTTACTGCGTCCAACTTGAGCTGTAGAACTCTCTACGTCGCAAGTTTGAAGACAAAGGACTGGTGGCAAGAAATGTTATTCCAAACAGTGTCACGTATGGTATAACTACTTAGGTATTTATAGCTTACAATAAAAACGAAATCATCATTACAATGATCCAATCTATGTGCAGTACTTTTTAGTATCTGTCCAATCGGACAGTTATACGTCAAGATTCTGGAATGTTCTTCGAAAACATGATTGAATGGAATGTCTTCGGCTCTTTTCGAGCTTCTTAGGGCCTTCTTGAGATCACCGGGTGTCCATCGTAATATTGTGCTTCTTAGCAGTGGTCATCTATAACCTTACCATTCATCTAGCCCATAATCTTCAGGCCTTGCACCAAAAGCTTAGCATTCAGATCAATCAATATTTATCTAATTGTTCACATGTACCTAACTTGAGTTCATTTGTGATTATTGCATAACTTAACTTATTACAGTATAGCATAGAACAGAAACGATCGACCCCGTTTCTTTTATTATATTGTATTGTTTTTATTACACACTCATTCATGTGATGATGATATTGAGTTCGTTTTTCTTTTGCTACATTTCTAACTGAACTAAAACTTTTAACTAACTACTATTTCTGTTGAGTTACTTATTGAATTTAGTACACTCATTCTCTTCTTTGTTAATGATATTCATTATAATCTTAAGTAAATTGTTTTCTGCTACTTATCTACTAGATGATACACCAGCAATGGAATCACAAATGTTAAATTTACAAGAAGAATTATGTCGTTTACGTACATCAATGTATGTTAGTGATGTGAATGGTGGTAACAGTATGAACGAAGTTGGCGGCAATACTACTACTACTACTACTACTACTGCTATTGCGACTGGTATATTAGACAATGATACTGGTTTTGTTGATGATAATGATGTTCATCATTTCAATATGTCCGTAACATCACAAAACAAACTGAATACTAATGATAATGATTGTCATTCATTAACTGTCAATGATAATGATTCTTCTAGTACACATAATTTACAAACATCATCTACAAATTCTTATCATATTCATATTGATAAAGATATGAGTAATTCATCTGCCGTCACTACATTGTTATATACAAATTTAATGACAAAATTAACTCAAAAAGAAACAGATTTCATTGAAATGGAACAAAAATATCGAGGTTATTTATGGAAAGCACGTGAAGTGATACGATTGTTAGAACGTCAATATCGACAACATCAACATAATTGCCCACAATATAAAGAGAAAATAATCATTGATATAAACAATACTAATAGTACTGATACTAACAACAATAATATAAATAGTGATAAATTAAATGAAGAAATTAATTATTTACGTACGTTATTAGTTGAAAAAGAACGTGTTATTGAGAAATTAGAGGTAAGTAATGTTGTTTACTGGTCTAAAAAGGATAACTTCATATATGAGTGATTGATATTTTGTCAATATTTTTTACTCTAGTTTATTTGTTGTTCTTGCTAGAACCAAATCAATTTCTATACGAGTATTAGGTACTTCTGTACTCATTCATGCCCCCAAATACCCTGGAACGGCCGAGAATGGGAAGAGTTCGCTCTTCCTCTCGAAATGCTCTCACATGGCCACACGTACACAGCCTCTGTCAGGGAAGTCCTGTTCATTGTCTTCTCGTGGCTGGGGTGTTGTTTACGAAATTGAGAAGACAAAAAGCGAATATCCGGGTTAGTGGACATGAGGAGACCGCCTAGGGGAGATGGAATAACCGGATTACAAACCAATGGTGCACATGGGCTCCAGTATACTGGAGGAACAAATGGCGTATGAACCAATTGTTGGTCACCGGCTACCATGGGAGTGCATTTCATTGCGATGCTCCACTGTTTTGTGTATCAGACCTTCGGCTCGAAGTCTCCGAGTGTGACCTCCAAATGAAACAACCTGCTTCGGTTTGGGTGCTCGGGTAGTCTCACAGCCCTCACACAAATCAAATGAGATTTGTGTGGCGCATATGTATTCAGTGCCCGTTTTGTATCAATATCTATCTGGTAAAATAAATAAATTAACGATTTCTAGGCGTCTGAGGAGTTCTAGAAGACTCTCAATAGATAAATATATGATGAAACTGGTTAGTGTTAACTTCTTCTGTTAATTGTTCATTGTTTCCTTTTGTTTCAATTATTCATGTTTTGTTACATTTTTTTGAATTGTATTCCTTTATAATATTTATAGACTCATCATGAACAAATGAGACGTCATCATGAAGCTGAAGAACGTATTCTTTTAACTGCATGGTATAATTTAGTAATTAAATCAACTAAAAACTTAATTGAATCAGATCTAAAACAAAATTGTCATAATTCTTCTCCTGAAAAACTCAATAATTTTCTATCATGTTGTAATACAGAAACTAATTTATCATTTTTAACTCGACAACGTAATGTTCATTTGAAACCCCCGACTGATTTAACTTCATTAGTGATGGCAACAAAACAGTAATTGGTTGTTGTTGTTGTTGTTGTTGTTGTTGTTGTTGTTGTTGTTGTTGTTGTACCCATATATACCTTCATTTCTCATTGGTCCACATTATATTTTCTATTATCCTTGTGCATTTCACTAGGATTGATGATCATTGAATTCCATTTTTTCAGGATTACAATCAAGTTTGTTTTCCGCATTTCAATTCTTAAGTAACCTCTTCCTACTTTCAATGCAGCTATTCTACAAATTCATCAAATATATTTTATATCATGATTATTTCATATTTAACCCTTGAAATTTGATCTGATTGATTATTCTTGAAGTGATCTTTAAAGTCAAAAAGTGATGATCCCGATCATTGTCAGTTCAATTACTTATTATTGATTGAGTAATTTGATTTTGAGTTTCATGTGGATTCTCAATTGTTTCTCACTTCATATTTACATGAATCGTTGTACATATGAAGCTAATTTTACTGTTACATTTTCTGTTTAATTCATTTTTTGTAATTACTCATTGATAATATATACTTACTTACTTACTTACTTACTTACTTACTTACTTACTTACTTACTTACTTACTTACTTACTTACTTACTTACTTACTTACTTACTTACTTACTTACTTACTTACTTACTTACTTACTTACTTACTTACTTACTTACTTACTTACTTACTTACTTACTTACTTACTTACTTACTTACTTACTTACTTACTTACTTACTTACTTACTTACTTACTTACTTACTTACTTACTTACTTACTTACTTACTTACTTACTTACTTACTTACTTACTTACTTACTTACTTACTTACTTACTTACTTACTTACTTACTTACTTACTTACTTACTTACTTACTTACTTACTTACTTACTTACTTACTTACTTACTTACTTACTTACTTACTTACTTACTTACTTACTTACTTACTTACTTACTTACTTACTTACTTACTTACTTACTTACTTACTTACTTACTTACTTACTTACTTACTTACTTACTTACTTACTTACTTACTTACTTACTTACTTACTTACTTACTTACTTACTTACTTACTTACTTACTTACTTACTTACTTACTTACTTACTTACTTACTTACTTACTTACTTACTTACTTACTTACTTACTTACTTACTTACTTACTTACTTACTTACTTACTTACTTACTTACTTACTTACTTACTTACTTACTTACTTACTTACTTACTTACTTACTTACTTACTTACTTACTTACTTACTTACTTACTTACTTACTTACTTACTTACTTACTTACTTACTTACTTACTTACTTACTTACTTACTTACTTACTTACTTACTTACTTACTTACTTACTTACTTACTTACTTACTTACTTACTTACTTACTTACTTACTTACTTACTTACTTACTTACTTACTTACTTACTTACTTACTTACTTACTTACTTACTTACTTACTTACTTACTTACTTACTTACTTACTTACTTACTTACTTACTTACTTACTTACTTACTTACTTACTTACTTACTTACTTACTTACTTACTTACTTACTTACTTACTTACTTACTTACTTACTTACTTACTTACTTACTTACTTACTTACTTACTTACTTACTTACTTACTTACTTACTTACTTACTTACTTACTTACTTAATACCAAGTGATATTCGAAATTTACGAAATTAAGAAGTTTGATAGTAAATATCATGTAAGTTATTACAAATACGTGTAAGCTTCAGTTCGTTTATGTCTGTGAGGCCAAATAAGGTAATAACGTAAGATCAATAAATTACAGTAAGTGCTTTTAGAAGTTTATACGAATGATAGCTGTGTCGTTGTGACCATATTTTGTCGTTACTGGATTCTTGTTTCAGCTGAATTTGTCTTTCATGGACACTGCTATAGGCCGTCACGTGAATCTATCAATGCAGGTGAAAATATAACTAAAACCATGTAAAATCGTCAGCGGTCCGACAATATCGACATGTATATGCTTGAACGTGCTATCAGGATGATGTAAAAGACTTACTGCGGAACTAATGTAACAATGTGTCTTAATTTAGCCATACAAAACACTCGCTGATTAATTTGACTGTGGCTTTTATCCCAGGATGCGATATTTTATTCATAGCTCCAAAAACTTTTTATCTTAGTGGATTAGGAATAAATGGTCGTTGTTGGCCCGTAGAAGTAGCACACGTGATGCTTACTTTTTCTAATGGAATTTCTTTTAGTGCCAAAGTGGTTGTGTTGGCAGACCCTAGTCTGTCTAGCTCAACATCCATATTTCGCAATGCTGGTAATTTTTGATAAAGGATTTCATGTTGGATGAGGGCGTTTATCATTGTTCTGGGAAACGCATGTGCCACTTCGTTATTATTACCTTTAATATTCTGTATGCTAGACATAAATTGGGAAATAAATTCGAATTTCCCTCGGCGAATAGTTATCTTGCCTGACATTTAATGCTTTCGTGACGGGTTTATGATCTGTATACACTGTGAAAATGGTACCCTCTATCATATGTCGGAAATGCTTTATCGCTTAGTAAGTCGATAAAAATTCTCCGAAAGCGAAAGTGGTTCCAATGTGCCGTTTACCAACTGCTGCAGTATGGCCCCCATTGCTATGTTCTATGCGTTTGTCATCACGGCTGGTACTAACTTCGTTTTATATAGCACTTGCTTAGCGTTCTTATATCCCTATATAGCCTCTATTGACAGATGAAATTTTCGGGTATGTCCTCGTAAAGTGTCCGTTAATGTTTGTAATATTATTGCGCAGTTTGGAATAAATTTTCCGTAATAATTTATTGGTCCCAACAATGGTCGTAATTTCTTTTGTGGTTCGGGAAACGGATAACTACGAATAGGAGCACCCTCTGTTGGAACTAGCATTATACCTTGAGAATTTATCATATGACTCAGGAATTGCATTGATTCCTTTCCAAACTCACTATTCCACCTTAATAGTGATGCCATGTTCTTGAAGTTTCAGAAACAACTGTCGTAGATTTGCTACAGTAGCGCTGGCTACTGGTATATCATCGATATGTGCGTATACTTCTGTCAAACCTCCAACAACCTGACCAATGAATTGCTGGGAGGTTTGGGCTGCATTAGTTAATTCAAAGGGCATTTCCCGTTCTTGTTATATCTTCTGGCGCCATGGGAATGTAATAAGCCCGAACAAGATCAATGTTTGAAAAGTTCGAGGAATCTTCCATATCAGTAGTAATGTGGTGGATGTGCGGCGCCGGATATCTATTTGCCACGGTTTGTTTGTTAAGGGTTCTACAATCTCCACATGGCCTGAACCATATGCAACGGGGATGACCAGGAACTGTTAGATAGCCTTATGATCATCAATTTTTGGAGTTTTCGTTTAGCAATTTTTGGGTCTAACCTTCGTGGTCTTGCATTTGTCGGTGGGTATTTCGTTAGAATATGGTGCCCTCGCCAATTCTGTTGACTACTACTACTACCTATATCACTCTCTTTCGTCTTTTCACACTACTAAATTCATAGATACGTGATCGGTGGTCACTCTTTTTATCACTATTGAATGGTCTCCATTCACCAGCCCGTTTCGTCGGGAATCCACGAGTAAGTTGAGATTCTTTAAGAAATCAATACCAATTATAGGCACGAATACATCTGCGACAATGAATTACCACCAAAATGAAGTACTACTACCAAAATTCAAGGTTTTTTGTCGCTTTCCATGTGTTTTTATATAGGATTTGTTTGCTGCATCAGGGTTAGTGTCGCACTAATGTTTGTCGCTCACTGGGGGCACGACGATTATCCCTCCCACCGTGTCTACTAAGAATCGACCTCCTGTTACTCTGTCCTGTACATAAACTATTGTTTCTAGAAGCTGTGTTAGATGTCGCAGCCTTTTCCGACAACCGATGAGATCGTTTAAATTTGCATGATTTATATTTTCGCGCTCTGACGTCGGACGGTGATAGTACCGGGATATTGTAGGAGCTGAGCGTCTCCGAGAGCACAATCGGCTTCTATCTCTCTGATTTAGGTTCAGTTTGTGGCACATAACATTGATCTGTTTTTGTAATGCATCGATTCTTTCATCTTCTGTGAAGTTGTGCCTTTGTCTCATAAAGCCTATCGGCTATTTTAGTGATGTTGTCTATGTCTGCATCGCTATCCCGAATGCAAGGATCTGTTGGACATTCAGTGGGAGTCGTCGGATCCATCGACTTTCTGTCCCCGATTATACTACTCATAAATTTTTTGACTGCGATCAAATCCTATCTTCGATTCGCACTCAACTGAGCAGCTGCTCGGCGGTTTGCAGGTCTGTTAACGAAACGGCTCTTATCACTGCTTGCTTTGATACATCGTATGATTTTTCCGCGTTCTACTTAATGTAGGAGGTGTCTTACCTATCTGCTTCTTCATCTGGAATTAGTGAACTTGCGTGACCAAATTTATGTTGCTGTAAACGAACACCGGTTTAAAGAAGGATTGGGAGAATGTACGAAGACCAAAGCATTATTAACCCTCAAACATGGAACAACTCTCGATGCAAAAGACCTGTACATTATGCAGCGCTACCTATTTTTGAACAAGAATCGGAACGCCTGCAAAGAAGTGCAACCACAGGACCAGTGATTTTTTCTGATTGAGCAGCACCAATAGTGATTGTTAAATAGCATATTCGAGGTATATGGCTATGCGCAGATTATGTCACTGGATTAAACGAATTACTTGAAACCTATCAGTACACTTCAATGTTACCAGAAGAATTATTTGCGAAACTGGGGGGAGTATTTTGCAAAACTGGACTTACAGATTACAGTGGCAGAAGAGTGTAAGCATTACTTGACAGTAAACACTCATAAAGTGTTGTTCCGACATAACAGACTTCTGTTCGGAGTAAAGACCGCCGCTTCAATCTCTCAACAAGTTATGAACACCATGCTACAAGATATTCCAGGTACTGCGGTCTATCTCGATGACATATTATTCATCGGTACAGACTATGCTGACTTATTAGCGACTTGAGAGGGTTCTAGCATTCCAGTGCTCAAATTATACGCGGCATATTAAGAATCTAACCTCTAGGTATAACACCTATCCAGTCAGAAACAATATCAGTATCTACTCTCGAACGTCACACGTCAAGGCATATGCAGTTGTCTAAACCGGGTTAATCAAGTTGGAAATCTTGTATTCAGATAAAGTATTGCCAAGTTGACTTAATGCAAACAAAAATCGTTTGATCGATGTGACTTCTTTTCTCATTGTATATGAACAGAATAGTTCTAAAACGAAACAACCCCAAATAGATAGAAATGTTGTCAAGGAGATCGAGTATAACTAAAAAAAAAGAACACTTGTATTTATACACATTCATATGTCGTACATACATACATACATACACACTTTTAACATCATGATTATAGTAAATTGCAGCAGAACAGCATGTGACAAAACACACCATGTCACTCTAATTGATATATACACACACACACACAGATAGTTCAATCATCTTTTTGCTTTTAATGTTTTAGATAAAAAAACATTTCCAAATATGAATCCAATGACTTAAATTCTTAGATTCTTTTCTATAAAAACTTCACAACTATAACAGTATCTATCTACAATGGTACTGAATGAGTGAATGAATGAAGATGTATGAATTACATTGAATATTATAGTGTTCAATAAAAAATAATGACAATTTTATCATGTTAAACATATCGACTAAGTTAATGAAAACTCCAACCCCAACCTCATCATCATCACCACCACCACAGAGCACCACGACTACTACCAAGAAATGTGTTTGTTCATAACTTAGATACATACATAGTGAACATTGAAGAAAAAAAAAAGAACAATTTAACCAACATAAAAACTTGTCATCTCATTTTTTTTTATTTTCTTCTTTCAATATAAACAATTCTAGAACAGATTATTAACAAACTGAGAAGAAACAAAAGTTAAATTACAAGTTAAAATAATTATGGACAATATGGAAACAATAAGCTTATCTCCGTGTGTGTGTGTGTGTGTGTGTGTGTGTGTGTGTGTGTGTGTGTGTGTGTGGAGATTCCTAAACAACGAAGAGTATTCACTCATTCATTCATTCATGTCATCTGTTCATTTAGATGAGAAACGATAAAACTATTCATGATGATGATGATGATGATCACAGGGATATTCACAATGATCAATAAAAAAAAACATTGATCAGTATGATTCTCTTCATTTCTATTGAACTGAAATCAATAAATGATAATCTACTCATGTTTATTATGTAATAAATAAACATGCAAATAGACAATAAACACATCATTCATAATAATCGAATAGTTGGCAAAGAATGAATGAAAAAAGAAATAAATGAATCATGTACAAAGTGTGTGTGTCTCTATGTGTGATAAAATAGTCTTCAATTGATTTTATACTTCTTTGTTTATGGATTTATTTTGAACATTTAAAAGAACAAGTGTTCGATCATGGAAACCGGCGGCAATCAATGGCTAGTTTTATGTTACAAAAACAAATAAACAAACAACAATATAAACATTGTTAGAATTGTAAAATTACACATGAACTAATAATAGTTAAACAACTATTGGAAACTTCAAAGCACTAGACAAATGTTTTGTCCTAATACAAGACAATTCAGTCCACAAGGGTGCTTGGTACCTGTGTGGCTGCGCCACAGGATTGAGCTGTATTATTCAGATTGTAGCATTAAAGCCTATACGGTGTCTGGTTCTCCTGTGAAGCACGATTGAGCTGTACTGCTCGGTTTATAAAATGTAAGCCTGGGTGGTGTCTGCCTCTCCTCTTAAACGGGGTTGAGTTGTACTATTTCGGTTGTCACATGAAAATCTGGATGGTGTCTGGTTCTCCTGAAAACCAATGTAAAATTACTCTGGCCCACAAGGGTATATTATATAACTGTGAATAGCCCCGCAAATACCATGGTACGGTCGAGAGTGCGGAGCGTCCACCCACCCTCTCGAAATGCTCTCACATGGACACGCGTATATAGCCTCTGACAGGGAAGTTCTACTCACTGCTTTCCCGTGACGCGGGTGTCGTTCACGAAATCGAAAAGACGAAAAGCGAACGTCCGGCTCTTTAACCAGGCTGGTGGACATGGAGACTCCACCTAGAGGAGTTGGGAAACCCTGATTCCAAGCCAATGGTGTGCACGGGCTCCAGTGTCCTGAGGGGACCAAAGGCGTATAAACCAATCGTTGGTCACCGGCTACCATGGAACTGCATCTACTTACGTTCCTCCACTGCCTTGTGGATCAGACCGTTGGATCGAAGGCTCCGGATGTGGCCCCTTAAGAAAGTTACCTGCTTCGGTTTGGGCACCCAGGCAGCCCTCACACATATCAAATGAAATTTTTGTGGCGCATATGTATTTGGTGCCTCTTTGTACCAATATCTATGTGTTGAAATAAATAAATAAACAAGATCACTAAGTCGACATTCAGTATTGGATAGGGATCATTGAGTAGCCGCAAAACAGTTGTTCAATGTTATCAATATATGCCGAAGTTTCACCAATCGGAAGTCGAAGACCTGGTGGCAAGAAGTTAAGAAGATCGAAGAGAAGAGAACGACAACAAAAAGTGATTGGTGTAGAATCGAAGGAACAATCAAGTTAGAGATAATTGATTGACATTTTTCAAATGAAGTGTTTACTCTATAGTTTACAGATTTTACTAAGATTCTGTAATTTTGTGTTTAAATACATTTAGTTCTCCTCGTCTCTGTTATCGTTTCCTATAGTAGATTGGTTCAAAATACCGAGATTAGAAGCATGTTTAACTGATGCTTTCGAATAAGGAATGTCTACATCATCAACCTTTTACGTTTGATTCAGAGATTAAACTGGAAGATAGGAAGTAAATGTTGAAAGGAACGTTAAAATTCTCTTTAATTTTAACTAATTATATTGAGAAAGTGTATAACTGTATGAAGGGATAGTTCTTTTAGGAAGGGGTGTTTGGTAAATCGGCTGTCATAATCGCTGGAGATATCTAGTTATTGACATGAGTTTAGATCAATTACCTCTAACATCTCCCGATCCTAATCGGCAATTCTGATGTAATAGATGAGATTGCACATCAAGCTATATTGAGTGGAACACTCTTTACTTAGGATATTACCATACGAAGCAGGTTGGTTAGAAAATAGTGAGATTCAAGAGAGAAGTTGTACGGTTAATTGACAGCACTGCTATCTCCTTCAGACAAGCACCATACACAGAGATGATAAAGTCTAGCGTTATGCTAAGAGCAGCACACTTTATCTGGCTCTAGAGATTTCTCTTTCAAGTACTGAGGCGTTAAAAGTAAGGAGATAAGAGATGAAGATCTACTCGTAATGCAACCGTGTGACAGGCACCAGGAAGTTGTCCTTTCGACTGCACAGTTTCATCTAGGTCGCTAAGAACACTTCTAATCCAGTTCCAACCCTCGTACCTCATAGAAGAGTATCTCCCCACAATGTAGATAACCATGAACTGATCAGTCTCATATGCATCAATCACTCCGCTAGAGAGATCACTTTGTGTTCACAATCAAAACCCTGAAGTATTTTAAATTCATAAACACAATAACAATAAATCTATCATAAATAAACAAAAGGAAATAAGCATTACATCAACCGGAATACAAACCTCGTTTGGATGAAAAGCACAACATGTGGGAGTTCCAAATTGTTCACGACCAAAATTATTATTGTTAGTAATATTAAAATTTCTGATAGAAGAATGTAAACTACCATCTTGAATACGATGTAATGAAATACTTGATTGACCACGAATACCAGCTAATGCAAGATGTGCATGTGGTGATGATAGATTAACCTAAGTAAAACAAAGTAACAATACATACACACACATAATATAATGAAGTTTGGCAAAAAGATCTACGTATTTATTATCACAGACCCAAATACCCTGATATGGTCGAGAAACAGTTATCATATGCTTCAAAAGCTATTCTGTAGTCTGAAGCTTATAATGAAGCATGATTGACAGTAAGCAAATTATTAGAGTGACAGGGTTGAAAACACTCGTGTGTTATTTTCCAGTGGAGTGATATTTAAATGATAATCAAAACAATTAGTTGTCAACCAGTCAGTGATCGAAAGCTGTAATCCATAGGGCAGTAAAACAATGTTAAGAGATACAGTCCCAGGGTAGCCGGTGATCAACAGTAGATTCATACGCTATTTATTCCCGCAATATCTTGGAGCCAATGTGTACCATCGGTTTGGAACTAGGGTTTTCCAACTCCTCCTAAATGAATTTTCCGTGAACACTTACCCGGTTACAGCACCAGACATTCTCTTTTCGCCTTTTCAATTTTGCGAACAACACCCAGGTTTACGAGAAAGTAATGAGTAGAACTTCCCTGACAGTGGCTGTATACACATGGCTATCTGAGAGCATTTGTAGAGAGAGAGTGAAATTACCCTGCTCTCAACCGTACCAAGGCGTTTGTAGGAAAGAAGGAATTCTCGGAATAAATAGAATTGTGAGACAATTTTAAAACTTAAGATCTAATGGGAAAACAAACGAGTGAATACATTTGCGTCATTTTAATTGATTCTGAGCAATATCATTCAAAGCCACCAACAATCATTTACACTTTAATCACGAAATATTAGAAATTCAAGTTACTTCTTAAAAACATATCCCAAATATACCATTATTGACCATGAATAGTCTGTGACTTCATGCACTGATGTATTTGTACACTCACAGAAGGCCAAAGAACACATTGCGTCGGGAAATAGAAGCACATATGGAAAGGATCAATAGGAACTAGAAAGGATTGCCCAGGACAGGGTTGGATAGAGAATGCTGGTGAGCGGCCTATGCTCCTTCACGAAGAGTAACAGGCGTAAGGAAGTACGGTTTCAACCAACTCGTACATCAACTAACAGTGAATGATGTGTTTTTTGTCTTTTCTAATAATACTGAAAACGTATAAAACTTAAATGAGAAAAAGATTCGCCCAAATATTAATCATTTTCAAACAAATTACCAATAAATCAGCACAATTAACCGATGAATTCATTGGTAAAGATAAACGTGGTGGACAAGGTAAACGTCGAAATCGTCGAGTTGTTGAAGAATTATTAACAGTATTATTTGTTGATGATCTAACCACTGTGGATATATATCTACGTGGATGATTTGATAGATTGATATGATCATGACGTGTACTGTCACCATTATTATTATTATTAGAATTAGAATTCAATGAAGTTGGTAAAAGTGGAGTATTTGAAGTGATTGTTGTAGGGGTAGTGTTATTATTCTCAGTTGGAAATGATAAATGCCAAGCACCAATTCCACCCATAGCACCAACAGCATATAATCGATTAGTTGATGAAAAGACAACTTTGAAAATTCTAGCAGTATCAGCTTGACTGTTGAAAATAAGACTAGAAAACAACAAAAATACAAGATAATAAAATTACAAAAAACATAACAATTGCATTCAAGGGAATCATTATCAGTCAGTTAAGAATATTCGATTATAACAGTACAGAGTTGCTGAGTTTCATTGAAATCATGAACTGTGTGACAATTTCGTTCAAGTAGTACGAATTAGATATACACGATTCCTTGTGTAGGAGTCAAACTCAGCACTGTCAGTTTCATGTGTGAGCGGTTAACCCTATGCCTATCTGGAAGAGTAATAGTGTCCGGTGTTACAGTAGTCTGGAAGGATACCAGAGGGTCAAACGAAAACATGACATCAACCCTGTAGTATTATAGGATTTAGCCAGACGACTTGATCTCTGTGCTAATAGTGTATGACAACTTGAACCGATTTACATACGTACCAGGTCCTACGTTGCGAGTGAAATGACTGACTGACTGGTTAACCTCTAGACCACTGAGCGGATGTTCAAAGGTATCAATGTCTAAAACCAATCAACACACAATATCGTGCGATCCTCACTCGCTGTCCGCGGTGGATAACTTTATCATGTCTACATCTAATCACATCAAGTTTTTGAGTATAATGAATAATAGCTCTAGAGAATTTACTAAGGTTTGTGTATGATGATGACAGAGTCACCAAATGGAACAATATCATCTAAGTAAGCAAAAGAACCTCCTATTAGAAGATCAACCCCTGAAAAGTCATACGATGAGATCTTTTAAAAAAATGTTTATGACAAAGTTAAATGGAATGGGGAAAAGCGGACAACGTTGAAGAACACCACTTGATGTTATTAATTCCAATGACAGTTCTCTTTACAAGTTTGAGTAAAGAGCTTTAATGCTCCTTTTTGGTATGCCTTTCAATGACACATTACTATAAAATCTATCGAGCTGAACTCGGTGTTCAAGATTTAGAATGGTGTTTGCAAAGCATTGTAAAGAAGAAAAAAAAGAGTTAAAATATAACTAACTTACCTATCATTGTTGCTGCTGCTACTACTACTACTACTACCACTCATATTATTACAACTAATATGATTCAAAGATGGTACACGTACATCCCAAACACGTATACCACCATCATTGAATCCAGCAGCTAATAAATGATTATCTATACTTTTTGTTAAACATGTCACTGATATATCTGATCCTGTATTAATATCTCTTAATCTAGATTCACATAAACAATCCCATATACGTATAATACGTGTATCACCGGATACAATAAGTTGATTTGATTGTTGACTCCAATGTACAACAACACCAACTGGATAATCAGTTTGATATAAATCTGTTATTCCATTCCTTTGAAGTGTGTAAAGAAGGAAATGATTCAATTTATTATTATTATTATTACTATAGAAAAGTTAATCAATTACAACATAAAATTGTCCAAACCGAATGACTTTCTGAAGCTTATGGCCAATTATTAAAATCTGCGTAAATGTTATGTCCCGATAAGCATAATGAATGGTAACCTTTGAAATCCATTTATGAATCAATACTATGCGTATAATTGTTAAATAATTAAACTATTCATATTTATGTCCCTCTTATTATGAGGTTCATTTTGACCTATGAACTATTATTGTACGACTTATCATTCTTGAGTTATGCCCAGTCTATCAATTACTACCTCCCATATTCACAGCCACATTTGGCTAAATCTTGTACAAATGTTGTTTCCTATTTTATGGTACGATGTGGTCTGTCTGATTGGTATATAAACTTCATATGTTTGAAATAAATGATTCAAATTGCAGAGGTTGAGATTGGTGCTCTGGACTTAACTGGCTGGGCTAGGCAGGAAGTAGGACCAATAAGGACTGCTCGCACAGGTTTTAGGCGTCATTGATCCGATCGACAATTCACTGCTCTCTAATTGGCGATATCACTACGTATACATTAACAGGACACTCAGGCCACAAGTTATAACAGTAAATTACCGTGAGAACATTTTTTACAACTATTATGTAACTGATCACCAGCCAATCCTCTGGTTCTAGATCATTCCTGAACCTAGTTTAAGAGTAATTTTGCAAGAGTTTTCATGGCGATGACAGTATTGATATCTTTCGAAGTCACCACTCTACACAGTCAAAAAAAATATGTTACTATCGTCTTCAAACATTGAATGATGACAACGTTAACTGTTTAAGTGATTACTACATTCTGTCTCCTATAAAACCATATCGTACTTGAACGTGACTATTTATCTCCGAGACAAAATTAGAAGGCAGAAATAAGAAAAAAAACTTAGCTGGATTCATCAACTGTAACCAAAACCAAGAGGATATCACCTGAAGGAAACAGATGAATCAAATAACCTCTTAAGTATTTTGTGCATCCACATGAAAGGTGTGTATATTGTTCTCTACAAAATTAATTCAACGGAACTATGTAGATAATTTTACAATTCAACTTCAACTAAACTTTACAAAACTTTAAACGAAACATTATCAATGCCAATCCGTGCATCTATGACCCGAAAAGTGAATCGTACTCAGGATCTCCAAATCATACAGAAAGTGTTTAACTGACAAACCACCAAGTTCAGATCCAATAGTTCACACATCTAACATCAATTTACTTATGGCATTGCGTAACTATCATCTAATCCCATTCATGGGTAACCACCTCAGTTCCGAACATGATCGAGATCCACTAGTAACGGATTTTCACTAGAATTCCGAGAATAAACTCTCGAAATAAGTTTCCAATAAGTAGATGACTATTGTCTCAAACGTAGTATGCAAGTTTCATAGAGTCCATTTAGTTTAGAACACAGAAATTTATGGGTAACAATATCGGTTAATTATTTACTATGAAAAAGTGGTTAACATTAAGTGACGAAACATCGGAAATAAAAATTTTCTACTCATTGAGATATAACGAAAAAAGGTCATTTTCCACGGAATAGAGTTGCTAGACCCCATGCCCAACCCTCCTCCTTCATTTAGGCTTGGGATATCAGTGACCCTAGAAGAGCTCAAGGTTTTAAAAAGCACATTGAGTTGGCAATCAGAGGGAGACATCAAAACACTGAATGAGATTTGGGGAAGATTGGAAAAAAGAGCCTTTGACAGAGCTAACTGGAGAATCCTAGTCGGCGGCCTATGCTCTACTAGGAGTGACAGGTGTAAGGGAGTGATACAAAGATTGCATTATTTCTTGCAAATCCATTGTAAAGTGCCCAATACACAATACTCAAATGTCTGTCTAGTGAAAATGACTTCGAACGTTTAAGATAATTAAGATCCAGGATATATTATTACCACATGAGTTGAGATTAGTGGTCGCGGAGATAAAAGTCAGTGAAAGTATGACATCTTGTACAAATAATATTATATACTATAACAAAGCCTTATTTTTATTCATGTATTTGAAAACATAGATAACGGAACAAGAGGGCACCAAATACATATGCACCACACAAATCTCATTTGATTTGTGTGAGGGCTGTAATACTGCCCAGAAGCCCAAACCGAAGCAAGTGGTTTTCTTGGGGATCAAACCTAAAGGTCTGATTCACAAGGCAGTGGAGCAGTGGAGATGCAGTTCCATGGTAGCCGGTGACCAACGATTGGTTCATACGTCATCTCTTTCTTCAGGATACTGGAGCGCATGTACACCATTGGTTTGGAATCAGGATTTCCCAACTCCCCTAGGTGGACGCTCCATGTCCACTAACCCAGTCAAAGCGCCAGACATTCGCTTTTCATCCTATCAATTTCGTACACAATAACCCCGCCATGAGAAAGCAGTGAGTAGGACTTCCCTGGCAGAGGCTATATACACAAAGCCTATTGTTCGCTAACATCTATTGTTCTAAATCACAATATCTTTTTTCTAATGTTCCATAGTGTAAAACAGATTTATTAAGTCATATATATACAAAGTAATAACCTTACCAAGCAGTAAGAATTTCAGGATCTTGACCAAGATGATGTGTGTAATTACGCCATATACGAATGTAACCATCATCTGTTGCAGTTAACAACAAACTTTCCTCTTCATCTGCATTTATAAATTCAATATCGGTAACGTATCCAACACGTGAATATCTAAAACAATTAAGCATAGTAAGTAGAAAACATATGACGAAAATAATTCACAGTTCAAATGAATCTCCTACTTTGGTTCTTTGGATGAAATAGTCTAATTGAGAAGTTTTTTATTCTTCTTTCTAAACAATATTTTCACATTTTAATTCATATAGAAGTGAGTTATCAGTTATTTCTCAATCTCTGAATCAATCTATGCTGGCAATCCTGTTTGCAATTAGCTTATAATTTGTAAATGTAATTGTCTTTGTATTCTTGTTAATTAGTTAAGTTGATTGATCTTTGACTACGTGATTAACTAATCGTTTTTCTGTATTAAACCTGATATGTTGGATCATGTTTTTGAAAATTCTTAAGCATTTCTTAGGATTACTAGATCTCCGAGATCTTGACTTCTTCACAGTCGAATTCATGTTTGTGATTACACATGTTGACTGGTATTATATAGCGATAACATAATGATTCCTTGGATAGGACTGTTCTCTGGGATTGTCTATTGAAGAAGGGTGTGTCTGAGAAGTTCATTAACATCCTAAAAGCCCTATATACAAACACCTCAGCAGAGTGAGGGCATACAACCACCTCTCTCCATTGTTCCATTCGAGCAGTGGGGTTAGGCAGGGTTGCCCAATCTCACCATTCCTCTTCAACTTTGCCATCGATGACATTTTGGAAACAGCTCTGATGGATGTAAGTAATGGAGGTGTGGATCTGCTGCCTGGAGAAAGACTTCTCGACCTTGAGTATGCGGACGATATTGTCTTACTGTGCGATAATGCCCAAGCCATGCAATCCGCACTTAATCAGTTGGCAATCAGTGTCCGTAGGTATGGTATGTGCTTTGCACCTTCGAAGTGCAAAGTACTTTTACAAGACTGACAGGATCCTAATCCTGTACTCACCCTGGGTGGTGAGCAGAAAGTGGTCGAGATGTTCATGTATCTGGGTAGCTGCATAAGGGCTGTTAATGGCATGAGTGATGATATCGATTCACGTATAATGAAAGCCAGAGCGGTTTATGCCAATCTGGGCCACCTTTGGCGCCTTCGCGATGTTAGTCTGGCTGTAAAAGGTCGGATCTACAATGCGACGGTGAGAGCAGTTCTGCTCTATGCTTGTGAAACCTGGTCTCTCCGAGTTGAGGATGTTAGACGACTGTCTGTGTTTCATCATCCTTGTCTCCGAAGGATTGCCCACATCCAGTGGCAACACCATGTTAGTAATGCAGAGGTTCAGCATCGTGTGTTCGGGCACAGAGACGATAATGAAATTGGTGTCACTATCTATAAACATCGACTTCGGTGGCTTGGACGTGTTTTACGAATGTCATCCCAGAGAATTCCACGTCGTGCATTATTTGCCGACGCTGGGACTAGTTGGAAGAAGCGGAGAGGTGATCAGTGTATGACATGGTTTCGTGGTATGAAAGAAAGCTGTACATGACTGGCTTCTGTCGGATCCTCACAACTCCATAAAAAATGGACGCAACTACCCTAAACTGCAAGAGTTGTTTCTGGTTGTACCTTTGCTAACTGAACTGTCTCTTAAACTATCACTACACAATCGTACACTTTCTGTTAGTTATCGTCCCCCTTTTTCTTATACGTACTTTACATTCTCTATCTCTTCACAATCCGATTGTTATTCTATGGTGCATATGTATTTGGTCGCCCTTCGTATCAATATTTATATGTCCAATTGTAAATCGTAGTCCTAATTCCTTACACGAACCCTTATTTAACCCTCTAGTAAGTAGCTGGACATCCCAAGGTCATTGTAGCGTTGCCCAAAGGTCATCCATAAATCATAATCTCACCACGATTAGTCGTCAACCTTGTATCTTGCATAGTGGAGGATCTACCTAGGGGAGTTGAAAAACCCTCATTGCAAATCAATAGGGCATATGTGCTCCAGGATCCTGAGGGAACAAATGACGTATGAACCTGTTGTTGAACAACGGCTATCATAGGACCGGATATCTTAACGGTGTTCCACTGCCTTGTGGATTAGATCTCTAAGTCAAAAGCTCCAATCGTGACTACCTTAGAAAACCACCTGCTTCCGTTTGAGCACCCGGACAGTATTATAGCCCTTACAAAAATTGGATGATTTGTGTGGTACACATATATTTGGTGCCTCCTTGCACCAATGTTCAGCTGTTTTCTAAATGAAAATAAATAAAGGTGATCAAATAAAGAGTAGAAACTGTCATCAGTCGTACAACTGCAATAGATCGTATCAAACCAAATTAACAATAAACTTAACTTACCCATCTATAGTTGAAGGAAAATCAGGGAATAATGATGATTTTGTAGTGAATGTATTAATTGAATGTAAAAGTTTTAAATTTTTCGTTGAATGTATTGTAACACCTTTACGTTCTGAATTAATCATCACTAAATGAGGTTGATATGGATGAAATTTCACTTGACTTGATATAGAACAATAATTATCATTATTACTATTATTATTATTATTACCATGATTGAGATGATGATTATAAAAAGCTATAGGATGTAAACAATAATCATCTAGGGAATTATTTATATTATTATCACCACTATCATTGCTACGAAGACTAATACGACTTCTACTCATGTTACTCATACCAACACTACTACTAATATTATTATAAGTAGTAGTAGTAGTAGTGATAGGTGTTGGATAACAAAATGAAATATTTCGACTGATTGTAGTTGTTGTAGTGTTAACATTTGAATTAGATGTAACTAATGGATGTGAAATTTGTCCAGCAACACGTTCCCATTGTAAACGTCCTAGATGAGATATTTTTCGTTGTTTTTTTAAACGATTCACACGATCTGTATAAGCGACTGCTTTTGGATCAATAGAGATTGTACCCAATGAGACTGGTTCATAATCTGTGGATAATTGTTACAAGAATAACAAAAGCTGGTTAGCAGTACAGTGAAAGGCATTAGTCATACCAACACTAATACAAATACATTAACATCAAAATAATTGACCATGGGCTGCTAACTTGAACTAATCGTAGGATTTCCCTATCATGATGGGACAACCAAGAAATATTGTCTGGAATACTCACTTTCTTAAGTTTTTCTGTCGCAAGTAGATCAATTGGAAAGCGATGAAACTAAAAGTACCAAGGTGAGATCTGTGGTGTAACATTAGTAAGCTGTTAATTTCAGACAACCAACTCATACAAAGATGTTGGCTTCCTACAATGGAAGGAAAAGGTTAGAAAAGTACGACCATAGAGGTAACACAATTCATCTTACCTCACCAATTGCTTTCGTCTGTAGAAAGAACTTAAATGTATGGAGTTAACATATCAAGATCTATTCATATTATGATCATATTTTTTAACAGCTTGTAACACTTGTCCTTTGCACAAACAACCTTATCCCCGACTATTAATCCAGTTCGCGATTCAGGTACCTCAAGAAGTAACTATACACGATATGAGCGACTGAAAAATGACAATTACTTACATATCTCTAACAATAATCAAGATTATGTCAACACAAGAAGCACAACAATCTCTGTTCAGATATAAGTTTTTTCATTATATGTTGCTTGCAAATACCATATTTTCATAAACAAATAAACGATAATCTTGTAGTGATCACTACATTCGACTACAATGAACGCAAAAGTCTTGTTAGCTGCAGAAGAAACTTACATACGTAATAGGACAAAACAAGCATTATAGAATTTGATTTCAAATGATGACAATCATATAATCGAACGAATGTTATAAAAGAAAGTGATCATACTACTAATCCCACTTGTTAAACAAAAATACATGAAACATAACTCAAAATGTAGGTTAGTTACATGGAATGTAAATGCTTTCCACTATATGGTCAATAAACCATTGAAGACAACTTAGGAGCCGTCTATCAAACTGCATCGGCATATATGGATATATCTCTTCATGGGGGATAAAAGCACTGGGTTTAAATGGGAATCAAGCCTCCACGTCTCAAGTCGGAACAAATAGATAAGACACTTAATATATGTAGATAAATAGAGAGAGAGACGATGAGTGTAACTATGCAAATGTGACGGAATTTGGACCACAATATCTAACACATTTGAAATTTGATCACGAGTATGGCGTCAGGTTGCAGAGAAAAGGTTTGCAAGTGCTTATCAAGTATATTAATCACCATCATAGTGTTCACATGAAAAAGAATGAAACATAATACTTAGCAGTCACCAAGTCATAGGTAACGTAAGTGTATCGCTTCGAATTGTCGCAAAATATCAGCAAAACGAGATGATAAAATGGAAACAAATGTAAGAGTAGTGGAAGTAGTCGACGTAATAATAATACTAGGAAATGTCAAACTTTCACAATACAGTTCAAGACGGAATATATTTCTGAAGTAACAACTAAAAGGGAATTTTACCACTCAGGATTAAGGAAAAAACAAGAATGGACGTATTCATGTAATTAAAACGGATACTGTTCCGAATCATCCAATGTCTCTATCCATTGAGTACACTCCAACCAAGTGTTCTATACATACAGATACAGATAAGTACAACAGTCATTGACTTCATGACCTTATTCTTACATCATCCAACATCACATGTTGAAGGATATAGTGTCTAGGCATGTGTAACACATTTCCCTATCACCAATAGTAGCTCATTTGATAAAAAGTCCCAACAACACCAGTCGATTTGCTGTCATTATCTAACAGAAACTGATCACCTCACATGAACAACGAGTAATGAAATCAAAAATCATATACAAAAGATAAAGTAAAATCTCAAATTGTTACCGAAGGAGTTTTTTGAGGTAGTTTGACTTTTCGATTGTCCATTGTTCAATTGTCCATATTTAGATAAAAGTGGACGAGTAAACCATCGACAAGACCAAGCAAAAAACTGAGTGTGTACAGTATCTAGTGATGACGGGTAATTACTATTACTACCACTACTATTAGTGGTAGTAGCCGGTAATTCACATGTTACCTAATCATAATAAAAACAAAAAATAATTTCAAACATTACTCAATAATTAAGTGTCAATGTATGCTAAAACGACGTCAGTCAGTCAGATACAACCTAGGACCAGGCACATATATGCATCGGTTCAAGTAGCACAACAAGATGATCACCAAGTTCATAGAAGTAGTTACTTCAATGGTAATAATATATTTAAAAAAAGATTGCATATAGGGAGAAAGAATTAGTTGGTAGAAAGAAAGGTATAAAGCAGTTGTATTCTCACGATTTAACGGATGACAAGGAGTGCATACGCCGACGCCATTATGATCGATTCTGAACCATGTCACCCAGAGTTTCCAACCATTAGTTACGATAGTCGGACAAACCTCTACTATTTAGTCTGCATCTACCAACATAGCTCAGACTAGAAGTTAGTGACTTCAAGGACTGATGCCACGTTTTGGTCTAACCTCACTATTACTTACCCGGTAACCCCAGCAGATGCTGGCAATACTTTTAAGATCTATATGACCAAATAGCAGCAGCTTACACGTACCTTCTAACCTTAATGACCACGTTTCGCAGCGCGTACAGGTTTATGCGTAAATGGACCGGTCGATAAATCACTGTTCTCTAATTGGCGGTATCATTACGTGATAGGGGCATAAACCCTCAAGTTATAACACGTGAACCAAATCCATTTCGTTTCATGCCTTCATCTCTATTTATACCTAATTGTTTTAATTCTAATCCCATTTCCCAATACACTACCTTCTTTAAACAATCATGGAAATATATAACTATCCCTGATGATTAAATGATCTTATCACACACCAGACTAAACATAAATATTACCAATCAACTGATTGAAAAACAATTATTTACTAATATAATTTACAGGAAAGAACTTACAGTGTTATTAGAGATTATTGTATTAGGTAATTGTGGAGAATTTGTGACAGATACACGTAACCGTTGATCAGTTTGTTGATGTCGTCGACCAGGGAATTGTGCAGAATGAATAAGGGAACTGGAGGAGGGATTAGTAGTTGTCATTTGTAATGCAGAATTAGTAGTCATTGATGTAATAGAATTAGAATTTAGTTCTTTAATAGAAGCACTAAAGTAAAAAGACGAAACGTTTTGAGAACAAAATCACATTATCTAATATATTAATAATTTAAGGTTAAGTATGTAAATTGCTGGATACCTAAGAAAAAGTGTAAACATATCAAACTGATAAGAGGATTTCTTAAAACTGATGTCCAAGATGGTTATTATCATAATCTTAGACATGTTTATTTGAAAGACTTATTACGAATATTGTTTCCAACCATCATCAACCTCGATATGAAATGCCTGTTAGTCTCGAAGTAAATATGAAAGGAAAACATTAGGACAATCGAACAGAAAACATAGCAATAGTCTATCATCTCATTAAGTGTCGGGGATAATAGATCCCCAAAACTCATATTTTGTAATTTTATCATATCGATTAACTTATCGATTAAATATTTGAATGACTGTCGATTGATGAACTTACTGATTAATGTTTAAAAACATTTTACTATGACAATATCGATTATAAATATTTGTATAAATACGCCTGATTGACCTGACCTGACCTGACCTGTAGAATACACTTTCTACGTCTTATCAAGACTTCTTGATCGAGTTAGCTGAGTCGAGGACAACGGACCAGAATAGCCTATTGAGTCTCTGAATTCCTTGATTCGATCGACAAGTCACTGCCCTATAATCGGCGGCTCTATGAGTCATAACATTAAGGACCAAAACATGATCATCTTCAATGGTACAGATTTCTAACTTCAATTAACTTCTGATTCATAAAGTAAACGCAATCGATATGAATTAAACAAATCTTTGTCAGTAAAAAAAGAAACCAACTTACTTTTCTGAAAAACGGCTTGAATTATTGTTATCAGGCGTAGAATTCAATTCGTTTACAGTATTTGATGCATTGTCATTCGATGTATTACTACTTGTGAATGATGTATTCAATGATGAGATTAAAGTTGTATCTTCATTTGTTATAAATTTATCATTATTATCATTATTATTTGGTGAATTGTAACAAATAGCTTGAAATTCAGCCTTTTCGACAATCACCAACAGCGAAGTGATGAGAAAAACAAATAATGAGTCGGTGAAATCAAAGTTTTGGAAAGCAATAAAATGTAACATGAAACATTCGTAATTCACAACTTGAACTGATTTCAGGTAATTCAGGGAATAATGAACAACTTATTTGATTAAATTACTTAATTTCGCTGCAAAGACCTTTATTCCGAAAAGCGGTTGAAGCGGAGGTTCAATGGTTAAGGAGCTAGACTTTCAGCTACTAAGCAACAAGTTTGAATAGATGGCTTAATCTATTTGTGTTTACGTAACTAAGAGGTAAGATTAGTTATTATACTTCATTGATAGCTTAAAGACAAGTACACAAATCTTTATACAGTGGATGAGTCAATACCAATAGACTTATGACAATAGTCATACGGTTATTTAGTGACTGACTAATTTTGAGATGAATTCCAAAAGTCAGAATTGGAAGCAATGGAAAGATGTAATCGATACTAAAGAGATTATAGTCTTTTAATACCATGCAATGATTTGAAGCTGGAAATATATGAAATTCCTCTACAACTCATTACTCAATCAGATCATGAATGTGAACTTTTAAGAAGTTTCATGTTACAAGGAAACAACTGTTTTATTAACCAATGAATAAATGTCGTACTTGGGACTACTTACTTGATAATCAATTTATTTCCTAAATTTCATTTGGCCTATTCTTTATAGACTAAAGTGACAGACTATGTGTTACGTAGCAACAGCTACCACTGATTTCAAGAAATAATGGGAATATGTTAAAAGGAAGCAAAGAATCACTACAACAAAATGTGGCACCAGTCCACAATGACACTATCAAACAGGTTACTCAAAGTCTCAAACTAATAATTATGATAATTTCGTAAGCTCCAACTATGTAATTGGGACCTATCTACGTGGCTCAGTCCAATAATTAGTATCTTCATGGACTGATCCCCTGTCTTGGTCTGGCTATCCATAGCTTTCTTCCAATCTACTCATTCTAACACCACCAATCATAACGCGTCGAGGTAGTTGAATAGAAATAAATAATACGTGATCCAAACATCTCACACTCGATAGTGATTCACTACCTCATCAATAAACTTGTGGTGCGTAACTAGTACTCTATGTCTGATTTCAGAATTGCTGGCCCTATAGCCTCAAAGTACACGAGCAAGTGTTCGAAGATACCTAGGATCTAATACTAGTAACCTACGAATATCTTCCATTTTCAAAGACCACATTTCACAGTTATAGAACAGAACGAAGAAAACTGCTACATAACAAACACGTCATCAGTTGGCGTAAAGTTATTTCATCAACATCACAAATGAAGTAAATAAGAGAAAATCGACTGAGGTTTCTAAATTTGTGATAATGCGGTGGGAGAACTTGCCACCAAATGCCCTGTTACGAAACAGGGTGGGGAGAGTCATCCCACCCTCTCGAAATGCTCTCACGTGGACACGCGTATATAGCCTCTGCCAGAGAAGTCCTACTCATTTCCTTCTCAAGGCAGAGTTGTTGTTTACGAAATTGAGAGGACGAAAACCGGATGTCCGGCGCTTTAACCGGGTTGGTGAACATGGAGAGTCCACCTACAGGAGTTGGAAAACCCTCATCCCAAACCAATGGTGAACATGAGTTCCAGTATCCTGCGGGAACAAATGACGTATGAACCAATCGTTGGTCACCGGCTACCATGGAACTGCATCTCCTTACGATGCTCCACTGCCTTGTGGATCAGACCTTTAGGTCGAAGGCTCCGGGTGTGACACCCTAAGAAAACCACCTAATTCGGTTTGGGCATCTGGGTAGTATCACAGTCTGCATATAAATCAAGTGGTGCATTCTATAATTAATTTACAATACAACAATAACATCAAATTACTAAAATTCATATTTTATTACGTAATCAACATATTACATACCTTTTCACGAATCTATACAGGGGGAAAAAGGAGAAGCAAGGAAAATAAATAAATAAACTAACAATATTAGAGAAATAAAAGCTAAAACTTTATTTGATCACAGTATAATCCCGATTGATGTTTAACTGAATACTGAGAATAGTCATTTTATCAAATAGTCAATTAAAGTTGAAGGTACAAATGTGAGATGGAAATCTCTCTTAACTATTAACTATTAATTCCCCGACCGTTGTTGCTACCTTGACGTAGTGGTCGAGCCAGCCTATCGTGATGAAGCAACCGAGCTATACTGGCTGGAACAACCGTTCCTCAAGGTCCTACCATGTCAGACAGGTCGGTTGAAGAGCAATAAGACTAAAAGCAACAAACCCAAGGTCCGAAGGCGAAGTCGTACTGCTGACTGTACAGAGGTGTGACAGCAGTAAGGTGTTTCCTCCAGACAACCAGCATGACAGTGATGCTGCCCTCCCACATGGTGGGGTGGGGTTAGAATAGGTCGACCCTAAAAATGCACGCCTCACCTTATCCCACGGATACCCGTCTTCGGCGGTAAGGTCTCAACAAGTACGGAGCTAACGCAAAAATTACCCATAAAAAGGTGGTGTGTGACCGACCTCAAGCAGTTGTCACTTGGGCACTGCGCTCACGCTCTCAGGTCACTAAGACCAACTCTAGTCCAATTTCCTTTTCAGGTACCTCCAGAAGATTCCTTCCACGGTGTGCGCAACTGGGAAGTGATAACCGCCCTCATACCTCTAACAGCACTGAAGACTGAACTATTAATTCACACATACGCTTATTCTGATGCTATCATGTTTGTAGTCAGAGTAAAGAATAGTTATAATAAGCCAAGGTTACTCAAATACCATACTAAGCAAAATCACAGAACTCATTTATAGAGCAGGAGTTGAGAAACATTGTAAACTACATTGAATGATACCCATGTATTTTACACACACACACATGAGTGACCACTTACGTAATCCCAGTCACTGGCTAGAAGAATATCAGTAGTCTAAAAAAAAGTGTTGATGAGATCATGGTGGTAATAGTAGTAGTGCGGTGTATGCTACTTATATTGACAGATGGGAGTATGTAGCACTAATCCGAAGTGCAATGCCTGGCTTAGGAAATCGAGTTGAAGAGAACAGGATTGTAAACAGAACGTAATTCTAATAACAACAGAATTGAAAGAATCATGAAGCGTATAAAGGACAATGGAAGAAAGATAGGTTAATGATGTATTTAATGTATAGTTTTCATATTTACCGAAGGCATACTGTAATTTTGCATTTAACAGTAAATAAGTAATTTCCACCTAGTCTTCGTTCGCCACAGTAATAGTGCTACAGCATAAAATCATTAACCGTTGAATTAAGATGTATCAGAAAGGTGAACAATGGTTGGGGTTGATATTTTAATCTATATTCAAAGACCCTAATTTGGCAACATCTGAACGATTACTGAAGAACTTGTAATAACAAGAACTTAACTGGTCAATATAGGTCAAGTACAATGGTTTCTGTGAACAATGAACAACATATTTGCCCTGCATTTTTCAAGCCTTTCAGTGATACTATAAATCTGAAAACCAAGAGGGAAAGTATAGTGCCTTAAGTGTTCGCCTCATTTCATGAGACGGCGATGTCAGTGGGAATGATAATATAGGGACTACAATAGAATATGAAAGAATCACAACTTGGGAAAATGAAAACAATACATTTTGTTTACTCATATTGTATGACCTACAGAATTAAGTGGTCCAGTTAAAAAAGTTGAGTTGTATTGTCATAATAATTAGAACTGATCACTATATTAAATTAGTTTATAAATCAGTGAATACCAACCCAACTCCGCAAGATTTGGGATGAAGAACAGGTACCAACAGACTGAAAAGAAGGTCACCTGGTCAATATACCAAAGAAACGCGATTTCGGCAAGTGTGAGAACTACAGAGGTACCAATCTTCTCTCAATACCAGGAAACGTCTTCGACAGGGTAATGTTAAACAGGATGAAGGACTGCGTAGACGCCCAACTTTGTGACCAACAGGCAGGATTCCGTAAGGATAGATCGTGTACAGACCAAATCGCAACTCTACGGATCATTGTGGAACGATCAATTGAATGCAATTCATCACTCTACATCAACTTCATTGACTACGAAAAATCATTTGACAGCGTGGACAGAACAACACTATGGAGGCTTCTTCGACACTACGGCGTGCCTCAGAAGATAGTCAACATCATACGGAATTAATATGATGGATTGAACTGCAAAATTGTGCGTGGAGGACAACTGACAGACTCGTTCAAATTAAAGACCGATGTCAGGTAAGGTTGCTTACTCTCACCCTTTGTCATTCACCTGGTGATCGACTGGACCATGTAGACGTCAACATCTACTTAACCTTCTACTACCAGGCGTTTCACTTTCGATTAGTGATGCATACTACTTATATCTGTCGATATCAGTTGCACACACCACAATGTTACTTCTTATAGTCCTTACTATCTAATGAATTTCATATATATAACGTCCTATATAAGTTTTTCAACCAACTTATTGGAGAGGTCGATATTTGACTTTAAACTTCATAGGATGTTGTAAGTATACTGATCATTATTTAAACTCAACAACCGCCAATCTCGACATTAAATGTCGATAGGTTCCGACTATTAATTTATGATGATCGTAACCGATGATCAGAGATGTTGAGAGACATGGTTCATCATCGGTCATAATGATGTAAATGCGTTCACTGCCTTGGCCAATCTATCTCTTTTTCACTATTTAAATAGACATATATGATACGTAAATGGAACCCAATAGGCAAAATTAATAGAAGGTAGTGAAAATAAGATTGTCTTTTCTTTTTTTTATTTACCTTTCCATATAGATACTGTATTAAAATTGTAGCTAGACGAGAAACTTCTGGATAAGGATCTTGAGCTAATTGAACTAATGTAAGCCAAAATTGAACGTAGATATTTGTACTAGGTGTATTACCACTACCTTAAATAAAATGTAATTGGAAAAAGAGAGGAAAAGAGAAAGAGAGTAATGTTAAACGAATACATTGAGTATAAAGAAAAACTAACATTTCTCATTATAAATGCACACAGTATACTGTATCATGTATAAATATATACAAGCATATAAACAATAAATCGTTAAATTTAAGTGCATGCCAAACCGAAACAATTAGCTTTCTTAGGGGGTTATTCCTTAAGCCTTTAATCTAGAGGTCTAATTCATAAAGCAGTAGAGTAACATTAAGAGAAGTTTACCCATGATAGCATCCATTATTCGAGTTTAATGGTACACAGAACGATCGGTTTTTGTCCTGTCAATTTCTTAAGCAACAGCCCTATCGCCAAAAGATGGAATAAAAGTAGGAGCTTGCTGACAGTGAGTATATGCTCATGGTCATATGAGAGGAATTATTGATGAGAGGGAGAGTGAAATTTTCACACTCTCGACCATACCATTTATTTATTTTAACACACAGATATTGGTACAAGGAGGCACCAAAGACATATGCGCCACACAAATCTCATTTGATGTCTGAGGGCTGTAACACTGCCCGGATGCCCAAACCGAATTAGGTGGTTTTCTCGAGGGTCACACACGGAGCCTTCGACCTGAAGGTCTGATCCACAAGGCAGTAGTGCATCGTAAGGAGATGCAGTCCTATGGTAGCCGATGACCAACGATTGGTTCACACACCATTTGTTCCTTTAGGATACTGTAGCCCATGTTCACCAATGGTTTGGAATGAGGGTTTTTTAACTCCCTTAGGTGGACTCTCCATGTCCACCAACCCGGTTACAGCGCCGGATATTCGCTTTTCGTCCTCCCAATTTCGTAAACAACACCCCCGCTGCGAGTAGGACCACCCTGGTAGAGGCTATATACGCGTATCCATGTGAGAGCATTTCGAGAAGGTGAGCGGACTCTCCCCACTCTCGGCCATACCAGGGCATTTGCAGGCCTCTACCATACCAGGACACATGGGTGCGTTGGATCGTTAACCCTATTATAGTCATACCATTTAGAGGTTCCTCTCTACTTCCCTATTACACATACACGCAAACACATATACACACAAATATTGTAAAAATCCACCTATAATTCAACGATGTTAGCCATGATTCACAACGTCTCGCAACATCAATCAGTCAGTCCAAGAAAGAAAAAAAAGAAGCATGAGACATAGATGTAACAAATCAGTAATGTGAAATGAACTTATCAACAGAAATGCCACAGTGACAAGAGTAGTAACAATACCATTAATAATATTAATAATAATGATACTGAGAAGGATTAAAGATAGACAATATGATAGAGGAAAGTAAGGAGGAATTCGCTCAAATTTTAAAGAGATGAAAAGTAAAGCATATTTGCCATTCCAATCAATTCACATTCATATCACTCAGTCACTCAATCATTCTTAAAATAATCACCCAGACCTAGACTTCAATTTTCAATAGTCAACACTATATACACTCAAGTTGGGAACTATTTTTTGCTTAAAAAAAGACATGTTACTTACAAAAACGATCAATATACACTTGTTCAAATAACATAAGAGGAAAATGAGAGAATTATAGACGAAAAAGTCAACTAAATGAATGCACTGGATATTAAATATGTTTATATAAAGTCAAAGACAATCAACGACGCGTCGCAACCTGGTACGAATACAGCTTGGTAAATGTGGCTGCAATCCATACCTGCTTACTAGATGAATTGGTATGGCCAAGAGTGTGTATGGTTTGCTCTCTCTCTTTCCCAAAATGTCCTGATATGGTTTTGAGTCGATAGTCTCTGACAGTGAAATTCTACTCACTGTTTTCATGTAGCAGTAGTTTTTTTTACGAAAGTAAAAGGGTAAAAAGTTAACGTCCAGCACTTGAACTGAATTGGTGAATAAAAATGATCCGCCTACATAAGGAATGAGGAAAACACTGACTTCAAACCAATAAGGTACGTAGATTTTAGGATTATAAGAGACACCCCTCCTATTAAACTGATTGGCCACGAAGTAACCTCGGATACCATGTTTGTCCAGTACTTACTATAGCTAAAGGAATACTATCGATCAAGCTGTAATCTAGTCAATGGTCTAAATGACTCGACGTTCCATGAACTATGAGTAAATGTTCGACAGTTGAAGTGATTCAGTAGTAAACTCTCGATATATGCTTCGTGCAACAAAGTGTACAGTAATTTAAAACCAGACGACCCAGGTTTGAATCCGCGAAAGAGTATCAGCTTCATGAAGACAGCAGGTACATACATCTTGCTGACAGATACCAACTAGCACGATTTATTATCGACTACTGTATTCTAACTTTCATAAAATTATTGTTCACCATAAACTGATCATGTTATATCACGTTACACCCTCTAGTACTATAGGACGTATCTGCTTCATCAACTGCCCACAAACTTTAACCATAAATCTTATACTTACGAAAATCACTACTACAATACAGTAGAAAAATATCGGGGGAAAAAAACACATAAAAGGAGATGTTGAGAATACTATTTACAAAGAAAAAACAAACAATCATCTGTAACAAAATAACCCATACTAACTAACTAACCAGTGAAAAACACTGAACCAGGATTGAAAACAGATTTGCGCAAAATTGGCGAAGCTTGTGGTTGTGCATTGATTAAATGAGATTTATGATGAGAATAATAATAATTGTAGTTATGTTGTTGATCAACTTCTCGACTTGATGATTTTGTTAAAAACCAACCACTATGTAAAGTGATATGATTAGAAGTTAACTCTGATTGACGAGATATGAGTAGACCTCCGCCTCCGCCGTTCCCCGAACCTCCTGGTGGAGTAACTACACCTGTGTTTAAAAAAAAAAGATTAAGGAGAACAGGAATAGATGAATAGTCTTGACGAAAAAACGCAATAGGTACATAAATTTATATTCTTCAAAACTCAATAACTTAAATATTGTATGTAAAAATACAGACAACTGAAGTTTATTTGAATATGTATTATATATGTATAAACATATCATACCTCAATATTTTCTCCATTGCATTGTGGATCAGACCTCTAGGTCAAAGGCTCCGGACGTGGCCCCTCTTAAGTAAACCACCTACTTCGGCCTGGGCACCCAGTCTGTATCGCAACACACACACACACATCAAGTGAATTGTGTGCCACATATATATTCGGTGCCCCTTTGTATCAATATTTAGCTGTTTCAATAATAATAATTATGAACACATCACTTTTCCGAAGAGTTGGCTTCATGCCTTTCATAAGAAGTGTGACAGTAAATAGCATGATCAATACGCAGAAAACTAATGATGGGAAAAATACCCGGAACTAGAAACTCAGTATCTGACATTAAATCATTTTAAAGCATAAAATCAGATGTTTAGTTTTCATTCAAAATGCAAGCCTTTCGCTTTTACGGACTGTGAAATAGGTGCGCCTAATATGATGAGTGGTTACGTTGTTATTATCAACGGACAACATTACCTTCAAAATTCCATGGGATCTTATGTTCTGTATTAAAAATACTCTAGTCTTTTTTTGCTGTTTGAAGTGTAACGACTTTTTACATTTAAAAGATATGAATTCGAATCTTTGGCCGTTAAAATCGTTCTATTTCGGTTTGCACAGTTGGTTGTGATTAGTAACTTTCACAGACACACACAGATACAAAACGTTTGACTTGAGATAAACTATACTTGTAAGATTTCTTTTACGGTGTTAAGGGGCCAAAATTCTACCAGTCTGGTTAAAATATTACTCGTTGTGTTTAAAGCGATCCCTTCGTTTTTGAAAACAATAAACCATTAGAATATTATTCCTATTAAGATATTTAGGGGGGGAGACATAGGGAAAGTATTTAGAGGTATTCGATTTTCAATCACATATTCGAGCCCACATCTCAAGCATTTCCATCTCGGCAGTTAGGTAGTGCCACAAGTCCTCATAATTAGAGTGTAGTTCTTAAAATTTTAGAAGGTATATGAAATCTGTTAAATTCACGCTCTCTTTCCAATTACACTTTTTAAACTAATGAAAAACATGATTTTTTAAACGGCTAATGAAGAGTTTACATACAAAAAGGATGTTTGGAGATTTACGGAATATAGTACGACAAAGTGTAGGTTGTATTGTTGTTATTACAAGACACGGTGAAACTCTATCATGTTCCGGATAAAAATAACGTAATGTAAAAAAGACAGTCAGCAGAATGAAAAATCGAAAAAAATTCCTTTGCAGAAGTGAAATATAATCCTGTCAATTCCGTAAACAAAACCCCCGCCGTGGAAGGGAAGTGGGTAGGACTTCTTTGACAGTGGCTGAATACACGTGGCCAAATTTTTAGAGGGAGAGAGGACTCTAACCACCTTCCACCGTAACCAAGTATTTGATGGCTCCCCCATTTAAAGTATATTAATATTAATAACACTAAACTTCTTATATACAAGAAGTGTTTATAGTAAAGTATATGAACAGGTGAGCTAGCATTCACAGACGTGACCGTTTGCTCATCCAACTCATTTTTTGTGTATTGTTTCATACTACTTGTTAATATTCAGTAACCAATTTCATTTCTAATCATTTCTCAACGAATGGTATGATGTATGTTTATTGTGCCCCGAAATACCCTGGTACGGCACAGGGTGGGGAGAGTCCACTCACCCTCTCGAAATGCTCTCACATGGACACGCGTATATAGCCTCTGCCAGGGAAGTCCTACTCATTACCTTCTCGTGGCATTACTGTTGTTTACGAAATTGAGAGGACGAAAAGTGAATGTCTGGCGCTTTAATCGAGTTGGTGGACATGGAGAGTTCACCTAGGGGAGTTAGAAAACCCTCATTCCAAACCAATACACATTGGCTACCGTATCCTAAAGGAACAAATGATGTGTGAACCAATCGTTGGTCTTATATTAATAATAAATAAATACACTTACTTATTGTACTATGACGCATAGGTCTTTTTGCAGGGCATGATGTTATTGAATGTAATGATAATTTTGTAGAATTTTGGTGTGATTTTTGTTGAGATTGTTTATTATATATTTCTTGGATATATTGTATACCAATAGCGCATAATTGTGATTCGAATTGTTTCACTAAACCACGAAATGCTTCAACAACCATACAACGTACTAATGGACAAGCATCACGTGATGAATATTTGACTAATTGACCACCAATTTCATGACTTATCTATAAAAAAATGAAGAAAAATTGAGGAATTCAACACAATCTGGGAATCGAAGGTAATGACGGAAAAGATTTGCAGCTTAGATGTTTTATTTGTGTTAAGCTTTGTCATTATTGTTTGAGAGATATGAAGGTTATATGATATGATATGCTATCGCTAATATCAAATAGGGACAATCTATCAACTTATATGAGAAAGAACAAACAATCACAAGATTAGAATTCAACTGAAAAGCCGAGAAAAATAAATGAAGACAACAAAATGCATAAAAACGATGCATAATAAGCAAGTCCAATAGAATGAACGGACACATTTTTATTGAATAACTTCTACATGAAGTAGACGATGAAGAAGTTGTTCAGTAAAACAATAAAAGCTCCTTTATTAAACGATATAATTCATAAAGAACAAATACAAGAACTGGAAATAACATAAGATTGGTCATCCAGAATCTTCAATACGAATGTCAGGACACTCCTAATGTACGGAGCTGAAACATGAGAACGACTACAACCATCATCAAAAACACACAATTAAAAACAGTTGTCAACGCAAGATACTATATGTGAGTCGAACGGACAGCATCAACAACAGAATATTGTGGGTGAGAACAAACCAGCTTTCAGCCGAAGAGGTAATTAGGAAAAGACTCTGAAAGTGGACAGGAAATACACTGCGGAAATCACCAAACTGCATCACGAAGCAAGTGTTAACTCGGAATCATGAAGAGGGAAGGAAAAGAGGAAGGCCGAAAATTGGAAACAGACATGAAAAGGATGAATAGCAAATGGAAACAACTGAAAAAGATTTCCAAGGACAGAGTTGGATGAAGAATGCTAGTGGGTGGTTTATTCACCTTCAGGAGAGGTAACAGGCGTAAGTAAGTAAATAAGAAACATTGGTCATACCTATAACAGGTACAGAGTAACTAATTAATTTAAACACATTTGAGGAAGCTGATAGCATAAAGATAGTCAGTTGTTCTCTAAAAGAGCTCAGCTACAAATATGAAAAAGGAACAATATAGATATCATACAATCTGATTTAAGATTGTATATACATTGTGGAAGAAACTAAAACCTTGTGTCATATGAATAGAAACACACAGGTACATGAAAGGATATAATAATTAGTCCTACTACTAATACAGTATATCATATAAAGCGCAGAATAACTGAATATAAAGTAATGTGATTACAAAAGCTTAACTTGAACAGAATAAGAAGAAGTAAGAATTGATCAACTGTTACAACATTTAAAGGAATAAACAAAAACTGACATTAGATGGAATACTGTGATCTACAGTGTATTGAATAGCTTCTTAATCATAGTAGAATACACATATGATCCTATCCTATCTAGGAACAAATCAAAATCAGACACAAGTCAGAGATCAACATTTAATAACATTCATAAATCAATAGCTAATCTTAAACAAGAAGCAACTATAACTAATCAAGATCAAAATCAACAGAGCATGTGTAAAGAAACCTAAATAGCTTATTACTTATTACCATCTATGCTGGGGACGTTAGATCCCCAGAACTCACTTAAGAAAGGACCTAATTTTGTAATTATATTTAACAAATTTGAATTTCTTTATTTTCGCACTAAAGGCGCTCTTTTTACCTTCATGTTGTATTTCCCACTGGGAAATATCTTAAATGCTATTGGTTCGTTGCGTCTTTTAGTATGCCATTTGGTAACTCTCCCCAAGGACGGTTTTGTATTGTATATACACGTTTTGAATCGTGTTTGTTGTTATCGCTCGTTTCTGGCTGTTTGCAGAATATACTTCCCCATTCCAAGCGAGGCTGGGACGCATCGATAGCTAGCTTACTGGACTTCAATCACCGAGTCTTGTTTCTCGTTCGCAGATTAAGTGAACTTGTGATAGCTTTAACCCTATCAATCTATAGTGATTATGCTATCTAGAAGGACAAGAAAAGCTTATGTGATTAAACTAAATTAAGCTAAAAGAAATTAACTTAACCCGTAAACAAGTTTTTTTTTTAATGTAGCTCACTTGATCTGCATGATTTTGTTTCGATGAATCAGTAGTTTGATTTTCAATGAGATTGCCAAGAGCATAAACTGTAGCTGCTCGAACCTGAAATGTCCACATAAACATTAAGACAGAGAGATTGTTTAAGAATATAATAAATAACACGTATTTATCTTTAACAATCTACCTGTCAAAATAACTCTGCATGTAACCACCTTCCAGGATTACTAACAATCTCCAATTCAGATAAAGGAGAAAATATGGGTATAGGATTAGCAAACCCATTCCGTGGAAAACAATCTTGTTAAAATAATAAAAAACGCTAGGACGCACCAGTCAAAATAAACAAAGTGGATATGCATTACTCTTAATTTGATAATGCATTCTGTTTCACTTGAAGTAAAACCGAACTGAACTCTGTAAATCTCTTTTGTTACTGTATCGATGAACTGAAAAGTTCAACAGCTTAGGTCTTAAACATAATCAGTACGGGGATTTGTGGAAAAAGTAGTATTTTAACAGTTGAATTCAAGAGTCGATTTAAGATGGACCACCATTGGAAACCTGAAAACAATGGACGGCCGTTTCGTCCTAGTCTGGCACTCTTCAGTATTGCCCACAGACAATCCCACACGCATGACTCGAACTACAATCTCCACAAATCTCCTAAATTGATAATGACCACGTGCTCACGAGTGACTAGATTCAAGATGAAACTGCCGGAGTTCTAGTGAAAGACCGTGATCAGTGGAGTTCAATCCGTGTCGAATGGAGACAGTTGTCCACCTTAGACAACAGATGAAGAGTTACGCAAGATAAATAATCGATGCCGAAGCAGTGATCTACAGGTTAGGCACGAGACCGAAGGTACTGGGTTAGAGTCCCATGCACAAGATTGTGGATACGCACGGCTGAGGAGTTCCATACTTAAACGAAACGGCCATCCAGTGCTCTCAGATTTTCAATGGTGGTCATGCTTAGATTGACTCATGAATTCAACTACTAAACATAATCGTTTCAAATGGAACGTCAATAATCCCTGTCTAAATGTGGTAAGCTTATACAAAGGCCAAGAGCCAATGCGTGTTAGGTGAAAAAAACACGTGAACATTTAGTCACAAACATAAATGAAATCTTATCATCGACTCATTATAACATGAATTAAAGTATTTTAGTGAATATACATAAACAAATATATCTAACTTATTGATGTCAATTAAATGCTCTTCTCTCTTGACAAAATACACAACATACCTCCGGTGAAATATCATTTAAATAAGCCAGAAGTACTTCTGGTAAATTATGTCGTATACCAAACCATCGGGCTTCATCATTTTTACACCACAACTATAAATAAATAATAAAAAAGTAAAACAAACAAACAAGAGGCTAACGAAAATGAATGATATATTTTTATGCAACATCACTTTACTTACGCCTGTTACCCCTCATGGAGGAGCACAGGCCATCTACCAGCATTCTCCATCTAACCCTGTCCTGAGCAATCCTTTCATGTGGTTTCCAGAGCAGATAGAGTGAACTTCTTTATATATATAGATTAGCGTTTTATTAGCAGTTATTTTCTACAGGATGGGGTTGTTGACACTCCTCCTTTACCCGAGCTTGAGAGCGCCAGTAATCAAAGAAGAGCTAGGGGCGTATTTAACATCAGTTCACACCAAGTACATATCGGTTTATGTACAATTTAAACTCAAACACTATGAATGATTCTCCTAACCAAAGAAATAATCAAACTAATGTATGTGAATTAAAATATTCCTTCATTTATATATCTATATTACTTATGAGTAACCAGTATTTGTTGCATAATTTCTCTCGTCCATTTCACTATTTAGTGGTGAATTCTCTTACTGCATAGTTAACATTAAGGGATGATCACAGTTAAACAATAATTTGAAGCCAAGATGCAGAGGATAGTTGCACCAACTTAGTATGGAACTCCATAGCTGTGTTAATCTATAACTCTACCATCAGAGACCTTGGGTTACGTGAACGAATGCTCAACCTCTAGACCACCGGGGACAATCTAATGGTTTACATACTATTTTATTAGTTGGTACATTTCGTCATCTGTTCCACCATATCAATGTGGTCAATTAATTTAAATGTCTGCAATCAGTTTATTGCTGTGAATGTGTACGACCACTCACTATTTACACATATAGATGCATAAATAATCCAAGAAGCAAAACCACTCCTATGACTTTGACCGACCTCGAATGTAAGCTTAAGAAATTGTGACGTAATCAGAATTGAAACCAAAATGTCATTAAGTAAACGACTACCATTCATATCAAATATATCTCAATAGAATAATCCATTGGAAAAATTCTAACATGACGAATAAGTTATGTGTGAAACAAGATTTCGACTGAAAGATATCACAATATAATCACACAATGAAAATTTACAGTTACGATGTTTAAAGTATAATGCATAAACTTGACAATAAACCACATACTACACACCAGCAAGCTAAAAAATTTTAGAACCTGTTTGTATTAAATTCATGGAAATGGTGATTAACAACAGAAGCCTGACCTGTACATAGTTGATCTATACGATGGCACCGTGTCATAAACTGACCGCTTTACCATTCGCGGGAGCAGTCCAAGAGTCGAAAGACAATGCACCATTAGAAGTTTGTAGAAATGCCATTCGTAGAGCATGTTTAAGCAACCGAAATCGGTATTTCAAGTTGGTAAAATCAAATTAATTATTGTCGCTGTGTCTGAACACACGATGATGAACCTCTGTATTACAAAAATAGTTTCGCCACTAGATGTCAGAATCGTCCGGAGACAACGAAGACGAAACACAGAGATCCATTTCACATTCTCAACTTGGAGAGACCAGGTTTCACGAGTACAGAGCAAAACTGCTAGCACTGATTCATCATAGATCCGAACTTTTGCAACCAGACTAAAATCACGAAGGCACCAAAGATGGCCAATTTATTTATTTTAACACAAATATTGGTACAAGGAAGCACCAAATACATATGCGCCACACAAATCGAATGAGATTTGTGTGAGGGATGTGATACTGCCCGGATGCCCAAACCGAAGCAGGTGGTTTACTTAGGGGGCCACATCCGGAGATTTCGACAAGAAGCTCTGATCCACAAGGCAGTGGAGCATCGTGAGGAGATGCAGTCCCATGGTAGTCGGTGACCAACAATCGTTTCATACGCTATTTGTTCCCGAAGGATACTGGAGCCCATGTGCGCCATTGGTTTGGAATCTGGTTAAAGCGCCGGACATTCGCTTTTCGCCCTCTCATTTTCGTAAACAACACCCACGCCGCGAGAAGGCAGTGAGTGTGACTTCCCTGGCAGAGGCTATATACGCGTGGCCGTGTGAGAGCATTTCGAGAGGGAGAGCGGACTCTCCCCACTCTCGGCCCTACCAGGGCATTTGGGGGAAAGATGGCCCACACTGGCATAAGCTTCATTATACGTGAACTGATCTCATATCTCACACCACCACGACTACTTATGGAGCTTCTGAAGTGCACAAACTTTTCAACGACTTCTAACTGGTCACTACTTACGGACACGAAAACTAGATCAAGCAAACTTTCATAATCAACCTCCCTCTCCAATTCCTATTATTCCTCCTCCTCTGACTGACTGAAACTTTCCATCTGACTACCTCCAACCACCGAACTTCAGAATATGTTGAAAATGAGTTCAATTCACTAAGACTAATGGCCATAGTGCAACTTGATCGCACATCGCTAAAAGATCAGGCAAACATGGTGTTGGTCACATTTCAGTAATCGAACCGACTCTATAAACCTGATAGATCTATTAACAGATCGATTATTAATGCCTTCCTAGTCGTTTCTTATAACCCAAGACTACTTCTACGTGTCAACTCGAACAGGAGATAAAATGAGTAAAGTGAAAATAACAGCAATATTTCGCATTTACTTTATGTACAGAAAATCGAGAATGTTTATAGACTTGAACGCCAACTAGGTCTTATTGAACTCTCTCGTTCACGAGCCCTCACATGAGACTTGAACCCAGGACCGTTAAAATTGATAAGTTTACAGAAAATAGGACACCACATACACAAATAGGATTTTATATATATGATGATTTTGATAAGTATCAAGTTAGTAATTGATATATTCAAACTACAAACGATAATAGTTTTCTGTCTACAAGCATCGTCGAAATCAAACGTTAAAGTCAGTCAATAAATCAGTTATAAACAAAGAATGAACGAATATGGGAGACTTGTACATACATAATGTTGAGGAGCGTCGTACTAAGACAAAAAAAGACTTTCCAACAGTACCGATCTGTGACGAATACAACCTGTAAACTAAACAAATCTCAAAAGACATGCTACAACTTTTAAAAAAAAACCTCTGAAATGAAAGGATGAATTCACAGCATTAAAAATTATTAAATCAGAGTTCAAAGAGAAGAAAAACAATCAATGAATTGATACAACGACTAGGATCAACTTTCAATAATTCTATAATGATCATCTTTCGATCACTGATAACGACTGAATAGAGGATAGTTGACAAAGTGGTTCGAAGTAAAGATCGGTGTCAGGCAAGGTTACTTACTCTCACCCTTTCTCTTCCTCCTGGTGATCGACTGGATTATGAAGACGTCAACATCTGAAGGGCAACACGGGATACAGTGGACATCTAGGATGCAGTTGGACGATCTAGACTTCGCAGATGATCTGGCCCTTCTATCCCAAACGCAACAACAAATGCAGGGGAAGACGACTAGTGCAGCAGCAGCCTCAGCAGCAGTAGGTCTCAACACACACAAAGGGAAAAGCAAGGCTCTCCGATAAAACACAGCATGCACCAATCCAACCACAAATGACGGAGAAGATTTGGAAGTTGTAAAAACCTTTACATATCTGGGCAGCATCATTGATCAACACGGTGGATCTGATGCAGATGTGAAGGCGCGAATCAACAAAGCAAGAGCAGCATATGTACAAATGAAGAACATCTGGAACTCAAAACAACTGTCAACCAAAACCAATGTCAGAATTTTCAATACAAATGTCAAGACTGTTCTACTGTATGGGGCGGAAACTTTCAGAACTACGAAAGCCATCATCCAGAATATACAGGTGTTTATTAACAGTTATCTACGTAAAATACTTCAGATTCGTTGGCCAGACACTATTAGCAACAACCTACTCTGAGAGAGAACAAACTAGATTCCAGTGGAGGAAGAAATCAGTAAGAAGTGCTGGAAGTGGATAGGACACACACTGAGGAAGCACCCAACTGCGTCACAACATAAGCCCTCACTTGGAATCCTCAAGGTCAAAGGAAAAGAGGAAGACCAAAGAACACATTACGACAAGAAATGGTGACAGACATGAGAAGAATGAACAACAATTGAATAGGACTAGAAAAGAAGGCCCAGGACAGAGTGGGTTGGAGAATGCTGGTCGACAGTCTATGCTCCATTGGGAGTAACAGGCGTAAGTAAGTAAGTAAGTAAGTTAACAAGTAGCAGTGGTATTATTCAGATGATATTACCAAAGATGAGATGATAATAAACAATAAATACTAACTGTATAACCATTGTGATCAGTATAGAATAAATCCAATAAGTATAGAATAACTTACTTTAGCTAATGCAAGAATAAGCCATAATCTCATACGTATAAGCATTTCTTCATTTTCTGTTGGAGTATTATCAAATAATTGTGTTTGTACAATTGGTAAAAAATTTTGTTTTAAATAAACATCTTGAAAAAATGGATCAGGCTACAAATTATACAAAATGAAGAAATAAGTTAAAGAAAATAGACAATTTGTGAAAACAATTTTTCAATACAAATATATATATTCTTGATTGAGATCATGAACTAATTGATTTTCAGACCACCATTGAAAACCTAGACGGCTGTTTCGTCCTATTGTGAGACTCCTCAGCAGTGCGCATCTACGATCCCGCTCGTGGGATTCGAACACAGGGCCTTCGGTTTCGCGTATATATATATATATATATCGGTCAATGAGACTGAAAAGAATAAGGGATGTATAATTATCACTATAGGGTTTTGAAGATTGTTGAGTTTTCTTATTGAAACCATGAACCGAGCCATCCATTGCTTACAAGTTTCCCATGATGGTCTAATATTGATCAAATGTATAGTCTTTTAACGATTCTCAATTAACCTAGTGTACAGTTTTTAGAAAAGATGAATTCACAGTTCTTTTTTAAAAAAATAGTTCAAAACTCAAGATCAAAGAATGGAAATAAGCTGAACGTATTTGAGTTATTGAGAATAATTATAATTAGTGTCAATCAATGTCTTCAACCACTGATAGCCTTTATGATTTAGACCCTAACCAAGTAGTTTAAATCTAGTCATATGGATCAGATCAATAATGAATGATTTCATGAACTGATAGTGTATCTTGGTTTGACTTTCTGTGTACATGAATTAAACCTGAAATGAAAAACTTTCCCTCTTTTGAGAGTTCAATTGTGCATGTTTAAGGAATCAAGCTAAAATATCAATATCATATGAATTCAATGCGCCAGATATAGTCACAACAACAGATATTTGTATAAAAGCGCGTATCATCTCAACCACATAAGTGTAAAATGTTATTATATATATATATAAAAAACAAAATATGATGTCCTTGTACTAACCTCTTCAGATTCATCTTTTTCCAACATTTTAGCTAATGCAAACGCTGTGATTGTTCTAGTAAGAGGCTGTGAGTTGGTTAAAATAATGTATAGAAATGAAAAATAGGTTAGGGTATAGAGAGTAATGGGGAAAAAAGATAACGCGATATTATGAATAGGCCTGACGGTGTTAAAAAAAACTTAAGAATAAACAATGAAGAGATCAGACCACTCCTATTCTATACTTGGATTACTCGAAGTTCACTCTTCGAGACTTGAGAAGACTGCGACGAGCTGTCCGATGTGTATACTTATGTGTACGAATAGCATGGATCTCGACTTGTTTAGTTTCGTATTTAAGTATATGCAAAAGCTATGCGCTGGGCTCGCACAAGTAACGTAACCTAAAGAAATATCTGTCGTATGTCTAACAAAATCAACCCTTTAAACCGTCAGATTGAAGTCATAATAAAAAGATATACCAGCAAATACTAGGGAGAGGTGACTACCAACCCTCCTGAGAGAGTGCTTGTGCTTATATTTATGTCATAAAGTGCATGGATCAAAGTCTTTGTACCGGTGTTATGGATGTAATGCATGAGAGAGTCAATTGTAGCACATACGTTCAAAGGGAGTGGAGACCATCTACCCTCCCACGTAAGTGAATATACCTATATGTATGCTATAGAATGTATGAGTAAAAACTAGTGTTACCGGTGTTCATTTAGCGGATGTTTGCTCACAGGGTATGTATAACTATGTGTATCCCAATGGATGCATGAGTGAAAACTTATATGTGACGCCCGCAAGCCACGACCAGGAGGTTCCGACGATTTCCCCATACAATCACATTCACGTAGTGGATTCGTAAGCCTCGATAAGCGGATTCTAATCCAGATAAACGTATAGACCTAAGGCTTCATCAACTTCAAATGGTTTAAACACCGCAAGAACAAATCCTAAGAGAAACAATCAGATCAGAATTTCATTGCCGCATGGAGTGATCAAACAATGAAACCAATTTTTGATAATATTTTATTTGAAAGTCTACATACCATGGATTCTGAAGTAGTAGTCATAATAAGCTTATAATCATGAAGGAACACGGACACTTTCAAGAAGCTATCAGGAACAATGAACAAAAATAAATTGATCTTATCCACTTTCCTAGTCTTAATTCATTTTATTTTGAAGAATAATTCAAATGGATATGAATGAGATGTAGAAAATTTTTTCCAAACCAGCTCGAATGAATTTTACATCGAATAGCAAGCTTACATAGTAACTATATAATACTTAATGATACTATCATTTGATTGTTGTCTAGACTGAATTCGATCTAATAGAGTGAAAACTTAGTTCATAGTCAAATACACTAATCATTTAAACGTGATTATTTCATTAAAACACCGACGAAGTCGATAAATAAATAAAAAAACAAAGCGTTTCTTACTTAGATGAGAAAGAACTGTGCACAGTGTGTACAGATTGGACAAATTGAAGCAAACAACTTAGTTTCTATCTTTTTTTTTTTAAAAAAAAAGCCATTTTGAAAGAGGATCACATCCAATGATCTTATACATATTCAGTAAAGACTACAAATAGTAGAGTTGAGTGATGTTTAGATTAGGAAACAATAGCAACAATATAGATACCTCATCTATTCATTATGTACAAAGATTAGATGGAACCGTGAAACATTTTGATCAGTCGACTGGTATAATACTGGCTAATCACTGTGACACGAAACGGATGATAGATTCTAACCCTGAAATTATCAGTAAAGACTTCAGTGTTCAATAACGATGTTGGGAACAGCACTGTCAAACATTTCCCCGTTTATTTATTGAATGATTGCACGATATTAGCATGGAAATTTCACTGGAGATTTCATTTTCGGAACCCTATTCCAATAGTTGAGATCATTAGTCAATTGAAGCCAGACCACCATGGGAAACCTGGAAGCAATAGACGGCCGATTCGTCCTATTGTGAGACTCCTTAACAGTGCGCATCCACGGTACCGACAGGCGGGATTCAAACCCAGGACCTATCAGTCTCGCGTGAGAACGATTAATCTCCAAACCACTAAGGCGGTCGGCATCCAACGGTGTTAATGTCAATTCAACTAATAAACGAAATTGAGCGACACATCCACCATTGTCATCAGTGGGTTACTATCTCCACTGGTCACTGCTACTCACTTGAGCTCCAGGATATACATCCTGAAGGCTCAGTGGTCTAGTGATTAAGCGCTTGCGCGAGAGCCTGATAGGTCCTGGGTTCAAATCTCGCTTGGCGGGTTCGTGGACGCGCACTGCTGAGGAGTCCCACAATAGGACGAAACGGCCGTCTAGTGTTTCTAGGTTTCTCATAGTGATCTAGCTTCAATGGACTAATGATCTCAACTATTGAAATTACTACAATCTCCACAAAACCCCTTCTAGAACCCTAATCCTTTACAATATTTGTGTTTTCCATCCAGTGTTTTTATAGTAGACAGTTTAGTACAGCTCCAGAGGCTTGAAATGAAATCTTAGGTGAATATACAACACTCATTTACTAAACGAACGGGAAAATAGCTTTAAGTGTTACGCGCACAACAATACATACATTAACACATCTGCTTTATTCAACACAATGTATGACAAGGTGTATGATAAAAGCATAACTGTGGAACGCGGAGATTGATTGGCTCTACAGACTCTACAGATAACAGAAATAAAGGAAAGAGTGGGGTGATAAATTCAACTTAATTATAATGGAATTCAGCGTTATTTGATCAATGTAAAACAAATATGAACAGACGAACATGACTTACCGAAAGATTTTCAGTATCACTTAAACAAGCGATGAAATATTTATAACCGAAATCACGAACTGAATCATTTCGACCGAATTCAGTCTAGGAAAATGAAGAAATATTGAAAAGAGAAAAACATTACACAAACATGGAGAGAACAAGTGAATACAGATGTAAAGTACTTACTTAGTTACGCCTGTTACCCCTCATGGAAGAGCATAAGGCGCTCACCACCATTCTCCACCCAACTCTGTCCGAGGCAATTCTTTCCAGTTGCCATTCATGCTTTTGATGTCTGTCTTTAATTCCCGGTTCAGTGTGTTCCTTGATCTTTCTCTTTAATGTTTCCATTCAGCATTCCAAGTTAGTACTTGCTTCGTGATGCCGTTTGGTGATTTCCGCAATGTATGTTCTATCCACTTTCAGTCTTTTCCTAATTCCCTCTTCAGACAGAAGCTGGTTTGTTCTCGCCCATAGTAGTCTGTTGTTGATGCTATCCGTTCAACTGACATTCAGTATCTTGTGTAGATAACTGTTTATAAATACATGTGCCTTTTTGCTGACGGTTGTAGTAGTTCTCAAGTTTTAGCTCTCTACAGTAGAACCGTCATGACGCTCGTATTGAAGATTCTCACTCTAATGTAAGCTTACCGCTGTTTTGAGTTCCATATGTTATCCAACTGTAGAAATACTGTCCTTGTTTTGCCAGCTCTCGCCTTTACCGATGTAAGATACCAAGTCGATTGATGGTAAGCTTAAGAATTTTCACCGACTAAAATGATTGGCAAGTACTACGTATGACCAACCACCACATAACTCGATATGGAACACCATCTGGCGTTGGAAATGGTTAAAGGAAGGATGGTAGCTATACGTGAACCTCACATCAATCGTTCAAATCATTGTTTCTCGGTTCGAGTCTCACTGGTAACCATAGCTTGAGGTCTACGCGATGACGGTAATCACTGTTTGGAAACTTTAAGTGTCATAGTTCGAAATCGTTTAGGATAGTATGTGTGCATTTGTCCTTTATCTTCCTCTCGCTCTTGAGTTCCAGTGTTACTTCGTATATATCTTTCTACTCGGTGTTTTCAAACCATATTCTCCATGTCCATTGTCTCTCATATCATTCCTATTACAATTATTTCGATTATTTTGCTTATCATTTTGTTGATTTAATCTCGTCATGTGCTAATGTAGTGTGATCAATGCACATCCATACGAGGCTCTATGTTAATGATAACTAACTGACTGACTAGACAGATAAAAGGAGACTTCTCAGTTATTGTCACATAGGTCATTCAACTTGAGATGTTCAGACTCATAACCAGGTATAGGGATCAATGGTAATGGTAATATAGCTTCTTTATTAAATTGATCAACTAGAATGAATATACCATACTTCATTTTGGGCAGACATTCCTTCCCTTCTGAAATACTAATCATATTCATGAATAATTACTGAATTAAGATGCGTCACACCTCTTCTCAATATTACATGGTGAATAATTTCTTGATGCCCTAATTGTACTAAACTGATTATTAAACCTGCATTAAATTTTAAAGTTAGTCAACCCACTGAGTGAAACAAAAATGAATTCAGTCATAAGTAAAGTACAAATTCCCCAAATGCCCTGGTACGGCACAGGGTGGGGAGAGTCATCCCACCCTCTCGAAATGCTCTCACATGGACACGCGTATAAAGCCTCTGACAGGGAAGTCTTACTCACTGTCTTCTCGTGGCGTTAGTTTTGTTTACGAAATTGAGAGGACGAAAAGCGAACGTCCGGCGCTTTAACCGGGTTGGTGGACATGGAGAGTTCACCTAGGGAGTTGGAAAAGCCTCATTCCAAACTAATGGTGTACATGGGCTCCAGTATACTGAAGGAATAAATGGCGTATGAACCAATTGTTGGTCACCGGCTACCATGGGAATGAATCTCCTGATGTTGCTCCATTGCCTTGTGGATCAGAGCTTCATGTCGAAGGCTCCGGGTGTGGTCTTCTGAGAAAACCACGTGCTTCGGTTTGGGCACCTGGCCGGTACCACAGCCCTCACACATATCAAATGAGATTTGTGTGGCGCATATGTCTTTGGTGCCTCCTTGTACCAATATCTATGTGTTAAAATAAATAATAAATAAAAACAACCTGACACAAATGTTTGCTGGTTCAAGTTACGGTATCACGTCAGTACAACCAGATAAATGAATAATTAAATACAGAAATCGAAATAATGAACAGTAAAAATGATAATAACCGCCTCTGCAACTCTTTTACGGTTATTTCCGGTCATAAGGCCAGGTAAAAGATAAGGATGTTCTATGCTTCTCCACAAGGGTTACACCAGGGGTAAGCAAGAAATGATCATTTAAATAATCATTTAAATTCATTTGTGTCGGTTGTTGGAATCTTCTGGATGATGTTTAGGACTGTGCAACAACGTGTAGTGATGAATGAATTTAGCTTGAATATACAGGGGACTCTATTTGATTAGTTCAGCCATACAATTTACTGACACCGTGTTTAGGTTTACCCCATACAAACAACCTACAGAGACAGTTAAGCAATTGATACGTTCAATACTGTCACTTATAACTCTACGGGTGCAAAAAAGAAATAATTTTTCCGCTATCGTTTATTACATTTTCAGAAATATAGGAAAGTATTTCTATTGTTCATTATGCATGGCATGGCAAACCCCTATAGTCGCGCTCTCGATGCTGATTGGCTCGTGTCTCTTGAGTAAAATTTTACCGATCATGTTTACCTCAACGACTGATTATCCAATTGAACTACAAATTATAATTGACGAAATGGTGAAACGTTAATGATAGTTTTTTCGTCCTCTCAATTTCGTAAAACACCCCCCACCGCGAGAAAACAGAGAGAATAGGACATCTCTGACAGTGGTTGTATACGCGTGGCTTGAAAACTTAACGAAGATATTTTTGAAAACAACGAACCTCTCTAATGGAATGTAACAATTTCTGAAAAACATTCACTAGAGATACATAAAATCTTTTTCATCATTTTCAAACTGCCTTGATTAACTAAACAAAAAGAACGATGTTTTACTTACTTGTGCACTGGCAATAATTTTGCCCCAAATAAATACCAAATATGGTTTCACTTCTGAAACTGGTGAATGAAATAAACGAACAATGTAAGGAAATATTCCAACTGTTAAACAATGCGCTACTGCCCATGGTCCTAAGTCAAGAAATTCACTGAGTAATTGCATTGCACGTATTCGATGACTTTGACTTAGTAAAATCTATAAACAAAAATAACGGAAATAAAAACATATTTGATGAATAAGAGAAAAACATAAGCTAAGAATAATACATTGACACTTGGACGATAGAATTTAAACAGCAACAAAACTCAATAATCAAACAATGTAAATATATGAGGGGAATTGATCATGACTTGAATAGATCAGTGGCAGTGACGGTGTGACGACAGAGACCAAGTAAAACTATACATACACTTTGTTGACATGTGTATCGTCAACTGACAAATAAACCTAGGTCCAGGAAGGTTTCCAGATGATTACTTTCGATTGATAGGAAAAAACTAGGTGTAAACTAAGTAAAAACTATTTTGTTCGAACAATCATCGTAATCTATAGATGACTACTCTTGATGATGTGGTAACTTTTAATTGTGACAAGATGTGAGACATTGAACACAGATCTCAGATTATTTCGGACTCGGTAGTTAAGTGTGTTTACATCTCAGCTATGGTATTGACGCTGAGATTTGAACTCATTGTTCAATGCGTTATTGAAAAAGCTAATAAACCCATGTGGCAACGGGAATGAAGTTACTTGTAAGTCTTAGTAATTTTTTATTCACGATTATTAAGGAGGGTAATTTGAAATCGGTGGTTTAAATGATAATCGAGACAGGGTTTGAGGCGAATGATACTAGGTTTCAGTCTTGGTATGAACATCAATATTACAGTCCTTGTGCACATTCAACTAGCGAAATAACATCCTTGAATTTCAACGGCAGTCGACACCCAACTAAGATTGCACTTTTTTGTAACTTGTATAGCGAAGGTTCGTAAACTTTTCATAAACGCGCCTGAATAGGCTGTGCGATTAATAGACATGATAATGTTTTAAAACGTACAAAAACAGATAACATGTTGAAATATTTAGATGGCAGGAATAAGGAACCCAGATATTAGAAAATCCGCATCGATTAAGGCTAAATGAATCATAGTTCCCGCTGTCACGGGTAAATCACTGCACATCCAAGTACAGTAAATAATAAAAATATGCGTAATCAATAAATGAATGATTCTATATTCAATATTCACTCCCTTTACGCGGAGTTGGGAAATACCAACCTCAAACCAATGGGGTATATGGGTCGCAGAAACCTATGGGAATGAAATGGCATACGAATCTATCTTGGTCATTATATACGATGAGACTGTATCACCTAATGTTGCTTGCGATGCATTGTGAATTAGACTTTTAGATCAAAAGCTCGGGAACTGGTCACAAAAAACCACCTGTATCAACTTGCACCTTTAAATGCTATCCAGACCAGTCCCCAAATATGACGACAAGGATTATCCCTGAAGAGAGTAGATATCTATGACAGAGGAGGCTTGATATAGTTGACTTGAAAAAACAATTATCTAAAAACTATTATTCTATAACCACATGTGTAAGAATTTACAGCTTCAATTGGTAATTAACTAACGAAAATACACCCTTAAAATTTCCAAGACATTATTAATAACGATTCAACTCATTCGCCGAGCACAACAGGCATTCATACATTCAACTTTCAGTAACTCATTGACAAGGAATTAATGATACTAGCACCGGCCACGATCAAACAAAAAGTTTGTTTATCAACAAGCTGTTCTCGAGTACTTTTTATGATGCGCAAGTGGTTGCAAATACCATGGAAAGATATTTCTCTATGAGATGTTCAGAAGTGTGATCACAAGTGTCAAAAGACAACTGATTAGGACTGGTCGAGAACTGGCTTTTTGGAGACAGTTTTCGATATGTTAACGCACAATACTTACAAGGTTATAGCGATAAAAATCAGTGGGGCAAAGGGAGGTATACTATTTTTTATTCGATCTCTTTACCAACACTTTTTCCGTCACAGGGAAGCAACATCGCTCAACATGATGATGGTTGTTTGAATGAAACACCTAAATACAGTCAGACCTCAGTAAAGTCAGTAGTACAACTTCACTCTATGGCGTTAAGTTGGTGCTTATAGTTATAAAGTTCTGGAAGTTGATGATTGAAAGCCAAATTTACGTTAACTACACAGAACCACGTGAAAATCCCTCTAAAATATCAATCAAGTCAGATGTAAACTCTTGATCTACCGTTTACAAATGTACACACTAGTAAGGGTCAATAAAGCCAGAACAACAATCGTAGTAGAACAGACAGAAGAACTGTTTGAAAAAATACAATATAATTGTTTTCATCTCTCACTAACCTGTAATAAAATTGGTAATTGCGTAGCTACAGGACGTCGTTCATCAGCCGTTTGTAACCAGATTTTGAATGCAGTCATTTGACTAGTGAAAAATGACGATGGACCACTTCCACCTATCACTGATCCAGAAAAAACTGTAGCAGTCGTGGTGGTAGCAGTAGTGGCAGCCGTAGTAGAAGCCGTCGACACCGTGGGACTGACGAATTGATTAGTCATTGACTGTTGACAATGAGACAATTGTGTTAACGTAGATGACGATGTATTCATTCGTTGGTTAGATGACGGTGGTGGTAATAATAACGTGTCGGAATAATTCAACTGAGATTTATTTGGATCCGGGTAATGTTCATTTTGATAATTAACATTATTTGGTAGAATAACTCTATTGTTACAATGATCATTTGCATTTGGTAATTTTGTACAAGTTCTAGAGTCAAAATACTGTTTGATATGTTTGGTCTGTGCGGATGAAACTGTAGTTGTTGTTATTGGTCCTCCTAGTTGTTGGCTTACTGTCGCTGATTTATTGCTGGAGTGATTGCTAATAACTCGATGCCGACAGGCTCCAGTCACTTTCTGAATATCACCACTATTCGGTAACAGGTACAACTTTTCATAACCATGTGGATACTGTGTGTGAATCGGTGGTTGACGAGGTTTCATTGGAGTGAAAATACGTGAGTTTCCAGAAGTTTTAGAATTTTCAGCCTGAAATTCAAAAAAAATGCATACGAAAGGAAAGGATTGATAGTTTTCGTCAGAAAACATCGATCGAGACATTGCAACAAGTTAGAAAGAAATAGAGTTGGACAGACAGTAGCTCTATGACGACGGGGACAATAAAAGGTTTAGAATTATAGATCTATTAGTAGATCTATTTCCCGCCTTCCTTTTCAGCAATAATCCATAGAACGTGAACTGATCAGCAACTAACTTCGACACGTATTTCACAAAGTTGTAATGATGGGACATATTCAGTGGAGTTTAGCCACGTGGATGTGAGGTAATTATCTACCAATAACACGAAGAGATGACAACAATATTGCGAAACGACTGCAGTTACACACTTAAACTATGTGATGCTAGATAAATGGTCAAAAAGTTGAATGATTAACGCAAGACCTGAAAAGTTCTGAGTTTAATCCCGAGTAGGTTAACGGATGCTCACTGTTGAACAGTCCCATGATGGGATGAAATTTCTGTATATCACTTCTTGGTCGTCAATAGCTAAGGTCAATCCGTAATATAAACCATTAAATTTAACAGTAGTAATATTTTCATTGTACTTTACAAAGAATAAAGAATATCAATAAAACAAATACACCGGTACGGCTGAGAGTGGGAAGAGTCCGTTGATGGATATGGACGACACATCTATGGGATTTAGGAAACATTCATTGCAAACCAGCGGTTTACATGAGTTACAGGATCCTGAGGGAACAAACAGAGTATAGACCTAATGTTTGTTACTTGTTACCATGGAATGTCCGGCGCTTTAACCGGGTTGATGGACACGGATTCTCTACCTAGGGGAGTTGGAAAACCCTCATTCCAAACCGATGGTGCACATGGGCTCCAGTATCCTAAAGGAAAAAATGGAGTGTGAACCAATCGTTGGTCACCGGCTACCATAGGACTGCATCCCCTTACGTTGCTCCACTGCCTTGTGGATCAGAGCTTCATGTCGAAGGCTCCGGATGTGGCCCCCTAAGAAAACCACCTGCTTCAGTTTGGGCACCTGGGCAGTACCACAGCCCTCACACATCAAATGAGATTTGTGTGGCGCATATGTCTTTGGTGCCTCCTTGTGCCAATATCTATGTATTAAAGTAAATAAATAATAATAATAAAAGCTACCGTGGAAACATAATCCCCTAAATTCGCTCCACTACCTTGTGGATCACACCTCTAGGTAAAGGCTCGAGGAGTTGCCCCCTAGGAAAACCAGCTGCTCCGATTTTGGTACCTAGGCAGTATTCGAGCCTATACATACATTTAATGATTTATTGTGTGACCTATACATATTTTATTGGCTCTATGTATCTATGTTCACGTGTTTAGATAAATACAAATCAAAACAAAATGAACTTACTTGTTTCATTGATGATAGGTCATTGTTTAATTTACATTTTATTGCAGAAACAACTACACTATTCTCTATATCTTGTTGTTTTAGTTCATTATTTTGTACATGAACATGTGATTGTTTCTGTGCTTGATCATTAGTTTCACTTAGTACTATACCTTTACAAGTCATATTCATCAATTTAGTAGATTCTGTTAATTTGATTAATGTTGCCTTTTCAGTAGTTACAGTACCATCATGATTATTATTTTTCAAGTTTAATGGTGTTTGTTGATGTTCTACTACTACTCCTTGTGGTAAGTGTTGACATCGATTAGTAGTATTATTCTCATCATATGTGTTCATGTTTACTTGTTCATGTGTTAATTTCGAATGGGGTTGTTGATGTTGTTGTTGACGTGTAATTTGTGGTTGTGAAACATGTTGATCATTACAATTTGTATGTGTATATAAATCAGAACAGGATATACTACGAGAAAATTGTTTATCGTGCTTTTTATTCATCAATTTACTATTACCAATACCACTAAAAAGGTTAGTTCTATTGTCAACAATTCCTATGGATGGTTTATTTTCAACTTTATTCGATTCATGACAATTTTCCGTTGAATGCAAAGATAATTGAGTAGAACAATTATCAATAGTAGTAGTAGTAGTAGTAGTAATCGTGGGACTTATTGTTGTATTCATAACTTTTGCTGTTGAACCGATGGTATTTGGAACATTTAAAGTAGTTTTATTACATTTGTATTGTTCCGCCCTATTGTCTTCTTCCTCTTCGTCACCACCACCATCATCGTCCTCTTCATCATCATCATCATCGTCTTCCTCGTCAACATCAATGTCATCATCATCGTCGTCGTCATCTGTTTCAGAATTGTCTGTCGAATCATCGTCATCACCAACATCATCATCATCATCGTTATCATTATTCTCATGACAGATTTTTTCTTGACTGGTTTCATTATTCTAGATTATAGAAAGAATCAAATCATTAAGTGAGGAATTCAAATGAAAATGACTTTGATTTAAAAATCTAATGTTTGAATATGAGTATTAAGATCTCTAAAATGAGGATTATCAGTGATACTCTGAACGGATAGGACAAGAAAGAAGTTCGAAAAAAATAGACAGTAGATTATCTTTGAGCTATATCGCAAATGTATAGAAGTTGACACTATGAAATTGGACAAAGATTCAGTAATCCTAATGGTGAAGCATTTACCATGAAATCTGAAGGTTCTAAGTTTGATCAGAGCTATAGTTGTGAGTGTGCACTGCTGAGTAGTTCCATACTGGTACTAAACAGTTATCTACGCCTTCATCGTCTTTAATGGTATCGCAAAAGAGATCAATCTGTGACAGATACATCCTATAAATTATGTATGTTAAACTATTAGATCCAATCAGATAAGAAGCTCTGAATGACTAAAGTTTCGCAATATCACAATGATTTCTTCAAGAAATCGATCCTCTATCACTCAGTATTAATTCCAGAGGCAGTATAATTATCGATTCACTTTCAATCAACTAACATAGCAAATACATACATAATCCCGAATCATTAATACGAAATCAGTGTTGATGATTAGAAAGAATTCAATTGACACGAAAGATTATCAATATGAATAACTTTGAAATGTGGCTTAGTGGTTAAATAGTTCAGCTCTAAACCACTAAGTCATAAGTAAGAGTCTCACTCGATATAATTTCGTTTGAACGGCTGAATACATGCATAGAGTATGGCTCGAAGTTAAGCACAAAAATTTATACCTGATAAAAAAGACTAACAAAACTTTTTTAAAGATGGACTCATGCATTCACACACACGTAAAAATGCACAAAAAATACCTGGTTATCATCATGTTCAAAATATTTAACCTTATTGTTCCGGCTAGATGAATCTTTTTGACGATGATCGTGATGAGTATTTGATGTGTTCTGGTGTTGTTGTTGAGAAGGATGAAAACCGCTCGGTATCGTTGTCTTCGAGATTTGGTTATCCGCTTGTTCAACTGACTTTTCTGTTTCATTTGTTATGGTATGGTGAACAATTGATGCAGAATCGTTATTGTTCATAGCAGTAGTAGTAGTAGTGAGAAATTTCGGTTCATTATCATTATTATCATCATTGGTAAAGTGGGATTCGTCATTAGTATTTTGATTAGTAAACTCAGTAATTTCTAAGTGATCCATCTGTTTCACTTTATGAAGAGTTGATTTTATATCAATCAAATCCTTATTACTAACATTAGTATCATTACTGATAAATTCAACAGTAGTATTGGTAGTAGGAGGATGATTATTTTGTTCTGAATCAATCAACATGGCTGTTACCGGTTGCGACTGAAGCTTATCAGCATTATTATTATTATTATTATTATTATTATTATTATTATTGTTATTGTTATTGTTATTATTATTATTATTAAATCCTGGAGGTGGGGCAACTAAATCCGAGCTCAATAGATTGAATACCTTCGATTTTGATACTAACTCAGAAGTTCGACTAGATGTATTAAGAGTGGCAGTAGTCACAGTATTAGTAGTAATAGTAGTAACAGTAACTGGATAATGTTGAGTTTGAAGACACTCCTAAAAATAAAATATGATGCATATAATTTATGAAAGAAGATGAGATCAAAACAAAAAATAAATACACACTGAAAATCTAAAATATGAAATATTTCATTCCTATAGTATACCTTATTAATATTGCATATACTTAATAATAGGAGCAATAACAAAGGGGGGCAGAGAACATTAATAGGGAACACAACCCTTGTTTATAGGTAGCACACACTAGTACACAATACCCTACCATTTTACAGATTAAGTAGCCCGAAAGTCAAAAGAACATTATCGAAGCATCCGACCTCACAATAAGTTGTAAGGTGAAAAATTCCAATAAATCCATGAGTACACACTGCTTTCTCCAATAAATACGCGAACTAATATACTAAGGTATTTGGTTGTGGATATAAATGAGTAAATAAATAACCGCATTGTACCTTCACTCACCCTGGGCAGTAAGCAGAGAGAAGTAGTCGAGAAGTTCGTGTATCTGGGTAGCTTCATAAGTTCTGATGGTGGCGTAAGTGATGAGATCGATTCACGTATAATGAAAGCCATAGCGGTTTATGCCAATCTGTGCCATCTTTGGCGCCTTCGTGATGTTAGTCTGACTGTAAAAGGTCAGATCTACAACGCGTCGGTGAGATCAGTTCTGCTCTATGCTTGTGAAATATGGCTTCTCTGAGTTCAGGATGTTAGACGACTCTCTGTGTTTCATCAACGTTGTCTCCGAAGGATTGCTCACATTCAGTGACAACACAATGTTAGTAATGCACAAGTTTGGTATCGTGTGTTCGGGCACAGAGACGATCATCCAACTCGTGTCATCATCTTGAAAAATCGACTTCGGTGGCTTGAACATGTTCTACGAATGTTGTCCCAGAGAATTCCACGTCGTGCATTGTTCGCCGGTGCTGGGACTGGCTGGAAAAAGCGGAGAGGTGGTCAGTGTATGACATGGTTTCGTGGTATGAAAGAAAGCTTTACATGACTGGCTTCTGTTCGACCTTCATGACTCCGTGGTTTGGGTCCTAGAGATGGTGTAAGACAGTGGCTCGAGACTTTATCAGATATGGCTCAGAATAGAAGCCAGTGGCGATCCTGCTGTAACTTTATTTTACTTGTCGGGAGAACCTCGAAATATCCCTCGTCAAAGTCTCTAGAGGCCCAGAAACGTCGGGAAATGTTTTATTCAATCAGAGTTGAATAGTCTTCAGAGAAATATTTGGAAAATGCAGAATCACGTGTTTCAGCTTTTATTAAATACTTACTTACACTGCTACTATATTGGGTATGGTTCCAGAAATTTCCAGAAGCCTAGTATAATGCATAACTCTAGGAATGTTCTCGTTTGTTTTTTTTTTCTGTACATAAACAAACCTTGAAATAAAGCATTCGTTCATAATTCATATTTTCCTCCATTGTTCCACTTAACAGGTAGATGTAGTCGGGCTTATAGGAACCAACATTCTACGCGTGTCAATAGCAAGACTTATCACTACTCATCAACAAACTTAACCCACCTAAGATTCTATTTTGTTCTCAAAATGTAAAACATCCTTAACACGAGGACAGGAATAGCATAACGCAGAGATAAACAAATGCAAGACAACAAGGAGTCTGATTTTTGAAGACTTTCAGAGATATTTTGAACAATGAAAACGGAGATAGGACAACAGAGGTGAAATTATACTTATAATGATAAAACAAACTAATGTTAGCCTAAATTATGTATTTATTAGACAAATTACCAGTTCAAATTAAATTTGGCACTTTATGAAAATAAATACTTACAGGAGGCAATCCATACTGTAGTACATTAGCTGTAGAATGATCATTATTGTCACATTGAAGACAATCATGATTCAGTTGAGATTTCTTCTCATGAGTATCAATCAATTGGTTGGTTGGATGATTTCTCAAATGACCAGCTTTACCAACTGCTCTTGATTTTGTAACAGCTGTTGTTGTTGTTGTAGAAACGAAAGTCGACGACACGGTCACAGTGGACACCGTACTTGATGTCATGGTTGACGCAACATCACAACTCGTAATCAAGTCAGGATTAGTTGGATTCGTCAATGGTTGCTGTGAAATAGCGATATTATTGCCATCGTTATTATTATCACTATGTGACTTATTTGGTGGATATACGCAAACTGAAGGAACAGTTGATTTGACTGGTTTCAATGGTAATAACCCTGAGTGGATTCCTTGTGGAATTTCCTGTCGTTGATACTGTTGTTGTAATAGGTGAGTTTGTTGTTGTGTAGAAAAATGACGAGCACGATTTGTACACACATCCAATGGAATATTGCCAGTTGGACAAGGTGGCCCTGGTATACGATTATTATTACCATTATTATTATTATTATTATTGTTATTATTATTACTATTACCATTGTTATTATTATTAGTAGTAGTGGTAGTAATTTTGTTTGAATTTGGATAATTGTTGTTGACTGTTTTCATTAATAGTCCACCATTATTATTATTGACAACCGTATTTGAGTTGGGAATTATTATTGGCAATAATTTCTCAGTGTATAGGCTACCACCTTCAATGATTTTTAACATTTTCGGTAGATAATGTATCACACGATCTACAGTATGATCCCATGCATCCCTTTTTTATTTCGGATACAAATAGAATAACACGCAGATACATGTACAGAAAGAAAGGGGGGAATAAATACAGTACAAAATAAAGATCGAGTTAACAACACATGGATACACAAAGAAAAACGAAAGATTAAATACAGTAGAAACGAAAAATTGTACCTCTCAGATTTAAACTAATGAATAAGGAAAAAGTGTAGTTTAGTCATCACTGACTAGTACTTTTTATTCAGTATAGTTTTCTCATCATAGAGGTAGGTAAAATCAAAACGGGAAATAAATAAAATGGAGCCAATCGATAAGAAGCTTTCTTTGACAAAGAAATCTCATCCCAATTAGTACTACTCGTTAGTTAATACATGTCATCCTCAGAACGATATTCAAACTTTACATTAACGAGTATCTACTAATCCGAAATATTTAAATTATGACTATCCCACGAAGGCAGGATCATTATCCACTAAGAATCAAGATGTGAGTCACTAGCACGAACCTATGAACTACTAATAACGGCCGCCTTCAATCCCCTAACCATCCGCATAGAAAGCATCAGATTATAGAATCAATTAGGCTGACGACCGCATCTCAACCTCATAAAAATAATTTTAGCTGGGTTGAATGCCAACTCTCAGGTACTACCGTATTGTATTTGCTGTTACGCTAGAAGACCTAGGTTCCAATCCCTAGGAAGAGATAGTGAACTGAGATGTCAGGAATCTTTTCGCAAGAGACCGAAGCCACGATCATAATGTTCAGTGATGAGAATATTATCTTCATACTAATATTGATTTGAATTTTAACGATCCATCTTGTTTTAAACTTCAATCAATTTAAGATTATTTCACAACGGTCATTTACCAGTAATGTGGAAACTGCTTAATTTAACACACTTAATACGGCTGAACTTCAGTAATCATGATGTCTTACTACAACATTTTCGAATTTTCAAAGACTAGTTTGATTCTCACCAAAAGACCTGCAAATAAAAAACGATTTTAAATGGCTAAACACGTAACGAAAAACAAATCTAACTATACCACTCACTAGTAGTATATTTTTAAAGCTTTAATAGGGGAGTGAATGAAGGTCCAGTTGCTCATTAATAATCGTGTTGTATCATGCAAATAATTCACTGAGAGCGGATAATTTATACCATTTAACCACCATTAAATAATAACCGGCTAATCAAACTCTCGACAACCATCAGTATTTACATCTCATTCAGCACAAGTGGATCCAAATTTATTCAACTGACAACACAGTTCTATTCATAGTGTTAAATATGATTAAACAAAAGAAAATAACAACAACTAATATTAACACTATTATCAATACTTACCACATACTATGCTGATAAGTTGGTAATAACAGAGGAGCTGACACTGGATGACATCCATAATATTTCATAATACGTTCAGCCAATAAGAAATTTCTAAATAAACTAGCAATTAATAAATCTTGACGAAATAATTTCTGAAATATATCCAATGGAAAACTACACCATGCTATTGTATCAGTTACTGCAGTGAATATCCAATTAATTTCACCAAGTAATGACATACGATTTGAATGAGAGCCAGGTATACGATCTAATAAAGATTCGTCTAGGTAGCCTGTATACAATTATTGGTGATAACGTGATCGAAAAGTTACGGGGAAAAAACATTAAGGCTAAAAGAATTTATGATTTAAAATAACCAAATAATTTGATTAATCATAGTCAATAATTTAGTTGACCCGAGATAAAGAAGACCATACCCTATTTACGGATTTCAGTCTCGCTGGTGATAAGCCCCTAAATACCCTGGTACCGTCGAGGGTGAAGAGAATCCGCTCCCACCTCTCGAAATGTTCTCACATGGCCACGCGTATACAGCCACTGTCAGGGAAGTCCTACTCACTGCCTTCTCGAGGCAGAATTGTGGTTCACAAAATTGATAGGACGAAAAGCGAATATCTCATGCTTTTATCGGGTTGGACACCCTGTTTCCGAACCAATGATGCACATGAGCTCCAGGATCCTGCGAGAAAAAATGGTGTACGAACCTATTGCTGGTGACCGGCTACCATGGGACCGCATCTCCTAACGTTGCTCCATCGCCTTATGGACCACACCATTAGGTCGAAGGCTTCCAGCGTGGCTCTCTAAGAATATCACCTACTTCAGTTTGGGCACCCGGGCAGTATCACAGCCCTCACACAAATCAATGGTAACCACTACTGGACCGATTGTTGTTGTGTGGCTCATATATATTTGGTGCCCCCTTGTACCAATATTTGTGTTCAAATAAATAAATAGGTAAGACCTTTAAAAAAGTACTGGAGTTACTACATTTACAACCTATTCTATGTATAGTTGTCCTCTAGGCACTGTTTTCAAGTTCCTAAGTTCAAATGACCACCCTTAACCTAGTATTCTTTTTAGGCACCTGAAGAATCATTCGACCACAGTATAGATTATTGGAAAGTAACAACGTCCCTCATACCGCTAACAGCCACCAAGATCATCTCGTTTATAATCAAAGCTTCATCTTCATTATCATTGACTGATGTAGAATTTGGTAAAAATCTATGCCATTTGTTAACTCCATAACTAACAGGACAATCGTTTGTAATCCTAATCATCGTCTACCCCGATACGGTAATGTTGGCTGAAATGGGAATGCGTTGGAAAAAGGTTAAAGCAATTAAACCAACACATGACATAAGTTCATGAAACCACTGACTATTGGTTTGAGTTATGTTGGAAGATGTAGACCAATTGGTTGATATCCGCGATATAAATACCATATTGGTAGTTCGAGATGTTAAGTGAGATGGTTCATTTTGTTATTAATCTACCGAAATCGATCTCATGATAATGTAGTGTGGAAACTTAGCCTAATGCATATATCTGCCACTCTCTAGCTTGATCACGACTGACTGAGGATCAATGCGTGTACTTCCAACCAGGCTGGTTCATATACCTCAATGCGGTTCAGATCAACAATCACAACAACTCCACGTCTTGATCTAGAACGCACAGTAGCTTTTTCTTAATCTACTTTAACACTAACAGAAAACCCATTTGAAATAAAGTGTTCACGTTAATTCCATTTGTCTAACATCAATATCCACTTCTTAAGAGAGAGAAAAAGAGAATAAGATTTACCAGGAAAATATTCTTGATGACGTAACCAGTGCCAACGAAGTGCCATACGAATTGGTGTAGTTAAACAAGCAGTAAATAAATCTGCTGGAAGATTTGGATTCTGTGGTAAATCTTCATCTTTACTACATGCAGCCAACATAAATGTATTTTCCATACTGACAACATGAGCAGTGGAGGACGATGGTAATGTGGCCTAAAGATATAAATAAGTTAGAATGAGGGTTTGTGGAGATTGTGACAATTTTTTCGAATATTTTAATAGTTGAATTCATGAGTCGATTTCAGCTAGACCATCACCTTCTAAAACCTGGAAGCGTTGTACGGTCGCTTCGTCCTAGTATGGGACTTCTCAGCAGTGCGCATCCAAGATCCCGCATGAGGGACCCCAACCCAGGAACTCCGAGTCCCGCATGGTGGATCTTGGATGCGCACTGCTGAGAAGTCTCATGCTGGAACGAAACGACCGTACAGTGCTTCCAGGTTTTAGAAGGTGGTGGTCTGGCTGAAACCGACTAATGAATTCAATATAAATAATATATTAATGAAGAAAAAAAATGGAAAAAAGAAAAGTCAATCTAAGCTGAAAGGGTACACACAACATTAACTTAATATTAAGAATGGGTAAGATAATAGCCAGTCAGTCAGTTAGTAACAACATAGAACTTCGTACGTACGTACATCAGTTAGAGTTGCCACACCACATTAGCACAGAGATGCAGTTGTCGATTCAAATCCCGTAGTGGTAGAGGCGGTAAGAGTATAAGCAGTAATCGGAAAGATTAGGGTATTAAGATGTTATTTAAAGAGTATTATCCAGTGAAATAAATTTGGAAAGAGAAAAACGAGACAAAGAGGATTCAAGAGATTATAACTTTGGAGAACACAAAGAGTGGATTCACCTGCGCCATTGCAAACGATTTTGAACCATGTCATTTAAGGTCTCTAACCATCGGTTGCTATCAGCTCGCGGTCCCCAACCACGTAGTCTACACCTACCAACATGGCTCAGTCCACTTGTCACTGACTTCATGAACTTGTTCCATGTTTTGGTCTGACCGCCCCTAGCTTTCTTCAAACCTACTCCTATACCATTGAGCATCGCACGTCGAGGCAGTCAGTTGTTGGGCATACGTAACACATATATATATATATATATATATATATATATATATATATGTCTGGTTCTATGTTGTAACTGATTGACTGACAGTTTACCAAATTTACTTTTAAACACTAAAACGTTCGTTAAATATTACTTGATTATGAATATTTGGAAAATTTGATCCAGAATATGTTTGATGATTGCATTGAAATGTTTCTGATTGATCAGTTTTACCATCACATTCCATTTGTCTTTGTTCAACTACAGCTGCCTAAAATCAAATTTTCATTTAATATATATATTATTAAAACAAAAAAAGATTGTATTTAATTCAATCAGATGCAAATCATTATTGCAAGTTGGAGAAGATCGTGAACTAATACATACATATTTCATAATAACCCCACTGGAGATGATGAATTTTCACAATCTTACTAATCTATTTGCTATATAGAATTAAAACTCTATGCATCTATGCTAAATACAGTCGATAGATGAGTTACTTACTTACTGACACCTGCTACCCCTCGTGGAGGAACATAGGCTGCCCACCAGCATTTTCCATCTACTTCTGTCCTAGGCAATTTTTTCCGGTTGGTATACATACTTGTGACGTCTGCCTTTAATTCCCGGTGCAGTGTGTTCTGTGACTTTTTTCTTTTCCGTTTCCATTCAGGATATCTAATTTCCTCTTCAGATGGAAGCTGGTTTGTCCACTCCAACAGTAGTCTGTTGCTGATGGTTTCCGATCAACGGAAATTGAGTATCTTGTGTAGACAATTGTTTGTAAATACTTGTACATTTTTGATAATGGTTGCAGTACTTCCCAAGTTTCAGCTCCGTACAATAGAACTGTCTTGACTTTCTTATTGAAGATTATGACTGATGTGAGCTTACAGCTGTTTTGAGTTCCATATGTTCCGCAACTGTAGGAATGATGTACTTGCTTTGACAATCATTGCCTTCACATCTGTATCGGATCCTCTATGTTTATTCATTGTGCTGACCCAGTACGCGAAAGTTTCCATCTCTTTCAGAGCTTCTCCCCCACCTGTGACAGGGTTGGTGTTCTTCATGTTATATTTCAGGATCTTGCTTTTTCCCTTGTTTATGTTGAGGACTACTGATGCAGAAACTGCCGCTACACTGGCTGTCTTCACCTGAATTTTTTTGTGTGTATGGGGTGGAAGAGCTAGGTCATCTGCAAAGTCTAAATCGTCTAGTTGCATGCACGCTGTCCATTGTATTCCGTGGCTCCCATCAGATTTGAAGGTTTTAGTAATCCAGTCAACCACTAGAAGAAATAGAATGGGGCGAGAGTAGGTAACCTTGTCTGACACCGGTCCTCACTTGGAATGCATCTGTCAGCTGTCCTTCATGAACAACTCTGCACAGTAGTCCGTTGTATGAATTCTGTATGACGTTGACGATTTCCTTAGGAACACCATAGTCCTGAACAAGGTTCCATAATGTTCTCCTATCTACACTGTGAAAAATAAGAGACTCAGTTTGATTGATTATTGGCTTACTAACACTAATAGTTTCCGGGAAACCTGAGATATACTTGTCAATCAACTACAGCACAAACATTTTAGAGTATTTTCAATGGTTAAGATCATGAGTCAGTTGAAGCTAGACCACCATGGAAAACCTGGAAGCACTGGACGGCCGTTTCGTCCTATTGTGGGACTCCTCGGCAGTGCGCATCCACGACCTCGCCCCCTGCGAGATCCGAACCCAGGACCTACTGGTTTTGCGCCCAAGCACTTAACCACTAGACCACTGAGCCGGCATCCAACGGTGTTAATGTCTAACTTCAACTAATCCACGAAATTGAGCGACACATTCACCATTGTCTTCAGTGAGTTACTACCTCACAACAGAGTATGCATTAATACATGGAAGGTTAGATGAAATTTCTGTTTAGTGATAAACCAAATAATTCCAAAGAAATCACAAACTGTTTCAGGATGACATTGTAAATATGAAACAAAAGTATGAGAGGAACACTATGAACAAGTAGATTATTCATTTACTCAAAATCTGGATCACTTCAACATGAGTTATATACATTTATTATTGAACCTTTAGCATAAACACATGCACATATTCTTACTTTACATAATTAGCCATTTACAAACTGCATGATTCTAATTGATTCGCAATCAGATGATCATGACACTTAGTATACAATATATATATTACAACTAGTATCTAAAATTTCACTATCATGCATTTGTAGTTTGAAAAAGGTATCGAATCCACATTATGTTTAATTAATTGTGTCTATTAAGAATTAGTCAACAACAATGAACTTTGATGTAAAATGATCAATCATATGATTAAAGGTCAATCTAACAACAGTATTAACAAAATATACAAAGACAATCAATCCAATATAACGTGATTAGATTGAATGGATTTGGTATGAGTGAAATAATTCTGTAAAGATCACTTCGATCAGATGAAACTATTATCCAATAGCGACAATGAAAGATTCGCTATAAATTATTTGGATTAAAGTCAATCATTTATAGACATTATGAATCTGGTACACAGATGTATCGGTTTGCGTTGTCCTACTGTGGTGTGATGCCGACAGATATAAGTAGTATGTATCATCAATCGAAAGTGAAATGTCTGAAGGCAGAAGGTTAAGAGGACCAAAGAAAAGAGAATGAGAACAGAGAATGACTGGTGTGGGAACGAAAGAACAATCAAGGTGTGAGACAATTGATTGACATTTTGGAAATGAACTATTTATTGTATAGTTCTCAGATTTCACTAAGATGTTCTGTAATTTTGTATTCAAATACATTTGATTGCCCCCATTAGTGTTCACGTTCACTACACTACCACATCAGAACAGCTAAAATAGTGAAAGAAATAACAACATCAGTGGTAGTGTGGTGTGCGCTACTTATATGGACAGATATAAATAGTATATGTAGTAAGAACTGACATGTTTATCAGCAGGAGATTGAAATAAAAAGAGGAAGGAGAACAAAGAGAGGATTGAAATGATGAAGATTTGTAGCTCAAGCGGAATAGATGTAGCACACAAACCAACAAATTCACTTTAATCAATCCTATGCAAACCAAAGAACGAAATGATAAAAGAATAAAAACCGAACATCATCTATAAAATAAATTGTTCCAAATGCGAAAAACATTACATCGGAGAAAGTGGGCGCCCTCTTCACCTTCACCTGCACGAACATCAATTAGCGGTCAAACTCCATGACGTATCCTCGCATATATCAATGCATGTGAACAACTGTGAACACATATTCGACTGAAAAAATGTTAAGATACTGGATAGAGGGAATCCTAAAACACTGAAGAATTTTTTAGAAGCTTGGCACCCAGGTAAAACAGCAATCAATAAACATATTGAAATCGATCCAGTCTATCAACCACTCAAACTCATGAATTTAACTATTAAAATTACTACAATCTCCACAAACCCCCACTCTGATAAAAACAAAGGACCAAGAATTAAATCAATGGGAGATATAGTCAAAACAGAGAAGTAAACAATAGCCAGTCAAGATCGAGGTCTTTAGGACAAGTTGAGTCATATGTGGAGAAATTCGAACACTGCACTTCTGCCTGAAGTTTTTGATGATGATGTTGTTCAGAAGAACAGTGAAAGCTCCACGACCAAACCATTCAGCTCCGAGAACAAAACTACACGAAGAGGATTGAAAGGGGTGGAGTGTGCAAGTGATTAGGCACTGATAACATGATTTAAAAAGAAAAAAGGAATCCACAAAATGAATTGTCTACTTTTAAAATAAACTTTCAAACTCAAGGATAAACAAAGATTGAAACCATCTGGGATACTTAGATTGATTCTGAGGCATATCAAATAGTGCCTACAACCACCGGTCGTGGTTATCGCGAGAACTCTTAAAAGGCAGTCTAGCCCCAGAAACACGGTCCACTTCAATAGTCAATGCTGTTATAGATTGATGCTGAGTCTTGCTTTGGTTAGCCCATAGCTTTCTTCCAACCTACTTCCATGTCGACAAACATTCCGTGTCGAAGTAGGCGATGAATCGGCATAAGTAACGCATGTCCCAACTACTTCTGGATTAAATTATGCAACATTAAATGAAGTCACGAGAATTACGAATTTTTCAAAAATCTTCATTGAGATCAATAACATAGTAGGTTCAATAGTCGACAATTCAAAAAGTGATTCATTTTACCAGAGACTAGTGATTCGAATGTTTCAACTATCAAGAAATTGTCAACGTTTAAATTTGAATCTTAATGTCAACTGCATAGATTTCAGCAGTATATTTTCGCCTTAAAAAATTAATTGAAATCAGAACTTCATTACATCAGTATGAAATATGCTAATGGGTTTATAAATACAAAACAACTCATTTTCTAATATATTAATGTAGGTCAATTTTATGAACTATACTTCAAAAGTGAATTTAGCAGTAGTTATTTATATAGTATTGTTACTTTGTCAAATTAATCAGTAGTCAATCATGAATGAATGAAAATCAATACATCTATCGTACACAGAACAATAAATATGATAGATATGGATGTTTTGCACTATAACATAATATATTAGATAATATTTCATTCTATGACCTTGTATTACTGCAATTAAAGAAACATACCTAAGTGAGATTCAAGTGTAATTCAGTAGCTAACTGTAGATTTATGCTTTATAATTTATGTGAGGGATAGGATAAAACTCGAACGCGGAAAACCAAACAAATGTTTTTCTCAGAGGATCCTCATAAGCACAAGCTCTGAACTAAAGGTATATATATATATATATATATATATATATATATATATATATATATATGCATTAGAACTAACATGCTTAATAGTCAAATGGACAGATAGTTTTCGTGGTATAGTACACCCTGAGCCGGATAATTAAAAAATGTATAGCTAAAAAGACTGAATATGCATAGACTTGTATTATAAGGAAATTATCTAAAAACATTTTATTCTGATAAGAATAATGAATGGTAACTTTTGAGATCCATTTATGGACCAATACTATGCGCATACTTGTTAAATAACTGAACTATTCGTATTTATGTCTCTCTGATCATAAGCTTTAGTTTAACCTATGTACTGTTATTATACGATTTTTCATTCTTGAATTATTCCCTGTCTATTAATTGCTACCTCCCACATTCACCAGCCACATTTGGCTAAATCTTGTACAAATGTTGTTTCCTATTTTATGGTACGATGTGGTCTGTCTGATTGGTAATATAAACTCCATATATTTGAAATAAATGATTCATATTGCAGAGGTTGAGATTGGTGTTCTGGACGTAACTGGTTGAGCTAAGCAGGAAGTAGGACCAATAAGGACTCTAGACTGCTCGTACGAGTTTACGTGTCATAGATCCGATTGGTAATTCACTGCTCTCTAATTGGCGGTATCGTTACGTTATACATTAACAGGGCAAACAGGCTACAAGTCATGACAAAACATTTGATCATTTTTCCTTCTTTTCAGTATATTACTCACTTCAGCTTTTCGACGTTCACAGAAAACTTCATACATATGTATTATTCTCCCAGCATTTTGACAATCTAATACATAAACAGTTGGAGCACCTAACCATCTTTGTAGATCATATAATGATAACGGTATATATTTAGTAAATTTCTACAAAATAAAAACAATTTTGAACAAGATGATGAAAGTTAATTAATAATAGGCATATATCAAAATAAATACTATTGAATATTTTCAGAAAGATTAAATCTATTATTTGATGCAAATTATTTACTCAATACTCAGTGTGATTTATTCAGCTTAAAGATACATTTTGCTGTCCGTAGATAAATCATACTTTATCCGACTTACTAACCTGAATTGGATGAAATCGGATTCAAACTGAAGACTTATTTGTTTAGAATTCAAATGATTTCATTATTAACTCATTAGTTTTTAAGAGTCAAAAGAGATTGTGTTATAGGATACACATACCTGAGATTAGTACAATAAGGTAAAATGAAGTTGATCCTTCACAAAATCATACATAATTATATGAAAAAAATGTTTTGTAATTATGTGGAATGATTCCCCAGTATAATAATAGTAAGAACAAGAACAATAATAACTACAATTAAATGAATTTAGACACAAAATACAACTTATCGCCATCAAAAACAAGTATCGTAGTTCTGTTTAACTGCCAAAATATCTAATTGTTACTAAAAACGTGAATACTAAGTGCTTATTATTATTATTTGATTGGTAGATAAGAGATGGTAGACGAGAACAAGAGCATCAGTCAGCCAAAACCAATGTAGAGATTGGCATACGTGTGTATTTATCTAAGTTCCTATAAGCACATTAGCACGACGAGATGAAATTAACAAGATCGATAACAAATAAAATAATGGCATGTAAAGGTTTGTATGAAGGATTACTGGAACTCAAGATCTAGAAGAACACAAAGAGTGAATATATCTGCGAGGTAGTGGTCGACAAACCTAGAAAAGTTCAGGCCTACAAAACTCACACCTGACTAACCGAGGTATCACAGACTTAAAATTAAGGTTTACACATTTAAAACTACTCACAAAGTCAACAAATATTAGTAGCCCAGAACCACCAGACGTGTGGCTTAAGTTTGACTACATAAACAAGTTTTTTCGTTATTATATTGAAAAATGACAATCCTGGACGACTAACATATAGATAGTAGAGGTTAAAATTAAACTTACCAAGTAATCCATAACAATAGTCTAAAGTACGACACAAAGCATAAAAATGTCCAAGGAACAAATTTAAAGATCCCTTTATACTTACCGTGTTAAAAACCCATATTTCTCCATTCTCGGTGGGTCTGGGGACACCATGTCCATTGTAATGAAACAGAATTCTATCATCTTTTGCGTTGCGTCTTAAACTAAGGCACAATTTTTTCACATCATCTAAAGTTGGATCAAGGCACTGTTTATATCTGGCACGAGGCTGCCATCGTTCATATTGAGCCTGAAAAATTAAAGTAGAGAGCATTCAATTAACTAAAGAGATAGTAAGTACTACTACTAAAACTAATAAAACAGGAAGGCTAACAATGATTTGAACTACATTAAATATTTTAGGTATCATTACCAAGGTTTGATTTGATAATTTCGAATAAATTGAGCATTGGGTTGATTGTACATTAAATTTTATAATACTTATTTAAAGAAAATGACTTCTGCAATGTTTCTACGTGAATTTTCATTCCATGGACATACAATGTCGTTCTTTAATTCTATTGACATCTCAACTAAGGTGGATAAAAATTACACGAGCGCAATATGAGGACTACAACAAAGCCGTCAGTAATAATAACTAGAAAATGGCCGTTGGGTACATGCACAATTACGATCATTCTAACCAGATATCTGCATGCTGCTAATGAGTACGTTCACAAAGGTGGACAAATATGTCTGATATCCAGATAACTTTGACCTAGGTGGTAAAACCTGTTTGTTAGTGTAAAAGATATCTGAATAGGAAGTTACGAAGAGAAAATGAACAGCAATAAGGAATTTAGTAGAATGGTGTTCCATTTTGAAGTTCAACATTTTTGATAGCAGAACAGATGGCGAGACTAAAACAATGAACGCAATTAAACTATCATGATTGATTTGGTGTATTGACATACAGGGCTTATAATCACTAATCTGTAAAATCCCAAAGATCACAACAATTGAATCTAATACTATTTCAAAAAGTTCAGATTATTAGGAAGAATTAAAACCTGGTATAATGATTAAATGTGTCACGACCAAGTGAAACAAGCGATAAAACGAAAAACAGACGTGGTATTACTTATTTATTTGAACATAAATATTGGTACAAAGTGGCATCAAATACATATGCGCCACACAAGTCACTTGATTTGTGTGTGGGCTGGAATATTGCCCGTATGCTGAGACTGAAGTAGGTGGTTTTCTTAGGGGACCACGTCCGGAAACTTTGACGTAAAGGTTTGATCCACAAAACAGTAGGGCCACGTCAAGATACAGTCCCACACACAGGTAAAAGACGAATCACGATTAAAACATGTGACCAAATAACTGAAAATCAGATACACTGGCTACTAGTCAACAACTTAATTTAGTGAGCTAGAAAAACTGATCATTAAATATAATCTGAACTAGACGAAAAGTGTTCTGCTTCTGAATTATCCACGTAAACGTTTTAAGCCAGGTGGCTGATTAGTGAGCGATTAATTATTGCTTTTCAAGCGATCGATCACATGAATTTTTAGGGTACATGTCAACTAAAACGCTTAAAAATTAAAACATTCTACGATGCGAAAGCGACCAAAATGTGGAAAGTATCATTGCGAGTCAGGAAATCCATAAATATCAATCAAAATAAATAATATTAAAGCAAGACATTCATAACTTATTGGAAAAAAATGAGAAAACTCAGTTACCTGAAGATTTTTTCCGATATTGCCTAGAGCGTGTAGACTGTTAGCATCGGTTGGGTCGACCCATGCTTCCACTCTTGAGAAAGGTGGAATTTTTTGTACATCCGGAGGATCGATATCAATATTTAGGCAAATAACCAAAGCAACTGTTAGGGTTTTGATCTATTGAATGCGAACATTTATGGAAAGACTACCTTTTCCTTGTGATATTTTTCCTGGTACAACACTTGCCCCTCAATCGCTTCTGTCAAGTGCCGTGAAGTGAAAGCAACAACTGTGTCTTGTATAAGATCATTTTCTGTATCCGAGTCAAGAAACATCTCAGGGTTTAACATTCTTCACACCGAGTCTATGTGACACGACGGTTTATAAGTCCTGCGAAACTTCTTACTTATATCCTTAACGTATCCAAAAAGGTTCAAGACGTTCTTTTTGACTAGTTTTCGAATAACTGACTACGCGCGGCGAACCCGTTGGTAATCACAATAGTTCATGTCGACCTTGAAACCGCAAAAATTTGACTGCGAGGCTGTGAAGGCTGAAATGTACTTTGTACAATTTATTATCCAATCTACACAAGTTTCGGAAGGGAAGGGGCCGATTCATATCTGATTTCAAATCTGCCAATTACTGCACACAAATGCGCGATTTTCAAAAAGGGCAGTGATTTTTGTACTTGTCGTGATTATCCTTGCTATGTGTATTTGTTGCACCAAAAAGCATTCCTGGTCTACTTTAGCTAAAAGTACCTTGATTCAGGTTTGAAATTTTTGCTAAACTTTGTCCTGTGGTACCTTTTTTTACTCATTGACTGACACTCATGTTCACATTGTGATCATATTGTGTTTTAAACCTTTTTAATCAAAATGCAATGGATATTAGGACTTATAAATGTGTACAACCAAACTGCTTGTTCCTTGTTGAGGAAGAAATACAGCGCGATGGATGTAAAAAGTGGTACCATAAGGTGTGTACACGTTCTACGGCATACAAAAGATGCTCGAAGCCTAACTCGCATTGGCTTTGTATGTTTTGTTATACAAATAAGAAGTTACTAATTCAGGAGGCTGCGAGCCCATTGGATTTGGCCTGAGAGAAAAACGCCGGCGGTGTCAGTGTAGTACGTGCTGTTACGGGACCCGCTAAACACACGACTGTTATTGACGAGAAAGTGAAATCTCCGTTAACATTAACGAGGAGTGAAGTGCGGCTTCATATTGACATCGGTAATCATACACCTCTAGTGGAAATGGAAGACTCAGATAAGACTGTCACTGTTCCAAATAGTACCGTTGTTGCTATCCCGAGTGATGAAAAATGGACTTCAGTACGGAGAAAAAGAAATGGGAAGGAAAAAGCTGTAGTCAAGACACAGCTGGTTAGCAAGTCATTGGAAGAAACGGTAACAGAAACAAAAACTCTACTGCGTGTCAAGACAGATCTTCCTGAGAGGTCAGTCATTTTTCATAAGTTAGGAGAATTTTCCGATAAGGAACCAAAGGCTAGATTCGAACACGATATCAGTCATATTAAGTCCTTAATAAGCAAACTACTCCCAGATACAGTTTCATTTAATATTTGTAAACTTTATAGAATAAGAAAAAGGTGGAGTTTGAAAGTCCTCGTAAAAACCGCCTCTTGAAGATTACATTTGCCACGGTCGAAGAAAGAAACCTGATTCTAGGTAACTCACGTAAACTGATTGGATTCGGAATATACGCCCGTGAAGATCTCAGCCTAGCTGATCGTATTAGGAAACGAGCTGCAGAAGTGGAAATAAATGAGCGTCGCCTAAACGGTGAAAGAAACCTCGTTCTTCAGGTTTTCGAAGAGCTAAACGATCCCTAAACCACTCTGGGTGGTAAGGGAAAGTTCTCCACAGACTTAAAAGCATGCTACACAAATGCTCGCAGCCTACTAAATAAAATGGCGAAGCTCATGTCAATGGTAGATAAAGAAAAATCAGATGTTATTGCTGTCTCGGAAACGTGGTTGGCGTTAGAAGTATTAGATAATGAAATTCAGTTGACTGGTATTTTAACCAGTAGGGCTGATAGATTAAACCGTAGGGGAGGTGGGGTTATCCTGTACACGAAAAGTACCCTAACCATAAGAGTAGCTGAGACAGTGGCACATGTTTCAGGGACATATGAACTGGTGCGATGTAAGCTGAAATGTAGACGGCAATATATTGGATTTGTTTTAGTATATCGCAGTCTAGAATGTGTAGCAGATGGTGTTCTGCTAAGTAAACTTACGTTCTGGTGTAACAAGGGTAAAAGCCTTGTAGTAGACGACTTTAATGCACCATATATAAACAGGGTTAACTTAGAAGTAGGGTCATCGATAACGTCGTTCGATTGCAAACTGTTAGAAACCCCAAAATACATGACTTAAGGAACTCTTCTTCTCTTTTAGATCTAGTCTTTGCACATAGTGATGACGTCGACCAAATGTCTTTTCTCCCACCACAAGGGAGAAGTGACCATGAAGTCATCTTATTCAAATTCATGACTGAGATTGCCTGTCAAACTGTCGCGCCGGCCCGTCTTAATATATGGAAGGCAGATATGGAGGCAATCAACTGAGAAATAGACTCGAGGGCATCAGTACAAGAGGCACGGACTCTTTTCAGGCAGTTATACAATCGGGTAACTTAACCATACATACCCTGGACAGTTCCAAAGAAGAAGGGATAAACCGGGATATTCGACGTTTACCAAGACAAAAGAAGAAATGTTGGGATGTTGCCACCCACCTTGGCACAGCAGGTACGATGAAACGCTACAGATCGATAAGAAACGAGTGTATAACGAAAATTCGGGAAGCTCAAAGAAAATATGAAATGCAGCTGGCACAATCTGCACTCAAGCAGCCCAGAGATATTCTCGTACATAAACTGAAGGATGCATCATTGGATTTCCAACTGATTAAAGAAGGAAGTGAATCTGAAATAATAGAGGAAGATCAGGAAAAAGCAGAGGCTATGGCTGACTATTTTGGGACAGTTTCCACTCAGGAACCTCCTCTAGACAGAGAACCAACCAAATATAGATCAAAACCGCTCACCGTGGACTTCAACCAAAACGATGTGCTTAAGGCTCTTAGCACCTTAAACATGGAAAAGTCAACAGGACCAGATGAACTACACCCCAAAATCTTGAGACATATTGCACAATATATCACGGCTCCACTGACTATGATATTCAATATGTCACTTGACCAAGGTGTGTTACCTATGGACTGGAGGGACGCAATCGCCACTCCCATACATGAAAGAGAACCGAGACAAGTTCCATCGAACTACAGACCTGTGAGCCCAACCAGTGTTGTAGTGAAAATATTGGATAGAATAGTCAAACAGACAAAAACGGCATTTATGGAAACCGATAACTTGCTAAACATAGAACAACATGGTTTTAGAAAGAGTCTATCTTGTACAACAAGCCTCCTTATAGCGAGGAAGTTTTGGATAAAGACGCTAGACAACGGAAACTCAGTGGATGTTGTATACATAGAATTCAGTAAGGCTTTTGACAAGGTGTCAACTAATAGACTGCTATGGAAGTTAAAAAACCTTGGTATCGCCGGACCTCTTTAAAATGGACTAAGGGTTTCCTAGTAGGTCGTAGACAGAAAGTAAGAACAAATTCCAAGTGCTCCATCTGGAGACCAGTACTTAGTGGAGTACCTCAAGGTTCCGTTCTAAGTCCTTTACTTTTTACAATGTATGTTAACGATCTTCCAAGTATAGTACAGTCTCCAATGTTATTATACGCTGACGATGTAAAAATCTGGCGAGCAATAACTGGGGACACAGACGCATGTGCTCTTCAGGCAGACTTAAATAATATGGTTAACTGGTCTAAAGGGTAGCTAATGCCTCTTAACGCGTAAAAGTGTGTCTACATGCACTTTGGGGATTCAATGGTTAATAGGTACAATATAGTGGAAGTGCAATCGCCCGTAGTCCGGTCTCATAAGGATCTAGGGGTGAGAGTGAGTCAGGATTTTAAGACGACGGCTCATTGCCGGGAGGTCGCGGTCCAGGGGTTTCGAACCATCTGGGCTTTAAAGCGGACATTCACCAAGCTAGATACTACCACACTCGCCACAGTATACACATCATTAGTGAGAACTAAGCTTGAGAACTGCGTTCAGGCTGCAAGCCCCTGTTTAAAATGTGACTCGGATATCCTAGAAAAAGTACAGAGGGCAGCTACCCGTGCAATTCCAGAACTTCGGGTTTTACCATAAAAAAGGCGGCTTGAAAAGCTGAACCTCTTTACTCTGTCTGACTAAGAAGAGATTTAAGGTTGATGTACAGAATACTAAGAAATGATTTCGGACCTACCTTATTCTCTCTTTTTCTCCCCACTTGATCGGGACACCTCAGAAGGCATAGCAGGCGAGTATAAAAGCCAAGAACGAACAAAATACCCGTGGCATACAGGTTTTCATACCATTTCATCGATACTTGGAACCTCCTGCCCGAAGCAGTGGTGTCCTCACCTTCAATTGACTCTTTCGAGAGAGGAAGGGACACTCCCAGATGCATACTAGAAAAGGAATAACATAGGCCATAAGCCTTCTGTCCTAACTACACAAATCTGAATCTGAAGTTGAACCAGTACGCCATTATACCTCTTCTCAGTGGTCTGAAGGTTAGGAGTTCGAGTTAGAGGTTGAAGACCTAGATTTGGTTCCCGGATTCAAAGTTTTGTATGCGCTTGGCCGATGAGTCTCATACTAGTACGGGCCAGCTGTCTAGTGCTCTAAAATTTCTACTGAATTTTTAACTTTGAATGATTCGCTTCCAAGGCGCTTCACACTCGTCATTTCTTCCATTTTTGATGGATAAACAAAGGGTTTATTGTTTGAAATGGAGTTTGGTCTAAACGTCATGTCGTTGTATACGTAAGCTTACAACACTCTCAGTAAATATTAGGTCTCTGTCGCGTGAGCTCTATATTTTCTTTGGGTGTTTATTCACTGAGGCAGAACGAGCTTCTGACTAGAAAGTAATTATGTTCGTTCCTGTATACAGAGTAATAGTATCATGTGCTAACACAAAATTTGTGAACTTTCGTGTAGATATTAATAATCACAATAATATGTGACCACAAACTCACTTTTATCTTCCTAATAATTCTACACTAATAAAAACTGCAACACTCCAAACTTATACATCCTTACTTATGTGATTTTCTGTATATGACTGTTTAGTCGTTTGTGTCCCATTCATTGTCGTCTTTATTCATAAGTTGATTGACTTAACGGTTCAATACAAAAAAATCATCATTTGGTTTCATATTTGTCCTGCTGTTATAACTGT